TCTCTCTGATAGAGCCATTTCCATTCCCATTAGCTCCACCAACAGAACCAGCAACAGAAACGGGTCTGATTGGGGCCTGTCCAGACGACTCTCGGGTGCCAAATTCGGAGACTCCACCGGGAGCTGCCCTTCTGCGGATACTAAATGAACCATCACCTAAAAAGAACGGATCCGCAGCAGCGGCGCGAGGGGCTGAAGGTCGCGCCTCTCCCTCGCCTCGTTCGCGAGAGGTCCACTGCGCCACGATATTCCTGACAGAGGCGAGAGGAGATCGCCTACGCGCAGCTTCTGGGCGCGACACAGCTTGGGGGGTGCCAGCAAGAGGCGACGATGGAGGTAAAGGGCCTTGAGAACGAGGTCCAGCCGGCTCCTTGGGTGGAGGAGGTGGCGGCAAAGAGCCAGTCGATGAACGAGACACAGAAGGCTTTAATGGGGAAGATGGCCTAGACTTTGCAGGAGATAGGGGTCTCGGGATGCTCCTAGCTGGAGAGGATGGTCGGGACGCACTAAGACCAGTTTGAATAGTTGCTGATCGAGGGAATGTGGCCGATTCAGGATATCCCGTTGATATGGCCGGCATGGACTGCGAACCACTTTGAGGAGAGAAGAGAGAACCACTTCTTGGCCCTGCCAACGACGACATACTTGATTCGCTGGACACACTACCAGTCTCAGATTTTTGCTCGAACAATGCGATCAGACCTGCTGCGCGTCTACCAACGGGAGACGCTGTGTGGCGAACAGGGGGTGTGACAGACGGCACCATTGGCTCATGAGGGTCGGTGGCAGCCCGTACGTGAGCAGAGCGACGTGGTGAAGGAGCAGGAGACTCTGCCAGGCTGAATGGCCGCATGAACTCGTTGAAAATGGAGGAACGCCTGACAGCCAGTGTACCATAATCTGAACTCAACAAAGATGTGGGACTGGGAGGGCGCTCAGATTCACGGTGTGTGGATAGAGAAGGGCCACGCGAGAGCATGCTTGCTCGAATTGAGGATTCATTAGCTTCACTAATATGACTTAAAGCATGACGGGTGAATGTGTGAGGATCAAGAGTATGACTGTGAAGGGAGGCTAAAATCTCGTCTTCGGCTAATGATGAGTCTCCTTCCGAAGGCTCGAGATTTCGCTCGACCTCCATCTCTTCGGAATCGGCTTCCGAGACTGGAGGCCAAGGTGACCTTGACCTGGTTGGAGAATCGGACGGTGGGACTGGGGATAAGTTAACACGTCTCAAACGGCGACCAGAACTAATGGAAGCATTATCTGATCCACCACTAGAGGGGGGAGGCGGGTCTATGAAACAAAACATGAGTAACGCGTGTCGCGATCTCGGGACTGGAACCAACCAGAAAGTGTAGCAGAGTGTCTAGAAGGGGAAAAAAGTTCAGAAGTTAAACCACGAGATTCTAGATAAAGAAACAGGCTCGTTAGAGAGATATCGAAGATATGTTGCGATGTGCAAAACGGACCAGGTTCTGAGGGAGAACGTAAGTAATCAGTATCAGACAAAGAGGACATTGTTGAGGCGAAGAAGCGCCCGCGGCCCCTGGAGGGCGTGGTTCCAGATCCCGAGCTCATGTCAGCATAGCCCGGACGCGTCGATCACGACGTCGAATCACTTGAAGTGCGCGGAGAGGAAGACCTCTTGAATGAACACTGTGTACACTTGTTTGGATGCCGGATGCAAATGTCAACAAACAAATGGCAGAAACAAGGTTTGACATCACTGCTTCTTGCGCTTAAGTAAGCAACGGTGACAAGAGACTGGATACGCTGGCTTCACATCCCCTAGTCGTAGATTCAATGACCCTCTTCCCACGGAGTCCTAGCATTCACGTTGGGCAACTTCCATCTACCGGTGAAACATTATCCAGGACCTTGGTGAATGGAATGTCGCCAGCCCGACTCACTATATTTTGTGAGACATCCCACATGTGCCCATCTTGGACGATGGACTGAAGCTTGTCACTGTCAAAATCAGGGGCACTCTAGCTTTCTCACGCCCCACCCACCCGACATTGACTTGCCTGCCGCTTTGGCCTTGCACATAAATCACGAAGCAATACATCATGTCCCTGATCACGAATAATGGGGCTCACACGCCATAGTCTATTCCAATAGAGGCTGGTGACCTGCCTAACGCCATAGCAGCCTTTGCTGGTTGAAGTGCATTGCGCTTTATTCACTCTCAACGCCTGGACCAACTTAGTGAACTTCATCCTCGCCCGATTGGAATTTGATGATGTGTGGCACCGCGAGCAGCTGCTTCCAACTCGATAGTCGGACACTCCAATGGCGGACACAAAAAAATGTGACCAATTCTGCCCCCACAAATCCACGTCACCTACAGCAAAAGAGGCAGATGCGTGGCACAGGGTGCCAAATGTAAAAACTGCGCGACTCTCAACCTATTGAGTTGGACCTTCAGATATAGAATCAAACGTCGTTCCCATCCGCGGCCGGGTCGACCTGTCTGTGGCAACATCGACCGGTGGGGAGGGAGGACGGGTACCGCTGACAACAAGAGGATAAGCGACATCGATGATAAGAGGAGACTTGGTCACAAGTTTGCCCCAATATCAGGACCGCCTTTGTGCTCATACGCCAGGATTACAGTGGAAGTCGTCAGGTGCCCAAGAAATACGAAGAATACTGGGCACCAACTTCTAAAGACGTTGCGCAACGACCGAGCGAGAATGTCGTACTTATTACATTTGAGTGAAAGAGATGAAAATTGAATGCAGCGGTTGGCTCGGAGGGCCATTGTAGGGGATAGCAAGGGTGACAGACCAAGATTGTGAAAGATACGCGATCCAACCACAGAGCGCAGGCTCGATCGACTGGGACCATTACGATCGCAGAGGGCATGACATATTTTTATATGTCTTGTGATCATTCAAGTCATAAGTAACTCGAAGAGGTCACTAAGACAGTGATACTAATGCATGCATGGTGATGACAACTACCTGGAACTTGCATCATCAGACAGGGAGGGAACGAACATGTACATCCATTCATATATGCATACAAAATTAAGTAGGTAGTCAGGGAGCGCAATAGTTTGCATGAATTCCTCACATGTTTTGGTCCGGTGGTGCCGCCTGTGTATACAAAAATAGAGGTGGGTGCGCAATAAAGTTTAGACGTGCAGCATTTTCCTGTTTCCCTGGTCCTCCCACCCGCTTTAGTGTCACCCCTATTAGCTTCTCGATGTGTCCGGGATACATTGAGGTTGTCGCTAGACAGTGTCCTTCCCAGATGGAACACATTGTGTCTCCGTGTCAAACGCAATCAAATGCGAACAACACTGACGAGCAGCCTGATCGAGGCTTCCAGGTACGTACGTACGTCAGATATATATCCTGAAACAAAGAAACGAACAGAGCAAGCGAACCAACACCGATGCTAGGTCCGTTCTCTCTGGTATATTACGTCGGATGGTCACCATCCGAGTTCTTTGCCTTTAGCTTTGCTGCCTACGCTGAGTAATATATACTACCCGCTGCCCAATTTCTTTCCCGCTTTACCCCTTACATCATTTCTCTTCGGACTCTTCCCCTCTGCACCGCCCCCTTTGGCCCAACACTGTTCCGCAGTGTGGCCTCGCTTCTTACAATTTGCGCACGTTAGCCTACCGCGTCCAGCCATTGCCTCTTCTCGTTGTTGCTTAAGTACCCGATCATATGAGAGGATGGAGTCTATGGTGCTTTGGACGGTTGAAGGGGGCTTGCACACGAGGACGGTCCGCAGGGCTTTCCACTCTTCGGGCAACGACATGATGAGTGCTACGGCTTGAACCTCCTCGCTAATCGGGTAACCAAGTGAGTTTAGCCTCAGCGCCGCCCTCTCAATCCCCTGAATCTGGGTTACAATATCCTTTTCAGGCTGAATAGTAGACCGGAATAGCTTCTCAAGCAAACGAACGGCCAATTGGATCCCGTTACCCTCGAAGCGATTCTTGATGATGGTCCACGCCTTGGATGCGTCCTCGGTGTTGGTGATCAGAGCCATAACTCCATCGTCAATGGACACCATTATCTGAAGAAGGGCTTCGGAATTGCCCTTCTTCCAAATCCCTTCAGGAGTCATGGCGGCAGGTCGAGGAGTGGCAGCGGGTGTGCGACTGGTGGAAGGAGTGTCGGGAGACACAGAAGGAGTGGGTTTGACCTCAGAACCATCGATGTATCCCAATAGGCCGTGGTGCGTTAATACGAGCTCAATCATTGTTTTCCAAGTCCTGTAGTTTGATCCGTCTGACTTAAGCCTGTTGTGCTCGAAGATCTCGAAATCAACTCGAATGGTATCTGAAGTCATCTTGGTGATTGTAGTCGATGGCGAGTTCCTGACCCGAAATTAGAGGGCTGCTGGGCTCGAGGTGGAGCACAATATAAGTGAAGAGATGAGCGCTAGTGCACAACAAAGCAACGAACCTCAGTTTCTGGAAGACAACGCGACGAAAACTAAATTGTAAAGAATGTTCGGCCCTAGAGGATATAATATAATTGGAGCGACGCGCGCTTGGCGAGAACAAGGCAACGAACCCCAGTCTGCAGCAGACAACGCGAAAACTGAGACGAATGGAAAGAAAACGACACAAGGTACATATATAGTAAGCAAAAATTTAAACATACTATGGTTCCGTTGAATGCCCGAATGTCTCGCCGACGTGAGACTGGGTGCATGTTACGCATAAATTTTTTGATCAACCACTCGTTGCTATCACAACACGATGGCTTGATGGGCACATATATATACGGAGCATAGTGATACGGAGAAACAACTTCGGGTTGAGCAACATTATCAAATTCCACGTCAACTATCCAATCCACGGTCCCAAAACTAAGGAATGCTGAGGCAATTGAGACCTTCAGCAAAGAAACAAAACCCCCAGAACCAAGGTATGGCTGGTTGCACACCAATATCCCAAACAAACTGCCCCTCCCTCGGCAAGACGTCATCAACCCACACACCCATCAACCTACATCCAACTAATATCCTTAGATATCCTCCGTGTTTAGCGAGGGCTTCTCGTCCTTCCTCTTCGGTGGTGAAGGTGGGGTGATAATTCCCTTAATTCCGATAGCCATATCCTTCTCCAGTTCCTCAATATCGGAGGTTTTCAGGTAAGACTTGGACGCCTCGAGAGCCCCCTTCGCAGCCTCCACATGTTTCTTTAACTCTGCGGAATCTCCTGACCGGAATGTTTTACTGCCCGGACCAATCGACTCTTGGAGTTCGAGGATTGCCTTGTACGCGTCCCTGGTAGGGAGGTCCAACAGAATCCCTTTACGTGCTGAATGCTTGACGTACCTGAGCACTCGGACCCTCTCCATACCGCGATCTATATCAGCCCCAGATTTAGCCTTATCAAGCCTGAGAGTGGCTGCGTCCTTCGCACTCCGAACAAGGACCAGCATTCTTGATAGCACCAATAAAACATGAGGAAGTGGACCCTGAACGAGCGAAGTGTAGTAGTAGCGATGCTTCCGCTCTTTACTGCATTCAAACACTAGCTGTTGCGCATCCTTGGCGCACTCATCGAATATTTTGTGAAGCTCGTAAGATTCGATCAGTCTCCGGCGAGCCCGGTACCGTCGGTAGCAGTGTTGGATCAATGTTACAACATGTTCGAGCCCATCATCAGTTCGTGTGGCTTTGATGACTTCAGGATCACCAGGGACAATGGGCTGGGTGAAAGGCTCTTCGGCTTCGAGAAGTTCTTCAGTTCCGGGTGGTGCTTCATCCGCTACGTCCTCATTTTGCTCCGCTATTGTTGCAGGCAGTGCATCAACCGTAGTTACGGTCACAGGGCTCTCACGGAACCTCTCGGTGAGTCTCGATTTGAGATCATCAAGATCGGTGAACTCTAGGCGTGGAATCGCCGCAAGTGCTGTGGTAGCTTTGAAGCTCTTCCTGTAAAGTAGAACTAGATTGTCCTGGGTCCCGTAGAAAGCCAGGGCCTTCACTAAGTCCCACCACTCTTTCGCCCTTGCAAATCTTGTTCAAGGCGGTTAGCTGAGTTGCTTTGATGAGGTTAAACCTACCTTGAGTATAGATTGCCATGAGACCTTTCAGGGTCAAAGCTCTTCGTTATTGCATTGAAAATCCATCCCGGCCACTGATGGGCTGACGTGGGGCGGTTGAATCCAACTGATGAGCAAGAATGTCCCACTGAGGACCACGAAATCAAAATACTGAAAGCTGACACGAACCAAGCACTACAGCACGGCAGCTACGGCAATTAAGATTTCAGTGACACTACCCTGTGACTGTAAACCCATCCTACTGTCACGCACATCCTGGCCAGAATTTCTTGTCTCAATGCCCATGAAGTTGGAAATTGGCGTCCTTGAAATGTGAACGATCCTATACGAAGCAACATAATTAAGAATATGGGTTTTCCGGAACTCGTGAAATGAGACTTGCCGTATCCATTCCAATTGTTGACAGTCTGTAGCAGATTCATAACAGGGCTTAGGAGTTGATGAATGTTAACAAAATTATTGGGACCCTGCGCGGTCATGCCTGTCATCATGATGGCCCAGGAACGGGGGAGTAGCAGATTGTGATAGGAGTCTTGTCGGGCCCGTCTAAATTCGAATATCATGCGCAGCGAAAGTTGCTCCAGGTAGTGGACAAGGACATTAAGGTCGATGGACGGACACGTTTCCGCTGCCCATCTTTCGCAAAGATAAGGGATTTCCATAAGGGGGAACGCACAAAACTCACCCAAAGAAACTTGCGCCCTGCGCGATGGGGACCTGAGCCTGAGTTACGAACAAATATGTCATGTCATTCACGTATGAACTTCGAGACAAGGGATTGAAGAGCCATTGAGTGGAGTGGAACATCGGCAAGTCATGCCAAAAGTACGCCGGCAACTGCCGTCCATGGAAAACATGACCCATCATGACAAGCATGACAGCATCAGTAGTGAACCTAGCTTGAGCAGTATGGTGGCTAGGAGAAAGATCTCGGGCCCTTTGTTCGATCCAATTTCGAACAAGGGGAAGAGCTCGGTGGGCCTCAGGGAACGCGCGGACCAAATTAGAGTCTCCACACATTCGAGCCAGTGGGAACAACACCGAATATATCCTTTCGACCCAAATCCTTTGAACATCCCTCCGCAGGCCGGGATTACGGTGGGGAATGTACCAGAGATTTTCTAGCGCTACCACAATTTGCATATGCACCCGAAAATACATGTCGAGGTTAGGCGCCGTTTCGTGAAGTCGAGTGCACGCAGTTTTCTTGCACTCCCGTAATACCTTGAACTCAAGGCAAGGTTTGAGGAGGACAGCCTCGGTTAGATCGAAATGAAGTCTACAAAGTAGTTCCCAGATTACTTCTTCAAGATCCCATCTCAGCAGATTGTTAAGAGCGTCCCCTCGAACATTTCTTGCGTCGTTTTTAGAAATTGATGGCACGGCGTTCAGCCCTTTCGCCCGATCCCCCGCCAACATTCGGCTTGTATGAGAGCCAGGAGCGACACGAAACACGTCCTGAAGAACCCTGCCATTCACGTCTACCGATTGATGGAAACCAAATAGCTTCGCAGCATCAGGAAAATCACATAGTCTGTCTCGACGCAACAAAACCATAAGATGTTGGCAGTAGGCGTCAACTACAGATAGCCTGAAACTCAGATCAGTCAAGCTGGTGCTTTTCAGATCAAATGGATACCGCAAGGCTTCACTGAACGACAATATCAACGCGACGGGATTTTTCCCCTTGAAATCGCGGCCGATATTGAATAAGCTCGTCTGGTCCTTCATTATGATGGCCCTGAACATGTCTACCTGGCGCAAAAATCAGAGAAGTGCGGAGGTCGTCGTGAAACCGTAACTTACTTCCGAAGCGCAAGCCTCAGAAAGACTACTTCTAGGGATGGCGCTGAGAAGGTCAACAGACTCCCTCAGAGACGAAACGTCGGGAACAAAGAGTGCTATGTTCCAAAGTTCCCACAACAGGAAGTTTGCCGCATGCTGCTGTGCCTCAGGGCGCCCGGACAAAACCCAGCATTCAGCGGCTTCCCTATGCTGACCATCCCTTGAAAGTATCTTTGCCGCAGCTATATACTCCCCCTTCTGTTTGTATATAGCTGCTGCAAGGTCAGAACGTTCGTGCAAATAATCGTTCACAAACTCGACTTCTTCATCAGCACTATCGAATAATGGGCCGGCCCGTCTGGTAGCGTTGCAAGGTCAGGGACCTGGTACAGACGGATAAACAGGAAACATACTCGATATTACTCAGTCGCAAAAACTGCAGCTTGACGCTATCCAGAATCTTCCCACAAATAGGCTCCTTCACGAGCGAGGGCGTCCCGTCTGGGGGCCGTACGAGCCTGGCAGCATCATCAAGCCGTTGAGCTTTGTGGTAATTAAGGGCAGCATCAGTGAAACACCCTGCTGCCTCAAAATTGATGCCAGCAGAAGCATAATCGCCTCCCTCAACAAAACATTCTCCCGCCCTGCGTCTCAACGCTAGTGCTCCGACGGAGGGGAGTTGAGCGCATGTTTCAAAGGCACTGCCCGCCGCATTGAAGGCCACAAATCGTTGGTCACCGGGTTGCAAGGACCGCGCATCCTTCCTCCTCTGATATGCCAAGGCCATGTCTCTGTCATGTGGACGTTGAGCTTTCTCAAAACATGATGCAGCTTGAGCGAATAAAGAACGAGAAAAGAGGGTTCTCCCAGTGGAATACCACTCGTCAACCGTCGATGTTGCTATGGTTAGTTAGCAGACCATCAAAAAACATCCGGGCACGAAAACGTACTTGCCAACTGGGGGAAAGGCTCCGATGGGCCATGTATCTTGACAAGATCCAGTGATATCCAGTGATTCTACATTACAACGTCGTATTCCCGCTGTTGAGGAAAGTGTTAAATGACATACAAGCATCGGTGCAGCAACGTCACTAGAATCCCAAAGCCAGATGTGATGACGAGCTCTTGTGACCGCCACGTAAAGACGTTTTAGCTCGGACTCAATGACTCGGTGCTTGACGGGATCTGCGTTCTTTGATTGTATCACCCTCCATTGGGCAGGCGAGGCGGGAGAAGACCCAAAAAAGTTGTACAGAAGGACATCATCAAACTCCAGCCCTGGCTCGTGTAAGCGTTGAATGCGATATAGGGGAAATTTCTACCTTTGCTTTCCAGAAGAGTAAGCACGAGACCCTCATCGCCAAGGGCTGCCCGAACTTCATCCCGGGCTTCGTCATTCCGTACAATAATAACCTGACGCGCGCCGAAATCGAGTCGTGTATCGCTAATATCAAGAAGACGTCGTAAGTTTAGTGGGCACTATAGGGAATAAAACACCCACCCGGGACCGCAGAGGAATTGTTCCCAATGTACTAATTTCTCACGGAACACCCTTGGCTTTGGACCTGCAACAATAGAGGCTTCTCGTTGCAACTTGTCTATAGAGTACGGAAACATTGTAGAAAGGAGGTCAATGATGGACGCTGCACACTCCACGATGCCACCGTGACTCCGATAGTTGACGAGGAGTTCAAACACCTCAGATTTCACGGCCTGGCGGGCCCCTCTTTTCACGAGCGGGTCATTTAGCTAACGGAGAGATTGAGAAGCCAGTTCAGAAGCGAAGATCATTGAATCCATCCGTACCTCCTCCTGGTACACCAAATCCTTGAGGTCCTCGAACCGAAAGCTGCTGCCCACAGAGATCGTCTGGGCGGTGTCGCCCCCCCAGAAGTGTCCGCGTGGATTAGGACACAAATCGCGAAGCACTGAAGTCCCAGGTTGCGTCAACACATGGCTCAAAATAAAATCAAAGACAAACGTTTCGTATCAACAGTAAGCAAATCTTGGACCTCGTCGACGTAGAGGAAATCAATATTGGCGAGCTTTGGATCCACCTTCCGAAGGATTTTGTGGGTCCTAGACGAAAACGTTTGTAAGTGGAGCCTGAACGAAAGCTGCAAATTCGAACCTGTCTGCAGTGTCAAACGCATTATTGGCGATCTTCAACCTGTGATACCTCTCAAACATATCATATATACGGCTACGATCCGAAGCGAAGGCAGAGTGCGACTACACGGTTATCAGTCGTGCGTTAAAACAAGTTAGGGCGAGACTCACACGATGGCTGAGAGCAGTATACGCTTCCCGAGTGAGATAGCCACTATTGGTTTTCATGGTGTCCTTATGTCCACAGATTACGCCTCTGCTAAGAAGTTAGGACCTCCTGATGATGGAGGTATCTGGAATCTCACATAATTTCGCTTAGAACCTGAGCGGGATCTGCCCATGTTGTGGAAGGTACGCATCAACCTCATCACACTGGACAATTGATTCATACCTAGGCCTTTGATCTGTCTTTGATCCATGTGACTCCAATAATGTGCCTTAAAAGCTCTGGAAACAGTTTAATGTATACCAATTATTCAACAACCAAGGAGAATTACTCACTCGAACGTAACAAGGCCACTGTGGCCGCGGCGAGCGTCAGGTGAGGAGTCAGACGAATCCCAAGTGTCATTGGCGATGAGATCCGTCAGATTCTTTTGCTTCGTGACTTGGGGCGTCGTCGCCGGTGCCTTCGTCTTATGAGAAGCAGAGCGATGCCACACGACGTCATACTCAGTCTCGAGCATTCGTCGCAGCTATACACCGTAAAAAAGCCGTCCATTCGAAAATTATTCAAGAACAAGCCAACTACCTACCTGATCATAAGTAAGGAACAAAGGAAAATGCTCATCCTTAAGCTCCGAGAAACGTTCAGGCAGATCGGGTCGATCATCAGCCTCTTCGTCCAGTTCAGTTAGATGTTTCTCCGACAATTTAACGCGCCTAATCCCTGAAACAAGGGCGGAACCAAGTTGCGTAGCCTCCAATAACTGCAAATAGTACTCTTCCACCTTCGAAGCCAGCACGTGGGACTGTGTTAGAAAGACTTGGCGGATCTGGCCAGATCCACCCAAAAACCCCGATTGTCTGCGGGCCTCTTCGAAACGGAGGAGTTTGAACACCATAGTTGTGGTTTTGCCTGAAAAGGGACACATCAAGGCGAAACACGGTGGACTATACGATCCACTGACCAGTGCCACTTCGTCCGATCACAAAACACGATGAAGGATGCTGAATTATTTTCATCTCGGCTTGCCTGTCCGAGTCCCCTTTTAATGCTGAACCTGGCGACAATTGGCTGGAGACTCACGAGACGAAAAATGGATGGACGGCATCGATATCCTGAAGAATTGCTGTACAAAAAGTAGCACTCAAGTTCTAGACCACTCCCAGATCAATGTCCTCACTATTTAAGACTGCCTAAAGGGTTCCATTAATCATGGTGTTATGCTCGATACTTGAACGAAAAACCCACCGCCGAATAGGGAATAAACTTTTCGAGAGACAGTATCTTGTGTAATTCTAGGCATTGGTCCTCGGAGAGGGCGGACGCTGATTCTGCGCCAATGATGGTCGACTTGAAATTGTTGTCGGAATGTGGCCAGACCTGAGGCGGAGTTACGTTGTTCGCTCCTACCCCAACTTGACGAGGCTGCACCCGGTAATTGATCCTGACGCAGAGCACCGAGCACTGAATACCCGTTCCGTCCAAGTCACCTCTTCGTGTACTCACATGCTTCTATAAGCTCCATCGACCCTTCGAATAGTTTGTGCTACCCGACTCCAAAGACGATGGTCAAATTGGGCATGAGTATAAATCCCATGAATTCTGATGATTTGCTTGTCAACCTGAAATGATCAAAACATCAGCATGAATGCCCAGAAAGACGGTGTAGCGGCACGTACCTTTGCCTCATAATCGACCGCAATGTCGATTTGGTATACGAGACGCAAATCGCCCGTCATCTTCGCCTCGTAAATGGGTACATCATTTGGAGCACCTTCCAGCCGCTTCTGATTTGATCCAGAAAAGAACCCTACGGGCACAGAGGGGCTATGATGAGCGCATGGAAAGAAGCATACTAGATAATGGATAACCTTCAGAAAGTTGAATGATCTTTTCCTGAATAATCTTAAATGTGGACTTGTCAGCGCGACGAAACTGACGAAGATGCTTGATCGCAGTAGAAGAGATATAGATATTCCACTCTCCGAACTCGGCAGGCCACTCAAACGAGTGCCTCGCTTTATCGGGAGAGATTGTTGGATATCTCATTTTCTCAGATTGGAACTCCTCAGCATTGTTTTCGGGTACTGGACCAACGGCCTCAGAACACCTCTGAGGCCGAGGTACTGGCAGTGCTTCAACAGGTGCTTGGACAACTTTCAGTACGAATTCGAAGATGACAGCTTGAACGCCCTTGATTCCAAGTATGTCGATCAGGAACTAGTAGAAGGGTTGAATCAACTAATGCAAATCGAAAGTCCATCATGCCTAAATGCACCTGAAGAGAGTCACACTGTGAATCCAAGAAATCTTTGGAAAGAAGTGTCCAGCCCTCTTGTGAGGTGGGTAATTCAACATAAAGAGCTTCGAGAGCCTTGGCATCAGAAAGCTGCTTCTGAGTTGCACGCACAGATTCCCGTTTTTGCTGTCGAGAAGTCTTCTGCCTCTTCCGAGTGTTGTTCAGCTCGGGAATTACTGGAGTGTATGGTTCAGAATCATCGTCGAACCGCATTGCTTCCAGGGATTGTAGAGCCTGCGTGACGAGTGGCACAGTTCGGAGATGCTCTTTGAAAAGACTTTGGTCGACATCCCAGGGAGGAGCTATCTTCCCGATAACATTCACGAGAGCGTCGAGTACTGAGCGTTGAGACGACGTTGAGAATTTTCCCGGATCGGAGGGAAACTGGTCAAGTATCCATCCGGAAAAGAAGGAACGCATATCATGATTACCTGGGGCGAATAGACAATTAGGAGTGGCTCGAAACAACACCTTGGCACTCACTCGATAATAAAACAACTAGAACGTCCGGGGCTCGTGTGAGCTCACGGGAAAGAATTTCGACGTCCCAACGAATTCGAAGTTCATCATCACCTTCGTATCCCAAAACCAAAGCCCTTATCGCGGCCTCAATCCCACCGGCAGCAGATAAGCTCTTTAAGGAAAACTCGGGGCGTGAATTGTAAGAGGGGCTTGCGTTAGAATCCTTTCGCCTTTTATTCGCCATAAAGGAATGCCGGTCAGCGAGTAAAGGGAAAGGGGAGTTTGGAAGTCGTCAAAACGTACTGATCTGGAGATTATAAAGCTGTTTCCTCGCGGCCCGGACGTTTCTGGGCAACTGTTCCAACATTGGTGAAAGGTAACATGAATTCTAATTTGGATCTGACGCTCGGATGCGAAACTGAATAGAGCCGCCCCTATATCTGAAGCAAGTTTTCCGCTTCGCAGCGCTGAAGGCAACAGGAGACATGATGGCCTCAACCTAGGTACGTTCACGAAAGTTCGAAGATGTTCAGCAAGGCACCGCCGGCGACACCAATGGGAATAGATGAAATGAAATGAATGTCAAAGTTGAGCTGTCAGCATGGTCAATCCCCACGAGCCCCAAGGTGTTCACCATCCTCACTCACATGATGGCCCCGTGCTGATGCAGTGTAACCACGCCTTTATTCTCTATAACAAGGGGAGAGTTACATGGAGCTATGGCGATACAGTGGCGTCGATTGCGAATCCATTCAGGCTTGCAAAAGAAGGCTCACCTTATCGCAGTTGTCTCGATGCGTCCCAGCTAATCACATGGAAATGGCGGTTCTTTCAAAACCCAATGAATCGCAGTTCACCGCCCCTGGCTCCCAATGCAGTAATGAATGGATTTGCGGTGGTGTCCGTCGACTGGCACTTGAAGCGGTTGATAAAATCACCCAGCCCAGAAGACATAGGGGTTAGTGCCCCATCAAACACCGCGCTCAATAACCCCTCTGGACAAACCGAAGCCCGCATGTAGCTCGTGCAGATGTCATAATAGTCAGAGTGGAAAGAAGACAAACCCTAGAATAAGGAGAAGCAGACGCGTGTCCCAAAGGCCTTGTCGCACCCGACAACCAAATCCCAATATTCATTCGCGCATTGGTCAGAAACTGCGTGTCCAGCCAAGAAGTCCATTCGATTGCCCAACCTGAATGGTCTGGACCTACTTCTGAGGATCATGAACAGTGCGCCTGGCCGTTTGGCGGCGACGACTGCCCGTCAATAGATAGACACGAGTGATTTTCGTCACGAAATACAAGCGGTGAATGTTGAAACTGTGAAGCATGCAAGTCAGCCTGAATGCGAGACACGTGTTCGGGGCCGCATCCCAGTTTTTAGACCATCTTCAGATGTAATCCCACGGAGTAGTGACACCATTTATTCAAAGAGATCTATCACCCCCCATCATTAGTGTCATGATGTCTACGATTATCTATTAGACAGCCCTCAACAATCTGGATCTAAGGAACCCGGTGTTTGCCCCGAATGCCCCAGGGTTCGGTCCCATTTTCCCTTGAACTTAGCCAGCGACCCAACTTCAGACAAAGAACTGCACAGGAAGAGCGACGTCCCAAAGCATCAATTCCTAGTGTTGACAATGTTGCGCCGACCGCGTACAGTATAACCCATCGTACGCTCCGTCATATGCCAACAGGCACAGATACATACTTAAAGTGACACCCACACACACACACATTCACAGTCGTCCGAGGATGCCCTGCGTCACATATTCTTCACTGGCCACTTTACCATGGATCAAAACCTGGATGTTGTTCTTCGCGATTTTGACGCAAACATCTTGCCGAGTTTGTTATTTGATCGACCGCTGAGCTTTCGTTGTCCTCCTGACCACTTTCATGTGTCTTAGGCGGCATCATGGATTGGGAACTGTTCCACAGCCGCCCAAAGATGGTTATTTTCTTAAACGGAAATGGGGCGGTTTTTCGTTCCGGCGAGACCGTGCCCCGGCTCTTTGTCTCCAGGTGCAGAAGTCCCCGAATCAGGGACATACTCCTTTGTCCAGGTACGTACAAATTGATTCACTCTGTGGCGTCGTCATGCATTATCTTGTAGATGGTACCCCGATCAGTGGGTTGGAACACCCTTTCAGCTCGTGTTCGCCATCCAACTATCTCCACTCCTTCAAGGGTAAGTTGCACACCCCCAACAAGACATGTGGTACAAACCCGATGGATTTCCCACAGACAGAGCACTACCGAACGCGTGTTCGTGCCCGACTTATCTCAGGCCTTCCAGTCATCAGAGGTGATTGTAGTCGATTCAAAGCAGCGCACATTTTCCCACCAAGTAGCGTCACAGATCCTGCCCCTCTCGCGGAGGCTGGAGGATCAACAAAGATCGGCTCGATTCAGAATGTGCTGTTGCTGCGCAGCGAATTGCATGATGCATGGGACGTGCCAATCTTATGTCTGTTCTCACTGCGAGTCGCAACAGCGAGGCCATGTCATCTCCTTCGTTTCTGGCCACGAGGAAAGGTCCTCAAATTGGGCTGCATCGGGAACCGGGATTTGTGTCCCCTCGCCAATGACCTCTTACGTGACCACTTTCTCCAAGGCGTCCTGAAGAATATGAAAGGTACTAGCGAGCCCACTTGTGACCATGAGGATCCCTTTGGGGTGGCATGATGGATCTATCAAGGCAGGATGGTTTTGGGAGTACTTGGAGTACGAGCTAGCTCACAGATTGCAGTGTTTTTGTTTCATCAGAGTCTGCGGTCAGATGATTCCCACGATTTTAGCAATCCTAGCCTTGATATCAGTGCTCTGCTACTGGGTGATTGTCAACTTGGTTTTTACCCCGAATGTCCCAGAGTTCGAGCTCACTTTTTTCTCATCCCTGAACTCAGCCGGCGGCTAATGTTTTCCTTACCTATGCATGTGCGTCCTCTGACTCTTTCCTGAGAACCGCGGTCACTGGCACCGCGAAAAACGTGTGCCTGTTTGTTCCGAAGCATCGATTCTTGCTCTCCTGTCAGCGCTACGGACACGATACCCATATTTCACTGGGTGCCCAAATCCACCATCCAAAACGAATTAGATAAAGGGGACCAACAACTTATACCAGTCGACATTTAGTGATGATTTGGAGGGACTTTTTCGTGGTGCTGGGTTACTATCCCCTTTATATGTAATTTCAGAGACTCCAAATCCAGTTCCATCTAAGAGGATTCGAACTCCTTCAGTAGTGCATCTACCTCAAGAACTTGTGGTTGAAGCTACCCGAGTGGAGTCCTGTGTGAGCTACACATCTCAGCGACAGAGCTGAACCTACTTTAGCATCGTGATTTTAATATCGGCTTTTTTTCATATGCTGGCTCCTTGCGTGCCCCGGGCCGGGCGCAACCGTTGTACTGAACACCATGCAGTTAGACAGTCCAGTGGCGCGCAGACTTGCTAGTGTGAAAAATGTCGTTATCGTCCTGGCTGGCAAAGGTGGGGTGGGCAAATCATCCGTTTCGACACAGTTGGCCCTCTCACTTTATGCGCACGATCCAAGCGCTCGGGTGGGAATACTAGATATAGATCTTACTGGGCCGTCTATTCCCCGCATGCTTGGCGTGGATGGACATAGCGTTCGCCAGAGCACGGATGGATGGGTTCCAGTGTATGCCGACGGGCCCGAACGGCGACTTGCTTGTATGAGCGTTGGATTCCTATTGAAGGGAAAAGGAGATTCGGTTGTTTGGCGTGGTCCAAAGAAGAATGCTATGATTCGCCAGTTTCTTAGTGATGTTAAATGGGGAGATCTTGACTACCTTGTCGTAGATACGCCGCCTGGCAAGTATTTTTGTATTTTGAGTCAAAGTTTACTTTCGCTTGATGACTTTGGTGTGCGGGTAGGAACATCGGACGAACATCTATCGCTCATGGAACACCTTGCGCCTCTTCATCCCCACCTTTCCTCGATAATCGTGACAACTCCACAGGCTGTCGCTCTAGCGGATGCCTTGAAATGTCTGTCATTCACTCGAAACGTCAACCTGCCCGTCCTAGGCTTGATAGAGAATATGAGTGGATACGTTTGTCCATGCTGCGGGAAAGTGAGCAATGTTTTCAGTACTGGTGGTGGAGAAGCAATGGCACGGCGCGGGTCGCTTAATTTCTTGGGGGCGTTGCCGATTGACACGAATCTGGTTTCTTTACTTGACCATGAAGAAGCTGACTCGAGTTCGACGGAGGAAAGAGAGATCAATGCTAACGCCGAACCCGTTGCTTTTCCCTTACTGGAACGTTACAAAGAAACCGACACGTTTCCACTGTTTCAGACAATGCTTGAGAGGACTTTATTGCGCCTGACTTCTGCTTCGACCGATCAAAATCCACCTCCTTAGCGAAGCTGAAACAACTCTACCTACTCATTCCGAATCACATCACTTTGCTCACGACTCAATCCGTGACGTGTGAGTCGCACTGGCACTTTGATGGCGGGGTTTGACGTGTTCTCACTGTCCCCCCTTCCTGTCATAGTTTCACAGACTAACCACCCGGTGTATCAGGTATCATATCTCTGTATCAAATATAATATGAAAGGACGCTTTCCCCCCTCGCCCTGAATCGCAGTTTCCGCATCGTCGGTAGCTTTTTATCTGAAGCGTAATTAAAACCATCCGATACCCGATTTGAGTAAGCAGTGTGATCCGACTACGAGGTCGCGTCTACGGAGGATCGATTGCGAGGACTCCGCGGGCGTTGGGAAGAGACGCGAGGAGGATGCATACGGGTGTGGATCGTTGTCGTCGTCGTCCCGAACGATGCGATAAATTGCAATTGTAGCTTGAGTCCTCGCTTTTGCCTCCGAGTCCATGACGGGAACACCTGTGAACATGTTAGCCTCGTGGACCCAGTAAATAACGTCTAGCGCCCCCGCTGCAGACACCCTGCAACCGTGTGTTCCGTTTCTTTTGGCCTTGGGTGCATACTTAACCACCCACACCCGCCTGTCTCTGCAGAAGCGCCCACCACCGACAACACCACCAACAACTCATAGGGACGCGGGCGAATCACGTTCAGGCAGTTCCCTTTTCTTTGCCATTCAAGCCCTTTTTTCATTACACACGTGTACGACAGGCCATAAGAATTTTGGTGGGTCTAGTCTTCATTCCTGTGTTCTGTCCTCGTTCCTCCCCAAGCACTCACCAGGTCCCTGGCAGATACTTTAATTCCACTCAATCAAGGACAATATTGTGCAACCATTCCCAGGACTTAGCCCGTGATCGGCCTTTTACCTTGTGGCGTCAACTCGTCTTGTGCCAACCTTACGATTATCATCAGCCCCGAATAACGAACCATCCACCAAATTGCCCTCTCGACGAGCGATCCGCCGTCGGCTTGCCCTAGATAACGATGGGCGACGACCCGCGTTCCTTTGAACACGAACAATATCCAAATAATCCTCAGGAATATCCTACGAATTCGCCATCACGTCCGTACCCAGATGTATACCAGCCTGCTCCGCCCCACCAATCCATACCCCACCATTCATCGGCACCAGCTGGAAACCAACAACAGCAACATCGTCCATTGGCACAAAATGCACAGCAACAATCTCAGGTCGTTCACCAGCAATCAGACCACCAATCCCTCCAGTACGCCTCAGCATCATGTCCCCCCTCGTCCACACTTAGCCTATATTCCTCATCCCCAGCACTATGGTCCCGAATATCCAATGCATACTAATAATGTCCCCGGCTATGAGGCGGCCCAATCAGGTAAGTTCTTCCTCGTTGTTGATGATGGTTCCTGATGCATCGTTCTGCGTGCACGGAATCGCGTGCCCTGGAACTCGCTATTGCCGATCGACGCCTCGTGAACGCTTCTTTATGGGGTTCAATGGATGCCCACTCTTCGAATTGACTTGTTCGTGCTATCATCGGGTCAGTCGCACGACGTTCAGGTGACTGTCAACCAGTATAGCGCGTACGATGCCCATGCATCTATGAACAGCAATGGGGTCGGTATGCAGAGCGCCGGCGGACCGCCCACTCCTGGCGCAATGCATTCCCCGTTGCAGTATACTACTCCCACTCTCGAAATGATTCGTGATAATGGTCCACGCCCTGGATGCGTCCTCGGTATTAGTAAGCAGGGCCGCGACTCCATTCTCGATGGATACTAGAATCTGAAGAAGGGCAGCTGAATTGCCCTCCTCCCGATCTCTTCAGGAGTCATGGTGACAGGTTGAGAAGGAATGGTAGCGAGCGTAGGAGTAGCGGAAGGAAGGTCGGGAGACGTAGAGGGGGTGGTTTTGGCCTTAGAACCATCGATATACCCCAATAAACCATTGCCCATTAGGACAAGCTTAGCCATTGTCTTCCAAGCCTCGTAGTTTGATCCGTCTGACCTAAGTCTGTCGCGCTCGAAGATCTCGAAATCAACTCTAGTAGTATTTGAGGTCATCTTGACGATTGTGGTCAATGGCGAGTTAAGGTTAGAGAGCTGCTGGGATCGTAACCTAATAGCGTACAGGGCTCCATGTAAGTGGAAAGACATGAGCCAGTGAGGATCAAAGTAACAAACCTCAGTCTCTAGCGGATAGCAGGATGAGACCTAGATTATAAATAGAGAGCCACTGGGCCTGTAAACTAATAAGTTAGCGTGCAGTGTTTGGTGGAATACGATATAAGTGAAGGCGCACGCGCGCTAGTGAAAGTCGAAACAACGAACCTCAGTCTCTAGCAGATGAGAAACAAATGAGGACGAGATTATAAATAACGTCTAGGTCTACAGCATAAGTGGAGAGATACGCCCTTGGTGACAAAGTGGGACAACGCGAACTCGTGAGAAAGAAATAAAGTTCCGAATCAATTGTCGGATGTCTCACCGGCGTGCATGGTGAGTCACTCGTTGCCATCTCACAACCCATCAAATTCGTCCTCCAATATTTGGGCTATGTCAAACATCAGGAAGCTCAAATGATTAATTTTGCATGTCAGTGAGCATTAAGTAATTCTTCCAACAAGCCTACTTTATCGGCACATTGCTCTAACGCTCGCATCAACGCTGAGGTTCATGTGTATGTGCTACATATTGATGACTGAAGCACAATACATATCTGCCTACTCTGCATACCGAGAACAGAGAAACTAGATCGAGCACAGTCACTCGAAAATGCAATCAGATCACCAATCACACTGACACGTACACCAGATTAACTATCCAGTCCCATCCCGAAAATGTACAGAACTAGGCAATGCTGAAGTAATTGACACTTGCAGCAGAATTCTAGTTTGATCGCACACCCATATCCCAGGTAAATTACCCCACCCTTGTCGCACCAACATATACCCCATCAATATCCTCCGTGTTTAGCGAGGGCTTCTCATCGTTCTTCTTCGGTGGCGAAGGTAGGGTGATAATACCCTTAATTCCAATAGCCATATGCCCCTCCAGTTCTTTAATATCGGAGATTTTCAAGTAAGGCTTCGATACCTTGAGAACCTCCCTCGTAGCCTCCACATGTTTCTTCAACTTCGCGGAATCTCCTGAGCGGAATGCGTCACTGCCCGGACCAATTGATTCTTGAAGTCTAAGGATTGTTTTGTATATATCCCTGGCGCGAGGATTAGTACAGAGCTCCAGCGTGAGCTGCGAATGCTTGACGTACTTGAGCGCTCGGACCCTCTCCATACCGCGCTCTATATCAGTCTCAGATTTGGCACCACCAAGCCTGCGAGTACCCGCACCCTTCGCATTCCTAACAAGCACCAGCATTTTTGATAACACAAACAAGACATGAGGAAGCGGGCCTCGAACGAGCGAGATATAGCAGTGGCGATGCCTGGGCTCTTTACTCCAGTCAAACACTAGTCGCTGTGTATCTTTTGCGCACTCATAGAATATTTTGTGGAGCTTGGAAAATTCGATGAGCTCTCTGCGAATTCTGTGTTGTCGATAGCAGCGTTGAATGATCGCTACAGCATGCTCGAGCCCATCGTCAGTTCGCGTGGCCTTAATGACTTCAGGATCGGCAGGAACAGTGGGCTGGGTGAAGGGCTCTGCGGAAACGAGGAGTCCTTCGTCCTCGGGTGGTGCTTCGTCCTCTACTTCCTCCACTGTCGTCGCTGTCGCTGCGTCAACTGCAGTTGCTGTCATGACGCTCTGATCGAATTTCCCGGCCAGTTTTAATTTGATATCATCAAGATCAGTGAACTCTATGCGTGGGATCGCTGGAAATGCTGTGATAGTTTTTAATCCCTTCTTGTAAAGTAGAACCAGATCGTCCTGAACCCTGTGGAAAGTTAGGGCTCTCACTAAGTCCCACCACTCCTTCGCGTTCGCATATCTTGTGTACGGCAGTTAGCTGAGTAGTTCATTTCAATAGTTAAGCTTACCTTGAGTATAGATTACCATGAGGCCTTTTAGGGTCGAAACTCATCGTGATCGAATTCAAAATTGAGACCCTCCACTCGTTTGCCGATGCCGGACAGTTGAATCCAACTGATAATTAGGAAGTAAGCACAGCGAAACTGAAGCACCGAAAGCTGACACCGACTAAGCACTAGTGCACGGCAGCTGCGCCAGTCAGAAATTTAGTAACATTATCCTCTAGCTTTGAAGCCACATTGCTGACACGCACATTCTGGCTAGGATTTCTCCTCTCAATGTCCATGAAAGCGGAAATGGGCGTCCTTGGAATGTGAGCGATCCTTTACGGGGCAATACCGCAGTTACAAATATGAAGCTCCCGAACGTGAAATGAAACTTGCCGTATCCATTCCAATTGTTGACAGTCCGTAGCAGGCTCACAACATGACCCAAGAAGAGATAAATGTTGAAGTTACATCTAGGAGCCTGAGTGTTCATGCCTGTCATAAAGATAGCCCAGGAACGGGGGAGCAGCAGACTGTGATAGGGGTCTTCTCTGGCACGTCTACATTCAGATATGACACGCAGCGAAAGATGTTCCAAATAATAGACAAGGGCATTAAGGTCGATGGAGGGGCACTTTTCCACCGCCCATCTTTTGCAGAGATGAGGAATTATCATACATGAAATGGAGGGGATGCTCGAGACTCACCCAAAAAAGTTCGCACCCTGCACGACAGGGGCTTGAGCCTCGGTTACCAACAGATACATCATGTCATGCGCGTATGAGCTTTGAGACCGCGGATTGAGGACCCACTGAATGGACTTAAACATCCGCAGGTCATGCCAAATGTATGATGGTAATTGACGCCCGTGGAAAACATAAGCCATCATGACAAGCATGACAGCATCAGTAGCGAACCAGTTTTGAGCGTCGCGATGAGTGGGAGAGAGATCTCGGATCCTTTGCTCGATCCAGTTCCCAAGGAGGGGAAGAGCTCGTTGGGCCTCTGGAAATGGTGTATTGACCAAATTAGAGTCTCCGTATGCTCGAGCTAGTGGGAACAAAACATAATAAATTCTTTGTACCCAAACCCTCTGTACGTCTTTCCGCAAGCCAGGATCACAACGTGGAATAGACCAGAGATGTCCAAGCGCCGCCACAATCTGCAGGTGAACTCGGAAATACATGGCGAGATCAAGTGTCGCCTCGTGAAGTCGAGTGCACTCAGTGCGGGTCCTGCAATCACCTACTAATTTGTATTCGAGGCAAGGTCTGAGCACAGCAACCTGAGTCAAATCATAATGAAGTCGAGAGAGGAGATCGAGCACCACCACTTCAAGATTAGAACTCAGCAGCTTATTGAGATCATCCCCGCGAACGTTTATTGAGCCATTTGTGAAGACAATGTCCAACCCTTTCGCTCGGTTTCTGTCCACTAGCCGGCTGGTATGAGAGCCAGGGGCGATACAGAACTCATCTTGAAGAATCCTGCCATTCGTGTCTACTGCTGGACGGAAGCCAAACAGCTTGGTAGCACCAGAAAAATCACACAACCTGTCTTGACGTAGCATGAACATAAGATGGTGGCAGTAGGCGTCAACTATAGCTAGCCTGTAGCTCAAACCTGCTAAGCTGGTACTTTTCGATTCAAAAGGATACCGCAGTGCGTGGTTGAATGACAATATCAATGCGATGGCATTTTTCCCTTTGAATTCGCGACCGATATTGCATAAACTCGTTAAGTCCTCCGTTACGATGGCTTTGAACATGTCCACCTGGATAAACAACGAGTGAAATGTGGTGAAGACTACCAATATTTGACTTACTTCTGAAGTGCAAGCCTCAGTGAGGCTGCTCCTGGGGATGGCACTGAGAAGGTCAAAAGACTCCTTTAGGACTGCGACATCGGGAACGAAGAGCGCTATGTTCCAAAGTTCCCACAACAGGAAGCTCGCAGCACGCTGCTGCGCATCAGGACGCCCGGACGAGACCCAGCATTCAGCAGCCTTCCTATGCTGACCATCTCTTGAAAGTATCTCTGCCGCAGCTATATACTCCCCTTCTGTTTGTATATGGCTACTACGAGGTCAGAGCGTTCGTGTAGATAGTCGTTTACAAACTCGACCTCTTCATCAGCGTTATCGAATAATGGGCTGGCTCGTCTGGTAGCGTTGCAATGTCAAGCATTGAGTATACACAGACAAACAGAAAACACACTCAAGTTCACTCCGTCGCAAAAACTGCAACTTGACACTGTCCAGAATCTTCCCACGAGTAGGTTCCTCCACAAGCGACGATGTCCCGTCAGGGGGTCGCACGAGTCTGGCAGCGTCATCGAGCCGTTGAGCTTTGTGGTAATTGAGAGCAGCATCAGTGATATTTCCTGCTGCTTCGAAATTGACACCGGCAGAAGCGAAATCACCCCCCTCGGCAAAACATTCTCCTGCCCTGCGTCTCAACGTTGGTACTCCGGCGGAAGGGAGTTGAGCGCATGCTTCAAAGGCACTTCCCGCCACTTTGAAAGCCACTAATCGTTGTTCACCGAGTGGCAGAGATCGCGCATCCTTCCTCCTCTGATACGCCAAAGCTATGTCTCTGGAATCCGGACGTTGAGCCTTCTCAAAGCATGATGCAGCTTGAGCGAACAATGAACGGGGAAAGAGGGTTCTCCCAGTGGAATACCACTCATCGATGGTCGACGTTGCTATGATCAGTCAGCAAACTGTCAAAAACAAATCCAAAACCCGAAAACGTACTTGCCAACTGCGGAAAAGGCTCCGAGGGGTCATGTATCCTGACAAGATTCTGTGATATCCAGTGGTTCTACGTCACAACTCAGTATTCACGCCGCTGAGGGAAGTGTTAACCAGCATACCAGCATTGGTTCAGCAATATCACTGGAATCCCAAAGCCAGATGTGATGACGAGCTCTTGTGATCGCCACATAAAGACGTTTCAGCTCGGACTCGATAACTCGGTGCTTGACAGGATCTGCGTTTTTCGATTGTATCACTCTCCATTGAGCAGGCGAGGCAGGAGAAGAGCCAAAAAAGTTGTACAGAAGGACATCATCGAACTCCAGGCCTAAAGTCAATGACGCGTGTGAGCGTTGAATGGGATAAAATAGGGAATTCTACCTTTGCTCTCTAGAAGAGTGAGCACAAGACCCTCATTGCCGAGGGCTGCTCGAACTTCGTCACGGGCTTCGTCATTGCGTACAATAATGACCTGGCGGGCCCCAAAATCGAGTCGTGTATCGCTAATATCCAGCGGATTCGTAAGTCTGATAAGCGCTACAGGGGACAGGTTACCAACCCGGAACCGCAGAGGAATTGCTCCCAATGTACTAATTTCTCACGAAACACCCTTGGTTTTGGTCCCGCAACGATGGAAGCTTCTCGTTGCAGCTTGTCGATAGAATATGGAAACATCGACGAAAGGAGGTCGATGATGGACGCTGCACACTCCACGATGCCGCCGTGACTGCGGTAATTCACGAGCAGCTCAAACACCTCAGATTTCACTGCCTGGCGAGCACCTTCTTTCACAAGCGGGTTATTTAGCTAGCGAAGAGATTGAGGAACCAGCTCAGAAGCAAAGTGTGCTGTCATTGAATCAATCCTCACCTCCTCCAGGTACACTAAAGCCTTGAGATCCTCAAACCGGAAGCTGCTCCCTACAGAGATCGTCTGTGCCGTGTCACCTCCCCAGAAGTGTCCATGTGGGTTAGGGCACAAATCACGAAGCACTTGGGTCCCAGATCGGGTCAACACGAAGCTGAAAAAGCGATTGAAGACATACTTTTTGTATCAATGATGAGTAAATCCTGGACTTCGTCGATGTAGAGGAAATCGATGTTGGCAACCTTCGGATCTACTTTGCAAAGAGAATTGTGGGTCCTGGACAAAGACGTCGGAAAGTGAAGCCCCAACGAAAGTTGTACATGCGAACCCGTCTGTACCATCAGGGGCATTATTAAGGAGCTCCGAATTCAGCTTCCGAAGAAGTTTGTGGGTCCTGGATGGTGACACTGATAAATAGCCCTTGAACAAGAGTTGCGCTCACGAACCTGTCCGCACTGTCAAACGCATTGTTAGCAATTTTAAGCTTATGATACTTCTCGAATATATCATATATACGACCACGATCTGAAGCGAACGCGGAGTGCGACTAAACCGTCATCAGTTATGTGACAAGACAAATCACAATGGAACTTACGCGATGGCTTAGAGCGATGTACGCTTCCCGAGTCAGATAGCCATCATCTGTTTTCATGGTGTCCTTATGCCCACGGATTACACCCCTGCCGAAAGAGATCAGACCTCCTGATATTACTGGGTATCTAGAATCTCACATAATTTCACTTAGAACTTGGGCGGGATCTGTCCGTGTTGCACAACGTAGGCATCAACATCATTGCATCGGACAAGCAATCCATACCTAGGCCTTTGATCTGTCTCTGATCCATATGGCTCCAATAATGAGCCTTGAACGCTCTGGAAACAGTTTAATGTATGTCAATTATTTGGCAGCCGGGGAGAATCACTTACTCAAACGTAACAAGTCCACTATGGCCGCGACGAGTGTCCGGTGAGGAGTCAGACGAATCCCGAGTGTCATTGGCGATGAGATCTGTCAGGTTCTTCTGCTTCTTAACGTGAGGTGTCGTCGCCGGTGCCTTCGTCTTCTGAGAGGCACCGCGATGCCACGCAATGTCATACTCAGCCTCTAACATTCGTCGCAGCTACACACCACAAAAATTATCCATTCCGAAACCATTAGACCAAGAACAAGAAAATGATCTACCTGATCATAAGTAAGGAACAACGGAAAATGTTCATCTTGAAGTTCTGAGAAACGGTCAGGCAGGTCAGGTCGATCATCAGCCTCTTCGTCCAGTTCGGTCAAGTGTTTCTCCGATGATTTGACGCGCTTGTTCCCCGGAACAAGCGCAGAACCAATCTGCGTAGCTTCCAATAACTGCAGATAGTACTCTTCCACTTTCGAAGCCAGCACGTGGGACTGCGTTAGAAAAACTTGGTGGATCCGGCCAGACCCACCCAGAAACCCCGATTGTCTGCGGGCCTCTTCGAAACTTAGCAATTTGAACACCATCGTTGTGGTTTTTCCTGGAAAGGGCGGCATCAAGGCAAAGAAAAAATAAACCCAGTGAACCATACGATCCACTGACCAGTCCCGCTTCGTCCAATTACAAAACACGACGAAGGATGTTGAATGATTTTCATCTCGGCTTGCCTTTCCGAGCCCTCATTTTAACATCGAATTCAGCGACAGCTGGCGGGAGACTCACGAAACGAAAAATGGATGGACGGCATCAATATCCTGAAGGATTGCTGTAAAAAAGAAGAGTTCAAGTCCTGAGCCACTCCTAGATGTATGTCCTCACTATTTAAAACAGCCTAAAAGGTTCGATTAGCCATATTATGCTCGATATTTGAATGGAAAGCGCACCGCCGAATAGGGAATAAATTTTTCGAGAGACAGAATCTTGTGCAGTTCCAAGCATTGATCCTCGGAGAGGGCAGAGGCTGATTCTGCGCGTGTAATGGTCGACTTGAAATTGCCGTCGGAATGCGGCCAGACATGAGGCGGAGTCATGTTGTTCGCTCCCACCCCAACCTGACGAGGCTGCACACGGTAATTGATCCTGACGGGGAGCAGCGAGCATGAAATTCTCATCTCAACCAAATCACTCTTCTAGTACTTACATATTTCTATAAGCTCCATCAACCTTTTGAATTGTTTGTGCCACGCGACTCCAAAGACGATGGTCGAATTGAGCATGAGTGTAGATTCCATAAATTCTGATGATTTGCTTGTCGACCTGAAATGACCAAAACATTTTCATGAATGCCTGAGAAAGACAATATGGTAATACGCGCCTTTCGCTCATAATCAACCGCAATATCGATTTGGTATACGAGACGTAAATCGCCCGTCATCTTCGCCTCGTAAATGGGTACATCATTTGGAGCACCTTCCAACCGCTTCTGATTTGAACCAGAAAAAAGCCCTAGCGAGGGACGGGGACCACGGTCAGCGCATAGAACGAAGCATTGCCGGATAATGGATTACCTTCAGAAAGTTTAATGATCTTCTCCTGGATAATCTTGAATGTGGACTTGTCAGCGCGACGAAACTGGCGAAGGTGCTTGATTGCAGTGGAAGATATATAGATATTCCACTCTCCAAACTCAGCAGGCCACTCAAACGAGTACCTGGCTTTATCGGGAGAGATTGTCGGATACTTCATTCTGTCAGATTGGAACTCCTCAGCAGTGCTTTCGGGAGCTGGCACAACGGCTTCAGAGCGCCTTCGAGGCCGGGCTAATTCGACAGGTGCTTGGACAACTCTTAGCACGAACTCGAAGATGATAGACTGAACACTCTTCTTTCCGAGTATGTCGATCAGAAACTAGCAAAAAGGTTCGATTTAGCTGATGCAAACCGAAAGTATATCACACAACTTGATTCACCTGAAGGGAGTTACGTTGCGAATTCAAAAAATCTCTGGAAAGAAATGTCCACTCTTCTTGTGAGGTGGGTATTTCGACTTGAAGAACTTCGAGAGCCTTGACATCAGTCTGAGTTACATGCACAGAACCACGTTTTTTCCCTCGAGTCTTCTGTCTCTTCCGAGTGTTCGGCTCGGGAATCACTGGAGTGTATGGTTCATAATCATCGTCGAACCGCATCGCTTTCATGGATTGCAGAGCTTGTGTGACGAGGGGCACAGTTCGTAGATGCTCTTTGAACAGACTTTGGTCGATATCTCGGGGAGGTGTTATCTTCCCAGTAACATTTACGAGCGCCTCGAGGACCGAACGATGACACGACGTTGAGAATGTTCCCGGATCGGAGGGAAACTGGTCGAGAATCCATCTGGAAAAGAAAGAACGCATATCACGATTGCCTGAAACAAAATTTCATTTAGGGGTCACAGGGACCAGCACTTTGGCACTCACTTGATAACAAAATAACCAGAACGTCCGGGGCTCGTGTGAGCTCACGAGAAAGCATTTCGACGTCCCACCGAATTTGAAGTCCATCGTTTTCCTGTCCCAAGACCAGAGTCCCTATCGCAGCCTCGATCCCACCGGGAGCAGATAAGCTCTTCAGAGAAAACTCGGGGCGTAAATTGTGAGAGGGATTCGCGTCAGAATCCTTTCGCCTTTTAGTGGGCATGAAGAACAGAGCGATGTGTAGAGCTTTTTCGAGGAAAGGACAGGGGAAGTTTGGTAGTTGTTAAAATGTGCTTGAACGAGATTATAAGGTGCTTTCTTGCACGCCTCAGTGCGGTGAAAGGTAACATGGATTCTAATTTGGAATTTCATGCTCGGAAGCGAAACCGAATGGAGCCGCCCCAAGTTCCCACCCGAAGTAAGTTTCCCGCTTCGCTCAAGGTATATAACATGGTGAGAAGAAACAAAGGGTGAATGCTTAGTGGGCGCTGAGCATGAGGCGTGATGATCATAATTTTGGTGTGTCCATGAAAGTTCGAAAATGATAGCTCCGCCAGTGTGTGACACCAGTGGCAATGGATATCCGGACGTCAAAGCCAGACCATTGGCTTGGTCGATCCCCACGAGGCTTACATCTAGTGTTGGCCGTTCTCACTCATGTGATGACCCCGTGCTGATGCAGTGCAACTACGCCTTTATTCTCTACAGAAGGCGATAACGAGGGAAGACTTAATTGACATGATGTTACACAGAGCCATGGCTACACATGTGGCGTCGATTGCGAATCCATTCAGACTTGTCTTTGAAGCAAAAGAGGACAACCGTCTCGATATGTCCCGGCTGATCATATGTAAATGGATGCTGCGGTTCTCGCCAAACCTAATGAATCCCAGGCTATCACGCTTGTTCCCCGTGCAACAACGAACGGCGTTATAGTATCATGCGTTCGGTTGGCACTTGATTCAAGCAATTATCATGGAAGCGAAAATCACGCAGCCCAGAAGACATGGGGGCTAGTGCCCCATCAACCGCCGCGCTCAATAACTCCTTTCAGCAAACTGAAGGCCGTGTGTAACTCATGCCGATGTGATAAGATCGAGTGGGAATACCCCTACGCAAAATTACATGTCCAGCTAGAAGCTCCATTCGACCTTCCCAACCCCAACGGTCCAGATCCACTCCTGACGACGAACAATGCGTGCCACATCTGAAGTGCGCCGAGTTCATGGTGAATGAACGTAGATTACGAAGCGTTAGGAAGGATCAAGAAGTTATAAATAGCTAGGCTGTGGCGCTAAAGGCTTCAACCAAAACGGCATTTGTGTGTGCACCAAACCGCACCATGTGCGCTTGGCTGTTCGGTGGTGGTGGCTACCATCGACAGATAGACACGAGTAATTTTTGTCACAAAATACCAGTGGTAGAATGAAGTTACGAAATGCGTCAGCGCGAGACACGTCACATCTATCGACCACGCATTCAGATGGCCAGAGTGGCTCAGAGTCGTCCCACATGCTGAAGTTGCCGTAACCCCGCCTGAGTAGCACCGTTTATTCAACAGAGATTCGCCACCTCCCATTAGCGTCACCCTGTCTAGAGCCATCTATTAGATGGATTGCATTTTTGCGGGACTTATGAGGATCCTCCCTTGCCGCAGTCACACAGGATTCAAAAGGTACCCAGTTCAGCTGTGTGCGGGCAGTTAGCTGAAGCGTAACGTCATCACTAGAACGGATAGTGCCCTGACGTTCTAACCCTTGAACGCTGGCGGCTAACTCCAGGTAGGGAGAACTGCGCGCCGGTTTTCGGGGTAGGTGACCGGATTCAACTTTATACGTAACGTTCTGTGAACGTGGCTATGACATTCAAGCCGATAGGTCTAGGCAGGATCCCAGCCTCGACTAAAGTAGAGCATATTTCCATTATCCACCATCCAAAATGAATTAACGAACAACCTAATACCAATCCAAATCTTCGGCATTTAGTGATGGTTTGAGGGGACGCTTTTGTGGTGCCGGAGTAACTATCCCCTTAATCCCTATGGCCATATGGAATCTCAAAGGCTCCATGTCTAGTCCTATTGAGGAGGATTCTAACTTATTGAGCAGTGCATCTACTTCCAGGACCCGTGGCCCGAGATCGGTGGAGCTGCCCGAACGGAATATTGCACTTTCAGGACCTATTTCCCTCTGCAGCTCGCTCACACGTTCATGGCAGTGGCTAAGTGGAGAACGCAATGTGAACTGCACATCTCACCGACAGAAGCTGAACCTACTTTAACGCCGTGATTTGGTTCTTGCACTCTATTATTGAATCACCAGGTTCTGTGGTGTCAAGGCGGCACTTCGCCGCTTGTTTGGCGTTTCGAACCTCCACCAGGATTCTAGAAAGAGCGAAAAGGACGTGGGGAAGTGGCCCGCGAACGATGACAAGGAAGCGGAAGCGGTGCACTGAGCCTTGATATGATTGAAATTTGATTTTCTCGGCGCTCTTCGCACAAGCCAGGAAGACCTTCTGAAACTCGGAGGATTCGAACACCCGTCTTGCAACTAGGCGACGGTACCGCTGCTGAATAAGAATGACAAACGGCGTGATTTTTTTCACTGTCTGTGTATCTTCAATGAACTTTATCGTCGTGGTTGTGGTCCACTGATCCGGATACTTGTTCGTATTCAAACCAACTGAGAAGAGCGGAACGTGACGGTGGACCCCAGTAAGCTTGTCCCGCAATTCATCCCTATCACTGAATCGTATACACTCCACCATGGTCTGTATCTCACTCGGCATTCCAGCGCCATTTTGGCACAGAACCACCAGGGAGTCTGGACCGCCGTGGGCTATCAGCGCTTGCACCATATCCCACCACCTCCTGGCCTTAAGGAAACTGGGGAAGTAGTCATGCCGTCAGTCGTGCAGATGCAAAGAACCCCCGTGACGCACCCTGCATAGCGGTTCCCGGGTGGTCCGAAGTAATCCAGAGTCTTAATCGCATCAAAAATGCCTGGCCAGTATTCGTAGGGACCATTGCAACCAACTGGAACCCAAATGGACCGTCCGCGACGTCAAATCACTCATAAATGGGACTCACCGATAACAAGAGCACGACAGCTAAAGGACCGCGACGTAAGGTGCACGAAGTTATATAAGCAAAACTTGTAAACTTACATTCTAACGATCATTTCTTGCCTCAACGGCCATGATCGTGGGAACGCATTGCCATGAAGCGTGAAGACTCCTGATGAAGGACCAGAGATTAGACCAACCAACTTGAGGGCTGGAGGGCCATACCAGAGCCATCCCAGCCACTGATGTTATGAAGTATCTCTATTATGGGAGTCAGCAGCTCCCTAATACGAAATATGGTCGGAGGATTGTCCGAGAACATGTCCAGGACCCGGATTGCCCAGCTACGCGGCAAAAGGAGATTATGCAGAGGTCTTGGCCGCCGGCTGCTGCATTGAAAAACGAGCTGTATACAAAGAATCTCCAGAAAATGTACCAGGACGTTCAAGTCTATGGGAGGCTTTTTCTCAACCACCCATCTTGCTTACGACTTAGTCCATCGTCCACAACAACCAATGACCTGATCACTCACCGGAGGAATCTCACCCCGTTATCCACAGGGACCTGAGAGTCGCAAACCAGCATCCACGTCAAATCGTGGATGACCGAGGAGCCCGTTTGGTGGTCTTCTAGCTCATCATGTCGATAGTACAACTTCAAGCCATACCAGAGGTAGCGAGGAAGACGCCCTCCATGGAAGAAGTGAGCCATGAGCAGGAGCATCACGGCGTTGGTGGCGAAATGTGAATCCGGAGACAATGGATGTTCCTTGGAGGCATTAATGCCCCGAATACGGTGCTCGATCCAATTTTGGACTATAGGCATGGCGCGATGTGCTTCGAGGCGTCTTAAGTCTAATATTGTGTGATTTCCGAGCATCCGAGTTACAGGGAAAAGCACAGTGAAGATCTGCTTGAGCCACTTGCGCCGAACCTTAGCATACACATCATACGGCGCGACCGTAGGAAGATGCCATAGGCAATCCAAAGTTGTCACTATTTGCATGTGAACGCGGAAGTAAAGACCTAGCATGTCCTGTGAGCCCGCTTCCAGATGGAGTTTCCGGCATGACGAAATCTTCTTGCCACAGTCTACCTGTAACAAATGTTCGAGGCAAAGGTGGAGAATACTAGCTCTCAATAACTTTGAGTGGACACGGACAAGCAGTTCTTCCATCTCGGCCTCAAGATTGTGGCGCAGTAACAGATAGAGATCCTCTCCCTTCACGTGAACCGAACCATCTTTCATTTTCGAAAGAATCTTAACGGGCCGTGAGGGGGGAGCCTGCTCCACCAGCCCTTTGGCGTACGAATTAGGGAGAGCACAGAATTCATCGGGGACGTGTTCCCCAGCCTGTCCTATCGCTGGATGGAACCCCGCGAGTTTTTGAGCAGTGGGATTGCTACAGAGACGGCGGTCTCGTAACAGCGCGATCAGTTGGCGACAGTAACTTTCGACGTTAGACAATTTCGAGAAGAGGCCCGACAAGTCTTCATTGTCGAAGTCAAGGTCATGTTTGAGGGCATGTTTGAACGACAGAATGGCTCCGGCAGTTGACCTTTTAGCCACAAAGCTTCGTCCTAAACTGCACAGGGCAGATGCGTTTCTTCCAATTATGGCCCTGAACATTTCCACCTCCATATTGTCGTTAGAACTTGAATGTGGAATGACTAAACGACCCCGAAGTCTTACCTCCATCCGCGTTGCTTCCGCCAAGGAATTGGAGGGTATGTTGTTGAGAGTCGCTCTGTGATGCTCCAGGTCGGCAATGTTAAAAGCCACGTTCCACATTGCGTCCAGCAAAGACGATGCCGCTCGGGCTGGCGAATCGGAACGGGCCCAGCATGAGGCTGCCTTCATGTCCTGGCCTATGCTAGAGTATATTCTGGCAGCAGACATAAAAGCACGTCTCCGTTCGTGTATGGAAGCAATGAGATAAGAGCTATTGCTCAAGTAATCTTCTACGAATGAAATCTCGTCTTCCACATGATCAAATAATAACTCGGCATGCCTTCGAGAAGTCAGCGCTTTCAATTATCCTGGGAGCCAGGGTTAGAGACTTACTTAAGATCCCCAGCACGCAAATACTGAATCCTTATATTATCCAACAGTCCTTCTCTCGTTCTTCTCGTAACAAGTGAGATGGAGCCGTCTGGGGGACGAACTAGACGTGCAACGTCCTCGAGTAGCTCTGCTCTGTGATAATTAATAGCAGCATCCGTGTACTCAAGGGCTTCCTCGAACTCTTTTGCTGCATCTTTGAATTCCTTGCTAAGTACGAAACATCCTGCAGCATTCCGTCGCAGAGCTCGGGTACCGGCCGAACTGGCTTCAGCGCAAGCCCGAAAGGCGGCCCCTGCATCACGAAATGCGGCGATGCGTTTGTCGTTCTTGGAGATGGCCCTAGCATCCTTTCTTTGCTGATACGCCAGTGCAATGTCATGGTCATCCTTGCGTCCAGCCTTATTAAAACATGACGCGGCCTGGGTATAGAGAAATTTAGAGAACAATGTTCTGGCCATATCATTCCATTCGTCCGTTGTCGAAGGAGCTAGCGCGAACACCCTCCACGTCAAACATGCGTAGTAACCATAGCGGAGAACTTACTTGCATCCAGCTGCGGAAATGGTTTTGACGGATGGCAGATCTCAACTAGGTCCTTGGAAAGCCAATAATTCTACGCAACGTTTCGTTAGCCAACAGACTTGATAGGGACGACAATAACAATAGTCACCAGCATTGGATCTGCAGTAGGACTCGAGTCCCAAATCCAGATATGAAGCCGTGCACGTGTGAGTGCTACGTAGAGCCTCTTGAGCTCGGTTTCAAGGACGCGGTACCTAGTGGTATCGGCTCTCTGCAGGCCTAGTACGGCTCGCCATTGAGCGCTCGAGGCAGGCGAAGACGCGAAAAAATTGTACACAAGGACGTCATCAAATTCGAGCCCTAGAAATCATGCATTCAGGGGTCCAGCTCCTAATGAGTGTTCTTGTTGTACCTTTGCTCTCGAGAAGCGTATAAATCATGTAATGCGTGCTTCCTAACTCGGCTTGGACCTCGTCCCGGGTTGTGTCGTCCCGCACAATAATGGCTCGAGAGGCACGCTTGCCGTCCGATAAGAAATTGTTCCAACGAACCCTCTCATCTCGAAAAATACACGGATTTGGTCCAGGAGCAATGGACTCCTCTCTTCGAAGCTTATCGATCGAATACGGGAAGAGGGCTGTGATAAGATCAACAATCGAGGCAGCACAAGCCACAATACCCTGGTGACTTCTATAATAAACTGGAAGTTCAAAGATTGTAGGCTTTATTGGCCCGCGTGCGCCTGAGGTCACCGATGAATTACTTCGCTGCAGGGGTGTAATATAAGCGGGGAAGCCGGCAGAGAGGACTGTTTCGATCTCTAACCTCTTCACGGTATACAAGAGCTCCGAGGTCCTCAAATCGGAAACTACTTCCAACGGAGATGGCTTGGGCCGTATCGCCCCCCCGGAAGTGGCCATGGGGGTTCGGACACAAATCCCTAAGTACTGAACAAGAGTCAGGCCTATAGGCCAAGTCATCCAGAAGTCTGCATACATTTCGCGTCAATCATCAGTAAATCCTGGACTTCATCAACATATAGGAAATCAATGTTCATGATGGCCTTATCGATGTGTTTGAGGATAATATGTGTCCTGTAGGCAATTTCCAATCGACAGGCATAGAAGGCGGAAACTCTAGCATCCTACCTCTCTGGGTTGTCAAAGGCACGGTTATGCATCTTCAATTTGAGGTACTTTTCAAACACGTCGTAAACTCGACTGCGTTCTGCAGCAAAAGAGGGATATGACTGAAAAGCGTCAGCATCAGGTATATCCCATGAATAGATATCCTACGCGGTGGCTAAGGCTAACATAAGATTCTCGGCTCATATATCCACTCGGCATCTTCAACGTGTGTTCGCCTCCGCAAATTATCCCCCTGGCACAAAGTATGATTATTTGCTCAAAATTTCGGAAGACAATCGATGGACGCACATGATCTCGCTGTATACCTGCGCAGGATCTGCAATTCGGGGTCATAATGTTAAATCCAAGGGGTATGAATGCAGGCTTACCAAGTCCTTTTATCTTTTGCTGATCGAAATGGATCCAATATTGCGATTTGAATAGACTGAAAAGGCTCAGGCAAAGGCTACGCAGACTGAAGGGAATGCAACTGACTCAAATGTAACATTTTTGTCATAGTCCCGGTACCCTTTCTGAGGGGGTCCGAAAGGGTCCCAGGAATCGTCATCCAATTCCAGAAGAGGCACATGCTTCGAACTTGCGGATCGGGCGTCTTTTCGGGAACATTGGGAGAGGGAGGTAGACGATTGAATTCCATATTCGTTCTCAAGCATGCGGCGTAACTACGTGCATGAAACCACTGCGCATAAGTAAGGGGCCTCGGGCTCGGGGAACAGGTGCCTACCTGCTCATACGTTAAGAACAACGGGAAGTGCTCGTCCTTCAGGTCCGAAAACTTTTCCGGCAAACCCGAATGGTCAACGTGTGCTTCCTCATCAAGTTCGGTGATATGTCTTTCGGCAAGTCGTGTCCGTGAGCGGCCTTTGGACCCGGAGGCCGTGCCAATCCGCGCAGCTACGAACAGCTTCTGATAATCTTCCTCCACCTTAGATGCCAGAACATGGGACTGAGTTAGAAACATTTGGCGAATGGGCCCAGGACGGTCCAGTAGATTGGACCGCTGCGCCTTTTCCCACAAAAGCAATTTGAAAAGCATCGTAGTGGTCTTTCCTGTGATAGGTTAGTAAGTGACATTCGATGTGATAAAACAAGCCGCCAACCGGTGCCACTTCGTCCAATCACAAAGCAGGAGGACATATGTTGAATAATTTTCCCCTCCGCGGGCCTAGTCCGATAATTAGCATCTTTGAGAGTGACGATTACAATTATTTAAACTTTACGAGACGCTGAATTCGTGTTCGGTGTCTATGTCCTCAATAATCGCTGATAGCAACTCAGCTCAAGATTTCGCCTGGGAGTTTCAGAGAATACCTACATGCAAGTACGGCCTGTGTGAACGGTCAGCAACGTTGTACATGAACAGTAGCTGAGACCCACCGTTGAATACGGAACAAATTTTGCCAGAGACCATATTTTATGAAGTTCTATGCATTCGTCCTCAGTCAACAATGCATTAGCGTTGCTGACAGGCAGGCGTTCTACCAACGCCCGTCCTTCATGCGGCCAAGTCATGGGTGGTGTGACGAAGTTTATCCTTGCCCCACGTTTCCTAGGCTCCATCCGATAATTCACCCTACAACGTGGGAGGGTCAACTGAACCAAGAACGTAGAACGAAATACATACATCCTTCTATATTCTTTATCGCCTCGAGGCGATGACCGCGCGATTCTACTCCACAGTCGATGGTCGAACTGATTGTGCGCGTAGACACCATGTATCCTGATCACTTGCTTGTCAGTCTAGACGATGCACTCAAAAATCAGCCTAGAAGCATCAAATGATACGATTATGCGAACCTTTAAATAATGGTCCGTATCAATATCGATCCGGTATATGAGGCGGAGGTCTCCCGTCGTCTTGGCTTCGAAAATCGGCACATCGCTGGGGACACCTTCCAAACGTTTCTGATTTGATCCAGAAAATAGTCCTATATAGCGAATTATCAGCATTGATCTCGCGGGAGAGGGAGAGCAGCCAAGCACACCCTGAGAAAGTTGGGTTATCTTTTCTTGAATGACCTTGAATGTGCCTTCGCCTCGCCGAAACTGACGCAATTGTTTGATTGCGGCTGAAGAGATATAAATGGGCCAATCCACAAAGCCTGGGGGCCAGTCAAACGCCTGCTTCGCCTTTTCCGGTGCAATCATCGGGAACCTAATCTTCCTAGGTTGCACTTTGACTTGGGTGTTAGGGGGTTCCAGAGCAGGAAGAAGTTCATTAGCCTCTCCTGCTTTATGGATTGGGAGGTCAAAGTCCGATGGGGCCGCAATGATGCGTAAAACTTTCTGCAAAACGAGCCCACGAACGATATCAAGCTCAAGTAGACCAAGGAAGTACTGATAGCTGGTAATGAGCAACGCATCTTTGGCTAGGTCGACTGAGCTACGCGTACGAAAAGTATCTCTCTATGAACATCCATGAGGCCCTTCAAAAGGTCGGACGCCTCAACCTCTGAAGATGGCGTAACCAGCCCCAGCGCCTTGAACGCCTCGGAATCGACGGCGTTGACTTCTATTGACATCACAGAACCAGAAATGGACACCCTTTTTGGCCTTTTCCCTTTCTTAGTCCTCGCTCCATGAGACTTCGGAAACTCTTCAGTAGATTTATCAAATTTCATGCCTGCGAGGGCGCGCAAGACTTGAGTAATCTGCGACGCCTTTGCGACATGGTCCTTAAACTCTTGACCATCCAGTTCACGCGGGGGCGATACCCCGCAGAAAAACTTGCCAAGGGCTTCGAGTACTTGATGCGACAATGACTTCATCAGTGGAGAGCCGTCAACTGGATACTGACGAACGAGGAAGTTGTTCAGATTGGAAAGTAGATCAGAGTCATCTACGACGCCGATGTCAATGCCGGAATACTTGGCCAATAGACAAGAACACTCAACTGGAAAAGATCACGACGAGATTCTCTGGTGCATGGCATAGCTGCCGGATCTCGGATCCGAACTTTGCCTCTGAGAAAGAACGTTCTCTTAATGCTGAGGTTGCTATCTCTACACCGCCGAGTGCAGAGAGGCTATCCAGAGAGTATTCTGGGCGCAGGTCTGAAGCCATTGTGGCTGACTGAGGGGGAGCTTTCTAGCCCGCAATCATGGTATATAACTAAATACGGTGGGCTCTGTGCAAATCATGGACATGTGAGGGTGCCTTGCACTGGCCATAGCCGTATTCCAATCACACTTGATAAGAACTGCTATATATGGAGAGTTCCAGACCTACGCCAGCAATTACTCATGCAAACAAGAGGGCAAATCAATGAGACTTCTTTGGAACAGCAATACGAACCCGAAGCACTGGCAGGCGTCAGGCTAAAATAGGTTTGAATATATGTCCAGAGATGAGCAGCTACAGTGCAATCGCAGGGCCTAAGGGACAACTTCTGCGCACATTCAAATATCAGAGCAGCGTTAAGTAGATATCAACGACTCAAAAAGGATGATTGACACTGCATGTGGTTAGACCGTAAATAGAGCGACGTCCTGAGCGTTGATTCGACCTCGTTGCTACGCTGCAAGGTGAGGTGATGGATGATACAGTGAGCTGATAACATGGACGAGGCGATCAAAACTCCAAAGTCATGGCACCAAATGGCTACCACATTGGATTCATGATCCTAGGCCAAAGCATGTGACGAGAGGTTGATCATGCATATCCATTGATTCGTCCTATGTAGGAGATACAGGTAAATACGTTGTTCAGTTTGGTGAGCATCTGGCGCAGCCGCAGCAAGCTTATAACTCAATTGCAAGAGGAAAGCTTCGGCATACACCATTTCTGTCACGAGACGAGTTGTAGTTGACCTTAGAGGACTTTTCCTAAGCAGGTTACCAGCCTAGAGACTTTTCCGAGGTTTGAGCCATAACACACCCCGTTCTACTGGTCACTCGACTTCTACTGGCCCGAGGTACCAGAGGTCAACCCAGACCACTTATTTGTTCATTTCAGAGATCCTTTAACGTGGCTCTCATTAGACTTCATAAGATGGCGTGGACAAAGTTGGCGCTGTCGCTGAGGCAGATGGAATTTACTAAGGCCTTAGAGTCGCGTGAGGGGGTTGTTGGGGAACGGTGATGACTCATGCCGATCCTAAATTCCCGATCATTCCCACGCTGTCCAACCGACAAGTATACCGTTTCCGTGCAATATATTTTGTTAGATGCCTAAAACACACCAGCCTCAGGATACAGGAAGCTATGGGCTTCATACGAATACCCATCCAAATCTTCGACGTTCAGTGATGGTTTGGGGGGACACATTTGTGGCGCCGAACGAGTGACTAATCCCCATGGCCATGTGGAAATTCAAAGACTCCGCCTCTAGTTTCGTCAGAGTGGATTCAAACTCCTTCAGTAGCGCGTCCAGTTCAAGAACCTGCGGCTCGGGAGAGATGAAGTTACCAGAACGGAATATTACACTTTCAGGACCCAGTAGCTCGAGAACGCGGGTCCTCAGGTATGAGCCACGCGCCTCAGTACAAGCTGTACAATATGAACTTTAACACCGTGATCTGGTTCTTGCATTCCACCATTAAATCACCAAGTTCCATAGTGTCAAGACAACCCTTAGCCGCGTGTTTGGCGTTTCGAACCCCCTCTAAAACTCTGGAGAGAACGAATAAGACATGAGGAAGTGGGATTCAAGTATCCGTTTTGCGGCCAGGCGACGGTAGCACCGCTGGATAAGGACGGCAGCGGCCCTAAGCTCATCTTCTGTCTTTGTGGCCAACTGTTTCGCAATCTTGTTCACATTCGAACCTATCTCTTCAATCAAAGGGTCCGCCGCGTTATCATGACCGCTCTTATCCTCATCCTTGTCCCCCGAGGGGCGAATAGTTTGCGTGGGCTCGTGGGAACTGGCGATCCACTCTCATCCCTATCATCAGATCGTGCACACTCCACCATGACTTGCATCGCAGCGGGGTTTTCGGCACTAGTTTGGCAAAGAATTACTAAGGAGTCTGGGTCGCCCTGGGCTATCAGGGCTTGCACCAACTTTTGGCCTTGGGCGTAATCATGCGCTTAATGGTGCAGGTGCAAAGTCCGTCATAACTTACCTTGCATAGCGTTCTCCGGGTGGACTAAAATCCAGTGTCTTGGTCCTGTGTTGAGGGCCATTGAATCCCACTAGGAACCAAGTGAGCTTTGTTATGACATAAAACTTCTCGGAAATGGGACTTGCCAATAACAAGCGCACGACAACTGAAGAATTACAACATGAGGCGCATGAAATTACTGAATTAAACCCCGTGTACATACGGATTCGGTGGCATTCATCTAACATTGGCAGGTCACCAAGCAAGTTATCGTTGAGCACAAACGGATGTGAACTTGGAATTCGCTTTCTTCCCTTCGTCACCATCTATGCATGCACTCGATCACTACTAGGTCTGACATGCATATGGGAGTAATTTCTCCGACAGTCCACCCTAAGGATGTCAGCCAAGGTCACCTTGGCGGGCCAACCGGCAGGAGTAACCACACAATCAGAATGTCATGAAAGGTACAAGCTTCGACAGTAATATAAATGCAGGAAAGGTGATAGAAACAATGCCCACCAAGCAAGAAGGATGAAGTGTCAAAATAGTATGATAGACAAATAGAGAATCGATAATCGTTGGTGAAGGAAGGTGGAATAGCACAAACAATGGGAGATACGGACGGATTGACACTGGTCACTACAGGAAAATGTAGGCGGAAACACACATCGTCAAAGCAGTAGTCATTCCTGTAAACTGTTGCTGGTACCATTGGCGAGCTATAATTCCATGTTACCAAACCAGGGGTGCTTCTGCGCTCGTTTAGCTTTGAATAGTCAGTTACCAGAGGAAAGGGGAAGGAATTATGGCATACCAGACACGCGGCTCGCAGTATCATACACGAGGAATGACTGCCAACAACCATGAAGTCAATTGATGGCCAGATTACACGCCATTCATAGCAGGATGACGACATACATGCAGTAAGTCAGCCCCAACACGATCTATCTCGTGAACAGCTTCACCCAAACCCGTCCCAGTCCACTGAGGGAATGTTGGCTTGAAATCGGGCAGCTGAGAAACTCCAGGCCACGTTGTCTCATGAGGCGTCCCAAGAATCCTGACAAGGATAGCATGATTCAGGATATTTCGGTGGATTTTGGACCTTACTTGAAAATCTTGAAGATTTGGTCAATCTCCGAATCTCCTGGGAACAGTGGAGTGCCTGACATGACCATCTCGGCCATGATGCAGCCTACAGACCACATGTCGATTGCTGTTGAACGATGCCTCGAGCCAAGAAGAACCTCGGGGGCACGGTACCATAATGTAACAGCCTGGCCGATCGTAAGGTCATACAGTGGGCCAATAGAAGGATCGGAGAGGGGCTTTAGAGCGAACCTCACGCGGATATCTCGCTAGCGGGATGCCGAATGTTTGCGCCAACCCGAAGTCCGCCAGTTTCAAGTTCCCCTCCGCATCAATAAGAAGATTTTGGGGCTTGAGGTCGCGGTGCAATACACGATGCGCGTGGCAGTAGTGAAGACCCGACAAGAGTTGCATAGTGAATTTCTGCGCGGCGAAAAAACGGGTAGGTTGTGTGGTGATTGTGGACGTTGTTGTTTGATCGACTACTCATCCATGGGACGGGGCAATTGACCGTACCGGTGCTCACCTTAACGGTGGAGAGTTCAAGCGTCTCATTTTGTTTTGTGAAGGCATTCATGTACCGCTTCAAGTCCAGGTCAAGAAACTCAAAAACAAGATAGAGTTTTGTATCGGAATGAACAATGCTCAGCAGCCTGGAGTAAGTGGTGGCCGATCGGGATGTTCCAGATGTGAGAATCAGGGATCGAGAGGTCTCAGTGGACACACCGAACGATATTGTCATCGTCAAGCTCTTTCAGCCACGATATCTCTCGGATTGCAGTGCTGGGTACGCCCTCATCCTCTTCCTCCAACCGAATTTTCTTGAGTGCAACAATCTTGCCGGTATTGGCATCTCTAGCTTTGTATATGACTCCGTACGTCCCTGCGATACGGACGTGATGTTGTGGGAGTGAGTGGCAGGGCAAGACGTACCCTCTCCAACCCTCTCGAGCTTTACATAGTTCTCCATAAAGGGTCGAACGCTATACAAAAAGACGCCCGGAAGGTTCAGAGTCTGGTTGGTAGGTTGATAGCCTCTAGGAAGAGCAGGACCTTAACGAGGATCTTTTTCCCAGCTTGACAGGAGACGGGAAGCGCCGAAGTGGTCAACCAACATACTTTCCCTTCTGGCGTTCAAATCTCAGACACAGCTTCTCGCCCCGATTCTTACTTTTTCATTCGTTCCTAATTGATGCATTCAAGCATGTCACACGCGCCAAATATGAGAAGACGCGCCCCCCGTTATGATTTTCGCGTCTTCGAGATATTCGGGGGGCTTCTATGCGGAAATGCGCTACCTCATCCGTTGTCAAGTTCATCTTCTAGTTGGATCGTCAACGGTAGGCTATGGCAACCTACAATTCTTACCGGGGCGCGGCGGAGTACCCGAAGCTGTTGCGACCTCATGACCGCGGTCAACATTCCCCTTAAGGGGTCACAATTGCTAGAAGTGCCAACACACCCAATCTACATGACAGGAGAAATCTCGACAAGAGCATTAGGAAGTTGCTGATACTCTTCCAGGCGGATTGGCTAGCTGCACACCTGATGCGTGTATTCTTAATGACCTAGGCAATCTCGCTATATAGATCAGCAACGCGCTATCGTCTCCAGATTCGCGCGTTCTAGTTCTTATGCAGAGATTCTGGTCACTATGGAGCATCAACAGGATTCCAAGTCACAGCGCCATCCCTTCCTTTGTCTAGCGCATTCAACGCTGCCATTTGCTCCTCGCTCAGCTGGAAATTAGACACACTAGCGTTTTCCACGATCCTGAATGGAGTTGCTGATTTGAGCAATGGGATAAAGTGGCGCCACGCCCGACATTCAACCTGGATTTCAGGGGGGGGGGAATGAATGGGAAAATTACAAATCTCACCCTCTCTGCAGTGACCATCGGATGTAGACAAGGAAAGGGGACTTTCCGACCCACATGTTGCATCTCAGCAACCAACCCCACGAGAACGAGTCAGCCAGGACTCGCCTCATTTACTACTTGAAGTACGGTTTGGTCCCTTGCCACACCTCGCACGAGTGGAGAATATGCTTCTCCCGCGATTCCATTCACTGCACAGTATTCCACTATAAGCTTCTGCTGGCCGAACGGATGCAACTGATAATCGCCTCCTGTCGGTGCACTCCTAAGATTGGGCACACAATTGATAATCCTCACCTCAATTTGATTCACGCTTGGCGCAGGGAGGCCTTCATTTCTAATTTCCTCCAAATGGTGGACGCCGCTGGAACGCACGAACTCAGATCAGTTTTCTTCCAGCACAGTTAAACATACTGGTTCGAGACGCCGACAGAACGGATTTTCCCTGATTTCTGGGCGGCTAGGAGTGGCCTATGAGTCCCTAGTGATTTAGTTTTTCCGGGATAAGGGTCGTGTATGAGATAGAGGTCGATATATTCTGCGTGGAAACCAGTGATGATCACTGTAGCACTCGTTGGTCTCGATGGCCGTGAACCCAAGCTTTTTCAACGATTCATCTACCATTTTGGCCGTGCTCTCGTAGCCAGCATATCTGGTGGTTATTTTGGTAGCTGAGGGCGAACGACTGTATAGTTGGAGTCATCAGCATCGTCAGATCGATATGCCTCGTCTCTATGAAACTGACTTATAAATACGTCGTCGCGGTTGACGCCGGATTGACGGACTGTTTGGCCGACCTCTCTTTCGTTTCGATAGACAACAGCGGAATCTATGTGCCTTAATAACAGCTATCTCTATGGTTAGTATTCCGTGATGTGGAATAACGTACCGGTAGCCCGCCTTCAGTACCTCGGCTCAAGGCAAGTGGGGCCTGTATTCTGATACACACCAAACCCCAGCACTGGTAACATGAATCCTACTCGACTAGTTCTGTTGAGCTGACCTCTTGACCCGAGGTCATATGCTTGCCTGAGGAGAGCTTCACGGCCGATTTGAGAAATAATGAAACTGGACTCGAGGCCATTTTGAGATCGGTTCAAGCCTCGGTCATGTGCCTGTCATTCCCTAGAATTAATTTGGAAGTTGACCTCGACTGAAACAGGGATGAATGAACCCGTAACAAGTGAGTTGGAGCCATCTAAGGGGCAAACTAGACGAGCAACATCCTCAAGTAGATGGGCCTTGTGATAACAAATCCCAGCGTCCGTGTGCTGATCAGCCTCTTCAAAGTTCTTTGCTGCATCTCGCAAATCCCTACTAAGTACGAAACATTCCGCGGCATTGTGTTGCAGGGCTTGAGCGCCGTCCAAGCTACGCCTAGCGCAAGACTGAAAAGCGAGCCCTGCAGCATTGAATGGAGCTATGCGTCTGTCGTCATTAGAGACGCCCCTGGCGTCCTTCCTCTGCTGATAGGCCAGTGCAATATCACGGTCAAGATGACGTCCAGATATAATGCAGCCCGACTCGGAGCATAGCAAGAATCAGAGAATAGCGTTAGGGCCATTTCCCTCCATTCCTCCCTTGTAGAATCAGCTAGCGGCCATAATCCATGTTTGACGGCCAGAGGGGGCATCTTTCTTGTGAGCTGCGGAATTGGCTCTGATGGATCATGAATTCCAAATCCTTGATCTCAGTCGGTGGCTAAACCCAGAAACGTTCAACAGAATGTTGCCTTCACTTCCCCCCATACATCGTACTTCCCGTGACTCTACTCCCAGAATCACGATTGCTGACACTGCGCGGGAGGGAAGGCAAACTCTACGACCTCGTGCTTTTTTGGGGGGTCAATCCCCGATCATTCCCACGCTATCCAACCGACGTGCACACCATTTCCGCGTAATATACTTTTTTAGGCATCTAACACACACCAGCCTCAAGATACAGGAAGCTATGGGCCTCATACGGCTAATACCCATCCAAATCTTCGACGTTCAGTGATGGTTTGGGGGGCACATTTGTGGCGCCGAAGGAGTGACTATCCCCTTAATCCCCATGGCCATGTGGAATTTCAAAGACTCCGCCTCTAGTTTCGTCAGAGTGGATTCAAACTTCTTTAGTAGCGCGTCCACTTCGAGAACCTGCGGCTCGAGAGAGGTGAAACTACCAGAGCGGAATATTGAACTTTCAGGTCCTATTTCTCTCAGTAGCTCGTTCATGCGTTCACAGCAGCGGCTAAGTGGAGAACGTGGGTTCTCAGGTATGAGCCGCGCACCCCAGCACAGGCTGTACAATATGAACTTACTTTAACACCGTGATCTGGTTCTGGCATTCCACCATTAAATCACCAAGTTCCACAGTGTCAAGACGAGACTTAGCCGCGTGTTTGGCGTCTCGAGCCCCCTCTAAAACTCTGGAAAGAACGAATAAGACATGAGGAAGTGGGCCGCGGAGGATGGCAAAGAAGTGGATGCGGTTCACCGGGCCTTGATTGGGTTGGAAGTTGATGTTCTTGACACACGCCAGGAAAACTTTCTGAAATTCGGAGGATTCAAGTATCCGTTTTGCAGCCAGGCGACGGTAGCACCGCTGGATAAGGACGGCAGCGGCCCTAATCTCATCTTCTGTCTTTGTGGCCAACTGTTTCACAGTCTTGTTCACATTCGAACCTATCAAAGGGTCCGCGGCGTTATCATGACCGCTCTTATCCTTGTCCTCCGAGGGGTGAATAGTTTGCGTGGGCTCGTGGGCACACTCCACCATGACTTGCATCGCAGCGGGGTTTTCGGCACTAATTTGGCAAAGAATTACTAAGGAGTCTGGGTCGCCGTGGGCTGTCAGGGCTTGCACCATCTCCCACCAACTTTTGGCCTTAACAAACCTATGGGCGTAATCATGCGCTTAATGGTGCAGGTGCAAAGTCCGTCATAACTTACCTTGCATAGCGTTCTCCGGGTGGACTAAAATCCAGTGTCTTGATTGCATTGAAAATGTCGGCCCTGTGTTGAGGGCCATTGAATCCCACTGGGAGTCAAGTGAGCTTTGTTATGACATTAAACTTCTCGGAAATGGGACTTGCCAATAACAAGCGCACGACAACTGAAGAATCACAACATGAGGCATATGAAACTATTGAATTAAACCCCATGTACCTACATTCGAGCAATCATTTCCTGCCTCAATGACCACGACGGGAGCACGGATCCACGAAGCGTGAAAAATCCTGATGAATGGATAGGATTTAGCTCCGACAGGTCGAATAGAAGGGCATACCATAGCCATCCCGGCTACTGAGGGCATGAAGTATATCTATTACGGGAGCCAGGAATCGTGTGATGCAAAATACTGTTGGAGGACTGTCCGAGAACATGTCGAGGACCCAGGGTGCCCAGCTACGCGGCAAAAGGAGATTATGGAGAGGGCTAAACAGCATGCTGTATTCGAAAACTAGTTGCATGCAGAGAAGCTCTAGATAATGCACGACGACGTTCAAGTCGATAGGAGGTTTAGCCTCGACGACCCATCTTGGCCAACAATTTAGTGCATCGTCTACACCAACCTATGACTCGGTCACTCACTGGAGAAATCGAGCTCCGTTATATACGGCCTCCCGGGAGGACGAGAGACCCACTTGTTGCTTTCTCGGCACGGGATACGTCTTCAAGTTATTCCGGAGGAAACGTCTCCCGTGAAGGACATAGGCCATAAGCGGAAGCATCACGATGTTGGTGGCAAAATTCCGATCCAAAGTTATTAGATCTTCGCTGTGGCGATCGAGACCCCGAATGCGATAGTCGACCCAACTTCGAACGATCGGCATGGCGCGACGTGCTTCAGGAGATTTTGAGTCGAATGTCATATGGTCTCTCGACATCCGAGTTACAGGGAAAAGCACAGAGAAAATCCGTCCGATCCATTTGTGCCGAATATCACCATACGGTCTATACATTGACATTGTGGTCGCAGGGAGGTGCCACATGCAATCCAGAGTCACTACTATCTGCATGTGAACACGGAAGTAACGAGACAGCATGTCCCGTGAACCTGCTTCTAGGTGAAGCGCCCGGCATGTAGGCACCCTGTTGCACTCTGCGTGCAGCAAATATCCGAGACAGGGCTGGAGAACACCAGCTCCCAACAATTCTGAGTGAATACCGACCAATAGGTTTTGCATGTCGGCCCCAAGACTTTGACGCAGCAACCGGTGAAGATCCTCGCCCCTCACATGAACCGATCCTTCCCGCATTTTCGAAACAATCCTAGTAGGTCGTGAAGAGGAGGAAGCCTGCTCCACTAGCCTTTTGGCGTATGAATCACCAGCAGCGCAGAATTCATCGCGAACGTGTTCTGCGGCCTTTCCAGCAGCTGGAAAGAATCCTGCAAGTCTCTGAGCGACGGTAGAGTCGCAGATACGACGCTCTCGTAATAACACGATCAGTTGGCGACAGTAACTCTCGACGATTGCTAATTTCGAACATAGGCCAGAGAGATCCTCATTGCCAAGATCGAGGCCACCCCGAAGGACATGGTTGAACGACAAAACGGCCTCGGTAGTTAACTCTTTGGCCTCGAAACTTCGACCGAGAGCACAAAGAGCGGACACATCCCTCCCAATTATGGCCCTGAACATTTGCATCTTCGTATTTTCGTAAGAACAACTTCACATGATCCAACTCGTCTCAAGTCTTACCTCCATCTGCATTGTTTCTGTCATGGAGTCCGTTGGTATGTCGCTCAGCATCGCCCAGGGTACTTTTACGTGGTGGGCGTCAACAGTGTTAAAGGCCACTTTCCACATAGCATCCAGCAAAGCCGATGCCGCTTGAGTCTGAGCCTCTGGCGAATCAGAACGGAGCCAGTGTGAGGCCGCCTTCATGTCCTGGCCGATGCTGGAGTATATCTTGGCAGCAGATATATAGTCGCCTTTATGCTCGTATATGGAAGCAACGATTTCGGAACTATTGTTCAGGTACTCTTCTACAAACGAAATCTGGTCTTTCGTACAATCGAATAGCGACGCAGCACGTCTTCGAAAAGTCAACATTTCCGATCGTCTCGGAGCCCAAGATTAGAGACTTACTCGAAATCCCCAGCACACAAATAATGAATTCTTATAGTGCCCAGGAGTCTTTCTCTTGTTTTCTCCGTAACAAGTGAGTTGGAGCCATCTGAGGGGAAAACTAGACGAGCAACATCCTCAAGTAGATGGGCCTTGTGATAACAAATCGCAGCGTCCGTGTGCTGACCAGCCTCTTCAAAAATCTTTGCTGCATCTTGGAAATCCCCACTAAGTACGAAACATTCCGCGGCATTGTGTTGCAGGGCTTGAGCGCCGTCCAAGCTACGCCTAGCGCAAGACTGAAAAGCGAGCCCTGCAGCACTGAATGCAGCTATGCGTCTGTCGTCATTAGAGGCAGCCCTGGCGTCCTTCCTTTGCTGATAGGCCAGTGCGATATCACGGTCAAGATAACGTCCAGATTTGTGAAAATATGATGCAGCCTGAGTATAGCGAGAATTAGAGAATAGCGTCAGGGCCATTTCCCTCCATTCCTCCCTTGTAGAATCAGCTAGCGGCCATGTTCCATGTCAAACATGTTCGGCAGCCAGGAGGGGGGGGATCTTACTTGTGAGCTGCGGAATTGACTCTGACGGATCATGAACTACAATTAAATTTTTGGAAAGCCAATAATGCTCCCAGAAGTTTGTTTGTGTGCTGGCTTGGTAAACTCGTATGACAACAGGATACTTACCACCATCGGATCCGCTGTGCGACTCGAGTCCCAGACCCAGACGTGAAAACGCGCACGCGTGAGCGCTACGTAAAGCCTTTTAAGTTCAACTTCAAGGACGCGGTATGCCGTGGCATCAGCCCTCTGCACGCCTAAGATCGCTCTCCATTGAGCACCTGATGCAGGAGAAGATGCGAAGAAGTTGTATATAAGGACGTCATCAAATTCAAGCCCTAGATATTTATAGTTTCAGGAACTTCAACTCGGAATGATGAGAGTTTCGCTGTACCTTTACTCTCAATAAGCGTGTAGACATTGTCCTGACTTCCCGACAGGGTCCGAACCTCATCACGGGCCACGTCATCCCGCACAATAATCGCCTGCCGCGCGCCCAATTGAAAGCACGACTCAGAGTTTCTAGAGGGTTGAGTGAGATTAGAACCTGGAGGGCTCGAAAGACACACTTTTTCTCCGATGAAAATCGTCCCCAATGAACATTTTCGTGTCGAAAAATAAGCGGTTCTGGGCCAGGAACAGTGGACTCCTCTCTTTGAAGCTTGTCGATCGAGTAGGGGAAGAGAGTAGTGATGAGATCAATGATGGAGCCGGCACAAGCCACAATACCCTGATGACTTCTGTAATTGATCGGGAGCTGAAAGACTTCAGGGTTTACCGGCTCCCTCGCCCCCGAGGCCACGAAACGATCGCTCAGCTACAAGGGTGCTAACTAAGCGGAAATTAGGCGGAGTTTTCGATCTCTTACCTCTTCACGATACACAAGAGCCTTGAGGTCTTCGAATCGGAAACTGCTTCCGACAGAGATAGTCTGAGCCGTATCACCACCCCAGAAGTGACCATGGGGGTTCGGACACAAATCTCTAAGTACTGAGGAGGGTTCAGCCCAAAGGGCTAAACTAGCCAGAAGTTTGCATACATTTAGTGTCGATCGTAAGTAAATCTTGGATTTCATCGACATAAAGGAAGTCAATTTTCATCATGCTCTCATCGATATGCTTCAGGATAGCATGCGTCCTGGATGGATAGGCTGAACTGACAGGGGCAGCAAGCGGAAAGTCAGTCTCTCACCTCCCTGGGCTGTCAAAAGCATTGTTCAACATTTTTAATTTGAGATACTTTTCAAATATATCGTAAACTCGATCGCGTGCTGTGGAAAAAGAGGGATGTGACTAAGAAGGGTCAGCGTCGAGCATATTTGTTGGACAGTCGGACGACCTACACGGTGGCTCAGGTTCATATAAGATTCTCGGTCCATATAGCAACCACTCTGAGTCTCCAACGTGTCTTCGTGTCCACAAATTACCCCCCTGAGGCAAAGTCAGCCGATGGTTCTGTCATCGTCCAGTATTAATCGATGAACGCACATGATCTCACTGTATACCTGTGCGGCATCTACATATCAGGGGAAAAGCGAAGGGAAAATCGTGAATTCGGGCCATGATCCATGAATACTGGCTCACCAAGTCCTTTGATCTTCTGTTGATCAAAGTGAATCCAATACTGCGACTTGAACAAGCTGGGGGAAATACGTTGAAGGCCGCCCATGCTGAAGAGAGCGTGACTAACTCAAATGTAACATTTTTATTGCGGTCGCGATACCCTTTCCGCAAGGAACCCAAAGTGTCCCAGCTTTCCTCATCAACTGGTTCTGGCAGAGGTACACACATTGAGTTTTCCGGTCGAATGGGTTTTCGAGATCCCCGCGAAGAGGCGGGCGATTCAATTCCGCACTCCACCTCAAGCATACGACGTAGCTAAGGTATCATTGCGGATGAGCAATTGAGAGGCAAGACATACACTAGGGTCACGGAAACCTACCTGATCATACGTCAGGAACAGCGGGAAATGCTGTTCTTTGAGGTCTGAATACCGTGTTGGTAAATCTGGACGATCATCTGCATCCTCGGCAAATTCGGTAATGTGTCTTTCGGCGGGTCGCCCCCTTCGGTGATCCTTGGGAGTGGGAGGCATCCCAAGCTGTGCTGCTTCGAGTAGTTTCAGGTAGTACTCCTCAACCTTGGACGCCAGAACGTGGGATTGGGTTAGAAACATTTGGCGAATAGGGCCGAAGTCACCCAAGAGATTGGACTGCTGCGCCCTTTCCAACATAAGCAATTTGAAAAGCATTGTAGTGGTTTTCCCTGTAACAGGTTGGTGAACGACATCCAGAGTGATGAAATATGCTACTAACCGGTGCCACTCCACCCGATAACAAAGCAGGAAGACGGGTGTTGAATAATGTTCTCCTCCGCGGGTCTGGGCCGATAATCAGCATCTTGAGAGCGATGAATGTAATTCAACTTTACGAGACGCTAAATTCGTGCTCGGCGTCTATATCCTGAATGATGGCTGGTCACAACTCAGTGCGAAGTTTTGCCTTGGGGTCTCAAAGAGTACCTACATGCAAGTACAGCCTAATGTGGACTATGAGCGACCTTGAAAACAAACAGCTGCTACGAGACCTACCGTTGAGTACGGAACAAATTTTGTGAGAGACCATATCTTGTGAAGTTCCAGGCACTCGTCTTCAGTCAACGACATATTGGTGTTTCTGGGAGGAGGGTGTTCTACCAACGCTCGTCCCTCATGTGGCCAAGTCATAGGTGGCGTGACGATGTTTATCTTCGCCCCACGTCGTCTGGGCTCCATCCGATAATTGACCCTGTGGCGTGGAGGGTGAATCGACCGAGGAAATGCACTGTAATACATACTTTCTCATATGTTCTCTATCGTTTCGAGGCGACGAGTGTGCAATCCGAGTCCATAGCCGATGGTCGAACTGATCGTGAGTATAGACACCATATACCTTGATCACCTGCTTGTCCATCTATGCGATGGAGAATCAGCCCAGGAACGTCGAGCAGCGTGAGCATACGAACCTTGAGATAATGATCGGTATCGATGTCAATTCGATACACAAGGCGGAGGTCCCCCGTTACCTTGGCTTCAAAGATCGGCACATCGGTAGGAGCACCTTCCAAACGTTTCTGATTTGATTCGGAGAAAAGTCCTACATGGGGAATGATTAGCATTGATCTCTCAAGGAGAGAGAGTAGCGGTACATACCTTGAGAAAGTTGGGCTATCTTTTCTTGAGTGGCCCTGAATGTTCCGTCTCCTCGTCGGAACTGGCGTAAATGTTTGATAGCGGCCGCAGATACATGGATAGGCCAATCCCCGAAGCCTGAAGGCCACTGAAACGCATGTCTTGCCTTTTCCGGTGCAATCATTGGGAACCTAAGCTTCAGAGGTTGCTTTTTGACGGGGAAATCAGTGGCTTCCGGAATCGAGATGTGCTCATTTGCCTCCCTAATTTTTTGAGGAAGGACAACGTCTGACGGGGGCGCAATGATACGCAATACTTTCTGCAAAACGAGCTCACGAATACTGTCAAGCTCAAGCAGACCAAGGAAGTACTGAAAGTTGGGAATGAGTAGGAGATTTTTGGCTCGTTCGGCCAGGTTTTGCGTACGAAAAGGATTTCTCTGTGAGAATCTGTCAAGCCCTTCAGAAGGTCGGACGCCTCAACCTCCGAAGATGGCGCAGCCAGATTTAGCGCCCTAAATGCCTCGGAATCGGCGGCGCTAACTACTACCAACATCACGGAGCCAGAAATGGATGCCCTCTTCGGCCTTTTCCCTTTCTTAATGCTCGCTCCACGAGACTTTGAAAGCTCTTCAGTGGGTTTATCAAATTTCATACCCGCTAGAGCATGCAAGACTTGAGCAATTCGTGACGCCTTCGCAACATGGTCCTTAAACTCTTGACCATCCAGTTCACGCGGGGGAGATATCCCATGGAAAAACTCGGCAAGAGCTCCGAGCACTTGATTCGGCAATGACCTTATCAGCGAGGATCCATCGACTGGATATTGGCGAAGGAGAAAGTTGTTCAGATTTGATAACAGGGCTGGATCGCCTGCGTAACGACACCGATGTCAGTCCAGGAATAGTCGGCCAATAGACGGGAGCACTCAACTAGAAAATATCACGACAAGGTTTTCTGGTGCGCAGCATAGCTGCCGAATCTCGGATCCAAACTTTGCCTCTGAGAAAGATCTCTCTACTAGAGCCGACGTCGCTATCTCTATACCGCCAAGTACAGAGAGACTATCTAGAGAGTATTCTGAGCGCAAGTCTGATGCCATTGTAACTGAGGGGGAGACTTCTAGCCTGCGATCATGGTATATAAATGAATATCCTAGGCTCTGTGCAGATCATGGACATGTGAGGACACCTTACACGAGTTATAGGGAAGTTATAGGGGTGGAGAATTCCAATATCGCCTGATAAGGACTGCTACATATGGAGGATTGACAACTTCTTGGGACATTCAAATATCAGAGAGGAGTCATGTAGATATAAACAACTCAATAAGGATGATCTAGTAAATAGAGCCACCCCTGAGCGTTGGTTCACTGCGCCGCAAGGCGAGGCGATGGATGACGCAGTGAGCTGATGACATTGACAAGGCGATCAGAGTCCGTAGTCGGCCTACAAAGGCATAGCACCAAATAGTTGACGGGGGGTTGATCACGCACCCCCATTCGTCCAACCTACATAGAATATACAGATGAATTGCGTTGTCCAAGCTTGGCCAGTATCTGGCCCAGCCGCAGCAAGTTTATGATTCAATTGTGATCTTCCACAAGATTTCCGGAGCTTTTGAGGTCGGCATGCACCATCTCTGTCACGAGACTGTCGAAATTGACCTTCCTTTTCCAGCCAAGAACCTTTTCGGCCTTAGTTGGATTGCCAAGTAAGAGCCTTTGAGAACCAGTCAGACAACACATTGGGTAAAGAAAAAAATACCCACTCGACTTCCGCTGGCCGGAAGTACCGGGGGTCAACCCGGACCACTACTTGTTGCGTTTTGCTGTCAATGCCAACTTCATCCACACCGCTGCCTTGCCATCTAACCAAAGTGTTGGGAGAACAAGGCGATCACAGAAGCAATACACTCACTGGATCGTAACATCGACGACAGCAAAAGCCTTCTCGACGAACTCCCTCACGGAATGCATCTCACCAGTAGCAAGAACGAAGTCCTCAGGCTTGTCCTGTTGAAGGATTTTCCACATTCCCTCTTCACAACACGCGTTGTCAGGTGCCCCTGAACCGGTGAACTTGGAGTAACCCACCAACATAATCCCGCGCTTCATAGGTCAAGAGGTGAGTCTTGAACTGATCAGAGTGCAAACAACTTACCGTGGCCCCAATCGCGCTTCGCGTCGAGATTACCAAGGTACAAGCAATGCTGCTTCCCCAATTTAATATCTGCAACGGCACGAGTGATCTTGCGCGTGACGAAGGTCCTTCCTCGACGAGGACTCTCGTGATTGAAGAGAATACCGTTGCAGGCATATATATCGTATGCTTCGCGGTAGTTGACGGTAATCCAGTATGCATAAAGCTTAGCTACACCGTAAGGCGATCGGGGATAAAATGGTGTGGTTTCAGATTGAGGCGTCTCGACGACCTTTCCGTATAACTCAGAAGTAGATGCTTGGTAGAACCGGATATGGTGCTGCAGCCCACAAGTGCGGATCGCGTCCAGCAATCGGAGAGTTCCGAGGCCATCAACATCGCCCTAGAGCGTGTCGTTAGACGAGGACAGTCAAAAGGATGAACATGCACAGACTGTATACTCCGCCATTTCAAAGGATACTTTAACGTGGCTCTGAGCGCCCAAATTGTATACTTCAGTTGGTTGGACTTGAGCGATGATATAGACAAGGTTGGTGCTGTCGCCCAGATCACCATAGTGCAGGTGGAATTTGTTAGGACCTGTGGTCGCGTGAGTTCAGAAACAAGGGTTGTCGGGGGACGGGGATAGCACATACGTTCATGTTGATCCTAGACAATAACAATGATGGTCAGAACCCTCAAGCATAACAAAATCAGAACGGCCTAGGCTCGGACCTCATATAGATGATGAAGCCGACTAGTGTTGAAACTCGAGGACCGTCGAATAATTCCATGGACTTGATAGCCCTTGGACAAAAGAAACTCAGTCCTGGAATTCAGACCCTTAAATAACACCCAGAAGACAAGGGGAAAGCGTGCCTACAAATAGGATCCATCTTGTCCGGTTATACCTTGATGGCAACTGTCAAGATAGATCGCGATCAGTCAAATAAATTGAACCCACCAGAAATAAGGGCAACTTTGCGTTTTCGGTACTCCTCTGGCGTCCCATGTCTAGAGAAGGCGAGACTGGAGACTGGGACGAGGTCGGACATGATCGTGCAAGTGATGAATGAATTTCAAAATTAGCAACACTACGTAGATCAGGAGTCGGGGCTTGCCGATCGTTTATTGTGGTTGGTTCAGGGTCAAAGCCTTCGCGGACAGACAGTTTCAACATTGTTTTCTTCCACCCGTTCCAACCCAACCTTCCACTACAATCATGCGCCTATCCCAACCTGCCTTTGTCATCATGTTCGCCTCCAACGCATGCATTATCAATTGCCTGTCGGTATCGATGTCTGCCTGCAGGCACTCAATTGTTTCTCCCCTTTCCTGAGGATCGGCCAACGTACACACAGTGTCCATTACGATTTAATCCAGATTTTCGTTCGGCATGAAGATCGTGATGTTTTGCGTCATCGGGAATATCGGTAGCACGGAACGCCAAAGCTCTATCTGTGTTGCACGTTGGAAAATGAGCCGAATCACAATCGGTGTCTCATGCAATGCATGGCAACTGAAAAGTATGCTGTGCAGGCCGAGGCTTTACGCACAAACACTCCAATTTTACTCCAGGTTGCCTTTTGATGGAAATGCCCGTATTATTAGATTAGGGATGTTATTGTCGCCGCTCTCTCCTTTTGAAAGAAGATCCCTCGTTTCTAAAATACAACGTTCTGATTTACTCTGAGGCTAGCCTCAATGGATGATTGTTGGGAGTTTTCATATCGTCTTGAATAATTCGATCCTTCGTCAGTCACAGGAGCTCTCACCGCGAACGGCTACCCGCCTTTCCATCTCTCCTCTCCCACCTCTGACAGCTCCTCTGCGTATTTCCACCAGGGAACGTTGGCTCTCTCATCGGTAGGGCTGCGGGCCTGTTTAATATTCGTAACGAAACAGAACAGCCAAAAAGGGACCATATCAGCGTGGTCTAGAACGTTCAATTCGTCGATTCTTTGTCCCTGTGAATTTACGTCCGGCCCCCGGATTTGGGAATCCATCACGCTTTGCCCTCACGCGCGTTTCAGCAGCTGTGGCCTTCGCCACTCGCCCTATATTACAGCATCACAAAGCGACTGTTCAATTAAATGACCTGAATTAATGCCATCTTGCTCTTCTAGGCGGGCAGTTCGTCAAACCCTGCTCATTTCAAAGCAGAGCGAGTCGATCCCTGAGCTGCTAAAATTTCTTACTGGGAAGAGACGCACGGATATACGAATTTTTTTCATCTTGGTATTACGGTCCAGCGGAGATATAATGTAGTCGAGGGGCCACCGTCTGCCCCCAAAAAACTACGCATCTCTCCGCACATCAAAGAGCATTCTACTCGCCATGGATTACAGCTGGGAAGTAACTCAATGCATTTCTCCCGCAGATATTTTCCCGGACTACCAAGAAGTGATGGCAAGGATGCTGCCAAACCAACGCCTGTTCCATCCCTATGTTGTTCTTTCCGACCCCCAGAGTGATGGCGTACTCGCCAATACGAGGCCAACAACAATTCCAAACAGACGGCCTTTCGCAGCCCACATCCTGGGTCAGCCACTTCCTCATACCGCCTCCCCCTTCATCCCTCCATCCCCATCCGATAGCCCGTCCGCCGCCGACCGACTAAATGCCTCGACCTCATTGTCTTTAACTCGCTCTACTAGTACCGTAGCCTCTAACAGCTCCCGAAAGACCAAGGTGGGTCGACCGCGTCCCACCGCCCCCTCAGCCGGCGCTCGCCGTCACGGAAACCACGAGGACCTTCTTTCGGAGCCCCTTGATTTCGTACAGTGGGTTTCGAGGCTGTTTCAAAGAGGGAAAGGCATCAGTAAGCTGCCTTGCCTTCTGTGTGGAAAACCTCAGAAGGGATCCATGAAACGACACGTGGAGTCCGTTCACAGGATTATCTGGGCAAAATCCCGGCTTCCCCATCGCTTCGACCGCCTAGAACCTGCTGCGCAGGCTTTTCTTCTCGTTAATTGTGCCCTCCTTCTCCGGGAAGAAAACCCCACGCCCGACGAGTCCCTCGAGGTGAGCAAGCTCCTCAATCAAAAATGGATCTTTCCACGGCCCCTTGGTTCTCAAATGGACCCCGAACCCATCACCGGCCTCGGTCGCAATAATTACCCGCTCATATTCAGAGCGTTTTGGACAAAGTACGGAAAAGCCTGGAGGTATGCCTGCAAATGTCCCAACTGTCAGGCAAGGCTTACTAGGGGAGAGTCCCAACGCCGCCACCTGGAAGGTTGTTCAGGTGGTATTCAGCCTGACTATGACACGGACGATTATGCGACGGACAGTGAGGAGTTTAGGTCAGGCGAGAGGGGTGTACGTAGGAAGAAGCAGTGCTCTGAATGATTCCTCCTTTCTTTCTTTTTTTCTTCTGTCTCAAAATTACTCCCCTTTGATCAACCTAGACCGAATTCGTTTTCTTGTTTCTTTCTTTGTCGGGTTAAGCCCCCTGTCACGTTTTCTTACTTTTTTCCACATCACATTCCCTTGCAACGGAATGAATATTTCAAGTGATGGATGATCTGACGTACCGTGATTCCAAGCAAAGCACCCAACAAGTGAACGTGCGAGCAGAGGAAGAAGCGAGCAGTACCTATATGATGAGATGAGCGCTGACAAGATCGTGATATCGCACTAGAATGGGCAACTCGAAGAACGTACTACCCCGGGACTGATCGGCACATGAACGAGGAGTGCGACGTACCTGTGTATCGATCGCACGACAATCCACCACCCGATGGGGAAAATCCGGGTGGCCTGTCTCTCAGGTAACCCTAAAGCATAATATAGCGCATGTGGCGGTTCGTGCAATGCAGCCGATCGCAAAGTGAAAGAGAGTGGGCGGCAGCGGAGGTGACTTTAGGATGGTGAATGAACTGATCCGTGAAAAGCCGGATTGTAGAGTCTGGCCATATGTAAACACCTTCTCACATAGGGGATCACTATCTCCCCATTCGGTGGGCCTTGCAAACGTGCAGTAGGATGCGCTGGGATGTGGTGAAAGAAAAGCAAAGTACTAAGTCTCGACTCGGGACAAACAAAAATAAATGATGCATCGCTGGTCGTAAACGTCCTCATCCACATCTCCTTGCAGTTGTAATATGTGCACTTGAAAGGATTGATAGCTTAGAATCTCCCTATCTGATTGTGCCGTCCATTCGAGCGACAAGCGTAAAAATTGACGATCTTGAATATGGGGCATCTAGCAAACGGCCATTATTGATCGCGATTAAAGCGTGTATATCACAACAATTCTGTCTTCATAATTGGCTGCGGCGTATCACTATCCGGATTTAACAAGAAACCATGGTTTCCCTAAGTAAAACACCGACGGCGCGGAATCTGAGCGCAACGACCCAGGTTTTAGCTAGGGTTTTCCACGGAGCAAAATGCCATAGGTATATAGAAAAAGCCTGACCCGCTGTACGGTGTTATTTACAGGTTTTGTGCAAACAATTGTGTATGTGGGATCCGTTCTTCTTGCGTCCGTGCCTCTAAGCGGAAGGTATTGTCCGTGCAAGACACCAAGGGTGGTCTCCCTCGTAGAATCAATTCCCCCCTTGTCCAAGCGCGGGCCCGCACGTTATATAATGCTGTTCATGTACGATTAACCATTGCGTAGTACATACTTTTTTTTACAACAACAGGAAGGCGTACATTGTGTACATAAACAGTGTGATGGATAAACGGAGATTCTATGTAGCGGTGGAACGGGGTATTCGGTTCTTAGGGTGTCGGCCCGAGTCATCTTGATCAAGGTTGGGCTCTGTCTGTGCCACCCAAGAACTCGGGATAGCACCCACGATCGTCTCCCACCTCTCAAGTCTTCCCTTCTCCTCCTCCATCAACCAACTCAACCCAGGAACCCTAACCTTTCTCCCACGCATCTCCTCATCCGCAGGTTCTTCCAACTCCTTTTCCCAAAATATCCTCAATTCCTCCTCCCTCATCCGTAATCGTTCCTCGGCATCACACCAGAACAACACCCAATCCCCCTTCCCCGCGTCCGGGCTAATCCTCTTATGACCCGTGCTTCTTTCGAAATACCACCCATTCACCGGATTCCCCGCTCGACTTCTCCAAACTAGATCCCTCCCAACACCCCTCCCTTGTCGGCCGCCCACGTTCGGGTTCAGGGCGCTGTCTAATCCAAGCCCATAGGATTCGTCGTGTAATGCCACCCACAGGAAATCAACCGTCCCATCCCCTGGTGCGATGGCAAAACCGCAAACTTGTCCAAGTATGATACCATCTGTTGCTCTCCACCATCACCAGAAGACGAAGCAGAAGCAGGAACGGCCCCTCCTTCGTGACGATAGCCGCACCAGCCCAATCTCCTGCAACGATCACGAAATCCAACCGCTCCTCTAGCCTCTTAAAGAAAGACCCTTCATCCAGCTTCCTCCGGAAACTGCTCTCCATAAGTTTAACTATCTTCTCCCTCGTCTCGCCGTTCCTCACAATCTCCTTCCAATCCCTAATAACCCTGATAGGAAGTCCACTCCTAATCAGCGTGGGCGTGTGCCTAGTCACCTTTTTGGGGCCCCCACTCAACAGCGCATGAGGCAATGAACTGCTGCGCTCGGGTTTATTTGTGATCAGGTTAGCGATCAAGGAACGTGAACTTCGGTGGGAGACTACGATCGCACTCGAGCTACTGGGCATGTGGCTCAAACATGCTTTCGCTAGTTGGAGATTTGACAAGGCCGTCGGGTGAGACTGACGCCAGTCTGATTTGAAGGTGTTTTGAATGTGTTGGGATTCGGAGGTGAGGTTTATTAGGAGGTGGGGAGGCCATCTCGGGCGTAGGAAGGAAGGCCTCCTTCTCGGTTGATGATCATGAGGCGAAGGGGCGTCATATCAAACTCGCCGATACCATAAGGGGTGTTACCGCTTTGGTAGCGGCTTTCATGCCGTCAACCGCAGCTGACGACGGCGAGGCAGGCGTCTTTAAGGGGACTGTTCCCCCTGGAGACGAACAACGTCGTCCAGCTGCGCAGCCTCAACCATCCCCCTCGCCAGAGCCGCAATAACGTAATTTGCGTCAATCCTCAGGGTCCTGCAGAACGAATCCAACGCAAAAGGCACTAAAACGGGTATCTCCCCCGCCTGCAACGCACTTCTGATCCCACCCAAGTCTCCGGTAGGGCGTGTGCCTCGGGGAGGTCCACGCCTTCGACCTCATCGCCTGGTCTAGGTCCTAACCGGGCGACGGGCTGTACGATCGGCCTAGCTCTTGCGCCCTGCATTTCGAGCATCCTAACGACCCTCCTGACTTCCTCGATCGCATTCCTCCTCTCACCATCCATACCTCTCGTCCATTCATCATTCTCGATGACAATGACGCTCACCAGTCCAAGTTTTTCCAGGTAAACCATTCCACGGCATATACTCTCGAGTTGAATGTCATTGAATGGCCCTTGAATTTTAATGAGACCCGTATGTCTCGTGGTGGGATCAAGAATCTGAGAGACGACCTCTTGCTTGAATGCAGTGGTGACGGTCCGAGTTGTAGCCGTGGTGGCGGATGCATCGGCCGATACATTCATCCGAGAATCAGGCAGGACACCATTTTCTTGTTGCGAGGGAGTCTCGGAGGAATGTTCCTGGGGAGGGGGGATCGTGGATGAGGTCTCTAATGAGTCTGAAGATTTTGGTGAGCGTTTGGGTTGCGGACCGAATGATTTCAAATATAATTTTGAATCTCTCGCAGATGGAGATGCGTGAAGGATGGAGAGAATGAAATCCTAAGTAAAATGGGGATGGTAAACCAGCATTCATCAGCCAGGGTAGGGGTGTAAAGGAGAGGAGGAGCGAGCGAATCGAGAGAAGAGGTGACATACGTTAGCAGCTGTTTCATCCTGGGGGACATCGTGTGCAAACTTTTGAAGTTGTCGAGGTTGCGGCGGCTAGAGAAGAAAATAAATACGAGTTATGACGAACAGTTCGACGAAATCGACGTCAAAGGGTGGAAACTTACAGGTGTGACGACCGCCGCCTGGCGCAAAAGAGACCGCTTTACCGATTGCTTAGTGAGGTTCAGCATAGGGTGAAAGAAAAGGGGGATGCTAGTTGGGAGAGAGGGGAGAAAGATGAAATGTCCGTTTATAAAGTCTTGTGGTTTTATAACATGGTCATCGCAATTTAGAGGGCGGCAAAAACAAAAAATGATGAATAAAATGATTCCAATCTGGCCCCAATCAATTCAATTCAGCAAACAAGTCACGTCTCCTGAGATCAACTGATCTCGTACGCACTGCATTCACTTGGTCCATGCACGTGATTCCTACCTCATTCCTTCCCGAAGATGGAATCGCTTTTCCCCCGGTAGCCAACGTTCGAGGGTTTTTTCTTCAGGATCGTGTCCTTTTTCTGAGAAGCGAATGAACAGCAAATGAGGTGGTTCCATCTGGCGAAAAATATCCATGCGTCCAGGTACCAGGTAAACAGGTGACCAGCCTCTATAGTATAGAGTGTCCAGGCGCGTGGCCTCGATAACGCAATGAGCTTGCTTTGCCACATCATCTGACTTGGGGGGGGATCTTCATCGCTCTTCCCTCCCCCCCCTTTCTCATTTCCTCAAACGATCGGCTTTTCGTTTTGCGCTCGCGCCGGCAGACTGCGGCGGCGTTTCACGCGCGGAGGCGATGTGATTCTGATGCAGCAACTTTCAAAGATGTCGTGAAATAAGAGTTCATTTCACTTCCTCCCATGCGCGCGGCGCGTTTTCCCGGATCCCGGGCGAGCCGCTCTTGGGCCTTTGAATGGTCGCAGGCTGTGCCTCGGCGTCCAGCGTCCATTCGGAAGCTTTATACCCATGAATCGCTTTTAGCGCCCACACACCTTTTAATTAGACATACGCCATGGGCTCTTCTGATCACTCATCTACCCCTAAGTATCGAGTCATCAACCCAAACGTTAAGGTGAGCACCATATCATATTAGGCAATCGATAGCCCGTCCTTTGTGTCTTCGGCGCCTGGGTTCTTAGCTGGACCTCTCCTAGCCCCTCTCTTATCCAGTACGCAGAAACTACGCACGTAGCAAAAAGCTACTCCAGCGATTCTGCTATCGCGGGCATTTCGCAACCTAGCATATGTCAACACCTGTGCACAAATATGTTCCAAACAATCAGAAGGTCCAGGAGCTAGTCCCAGGTCCCAGAATCGGAATCAGGGGCTTGGGGTCGCATTTCCATTAGAATGAAGCCAAACACTCTGCCACGTTCGTTCGTAACTAGCTTCATATGCATAGCCCTCCAGTACACACTACTGCCACAAAATGCCACAGTCCTGGGGCTGCATGTGGCTGCGCGACTTGTGCTGATATTCTGATGTGTCTCATCTAAAGTCCCAAATCTGGCTGAGGCATCGATAGCTCAGTCCTCTCACTGTCGGCTGGGCTGCTGATACCTACCCATCCCTCGCTCCCGATTATTGTAATCTCGTCTTGCTGCATGATGTAATACATTGGACATCCATATGCACGTTTATTCCGCAAAAGACAACTCCAGACACACAGATCACCGATATCTGTGGCCCGTCCTAGATGCTTTCTCGATCTTATCCCACGCATCGTTATTCATTTCGGCCATTGGCACCCCGGTGTGCGATCACCACGATGACTAAATGGGGTCGATTTACCGTTCCACAAACAAAGATTGTATCATATCACATCGATCAACGCCGACAATCCTGCGGTGGCACAATCGCGTGTGAAGGATGCGTCGTACGTTCTCCAAACGTCAACTCGAAAGACTCGTTGTCCTTATCTCCCTCTCTATGCAATGAACCGACGTTCTTCAATGGTTATCGGCCTGTAAACGGATCCGGGGAAGACAATCGATCCCCCCGACGCTGGTTACTATGCCGATGACACACACCCCACTCTCTAGCGATAACATGATAACAATACTTATCTGCGTGCGATACCATCAATCTCTAATGGGATTGGGTTTGACCCTTATGCCGCGTCATTCAGGACGGCCGGTTGGAGGTACACATTTACTGTCCCGAGTGACCCACTAGATACTAAGTAACTCAATGCATGTGGATGAATAACCCGCCTTGTTTGATTACTGCCAGCTTGCTGGGTCCCACAACGCCGAACCATTGCATTGAGGTACCCAACTGCTGATTGTGATGCGCGCTGACGTTAGTCCCTGCACCTGGCTAGACCTCAAATGGCCGAGCTCTGAGTTGATCGACTATGAACGGTTACTGACACGGCCATGTTCACGTCGCCTCATGCGGACTGATTGTTTTCACGCACACCCAATCGGCGGAAATTACGCAGCCAAGTCGCAGTACGCAGCAGTAAGACGGATCAAAGGAATGATATCAAACGCGTAATATTTTACATACAAACACACATAGAAAGGCACATAATAAGCAACCCAATACAGCACATATCTAAGAACCGCTCGCATCAAACCATCAAACCATCCAACTAAGATATGCCAAAGAAGTCTGCCTATACGGACCCATGATTAATTAACCGCTAGTCGCCTAACTCCTAATCTTCCTGATTGTCCTCTTTTCACGTTCCCCTACGACCTTCACACTCCCCTCATTTTCCAATGCCTTAATGATCTCCGCAAACTCGATCGGATCAATGGTAATACTACTCTGCTCGCCCAACTGCTTCAACGCATCAGCCCATCTCAAAGACCTATTGGCTCCAAGTGCATCCAGCATATTAACCACCTCTCTCTGAAGGTCACTCCTCAGTCTTCGTTGTTGTTGGCCAGCGCCCGTATTCAATAGGTCGATATCGATCAATCCTGTGAGCGGATCGGTAGCACTAGCCCGGATGGCCTCTCGCATCAGTCGAGTTGCTTCAGACACATCTGATACCTCCACGAACGGAGATAGGCGCATTCGAGCATGAGCCTCGCTTAAGCGAATGAGGGATTCCAATTGACGTGTCGTTGCGGTGATACGTTTTTCTTGGCTACGGGAGTCTTCACCAACACGACGCATGGCGACGTAGGCAGTGATGAGCTCTTCTCCAGCGTCTTCCGTGATCACCGGTTGAACGTTTGTACGAGCGTAGTTGATATAGGCGGTGAGCGTCTCGACGGGCTGAAGTGGACGTGGTCATCGTTAATTCTGAGCAGCAAGGTTATCGACGACTTACGATAGTATCTTGTCCCGTTCGCGTTGGAGTATCTTCAAGATACAATCCAACCAAATGCTGTGCCAGTCGTCTATCAAGCGCCTCATCTACACGGTCAAGAACCAAGTAGAGCAAATCAAACCGCGAAATTAAACTTGGTGGCAGATTGATATTGCGCGCTACGGGCCAATTAGGATTGTACTTGGACAAGACCGGATTGGCTGCTGCGAGAACTGATGTACGAGCGTTGAGTGTTGTGATGATGCCAGCTTTGGCAATGGAAACCGTTTGTTGTTCCTAGCTTGTGAATCAGTAGGGGCAATATTTAGCATTTTGACGAGTGCGCACCATTACTTCATGAAGCACACTCCGAGTGGCGTCCGCCATTTTGTCGAATTCGTCGATACAGCATACCCCTCCATCACTTAGAACAAGAGCGCCGCTGAAAAAGTCGCTTAGAAGCGAAATACATGTTTTTGGGACCTATCATACCTTTCAAGCACCAATTGCTTCGTGTCTGGATCTCGTGTAACATAAGCCGTCAAACCAACAGCAGAAGAGCCTTTTCCGGAGGCATAAACCCCTCTAGGAGCAATCTTATTGACGTACTGCGGGAGAATAAATCAGAGGTGTCAACGGCAACGCTCCACCAACTCACATGAAGGATTTGTGATTTACTCGTACCAGGATCACCAACAAGGAGAACGTTGATATCACCACGATACCGCGGACCACCACCACCACCCCCATTCTCCACATTCTTGTTCGTTCCTCCGAAGAGTTGCAACAAAATCCCCTTCTTTACATCGTCCATCTCCCAAATAGACGGTGCAAGGGACCTCGCTAAGAGATCATACAAGTCCTCGCGCTGACTGAGCTGCTGAATAGTATCTTCAAGCATCGCACTTCGCGTTTGGCCCTCCTTTGTCGGTTGATCGACTCCAATCTCCAACTCGTCAGCCAAGTCGCCACCAACGCCTACACCTTGAGCACCAGAGACTCCTGGGACCTTTGTCTCATCGTCACGCGTACTCTTATCAAACCCCAATCGCTTGGCATCTCCGCGGTGAATGTGGACAATGTCAATATAAGTTTTGAAAAGCGATTTGACTACACGTTGCTTTGGATTGACGCGAACTGGGACCGCGCGGAAGACCCCCGTAACGATGATTCGATCACCAGGTTTGGCAATATCCACGAGTTCATCGTAAACACAGAGTGAGACAGTATGGGGCGTTTGTCCATCAGGCACAACATCTGTGAACAATGAATGAGTCATAGACTCGGAATTGGGAGATTAGGAAAACGTGCCTGGTGTCTCCTGCAACCTGATCACTTGGCGATCCGCGAATAGACTTCGGTTATGAATGAGAGACATCATGCCAACAGCGGCACAGACATCTCGAGGACAAGCTTGTGGCTCGCTTATTCGGCCCCTGTCTATTTCGACCTGCATAGTGTGCAAGCAAGTCAAGCAGCGGAAAAAGGCTGAGAAACTCTTCAGAAGACCAGTCTACTGCCACCGACATCATGTGCTTACCTTGCTTCATATCAGGGATGACAGGAGTCGCTCGGATAACGAGACCTTTAATGCTGACAAGCTTGTCCGTATCTGGAGCCTCCAAGGGTCAAGACGGGTTCACATCAATGCAACGGGGCGACGAACCTCCAGGGTTCAAATCTCTCATGTTAACAGTGGGGATATTAAAAGGTCGAACCATGTACACTCGAAGGGTCATTTCATCCAACTCTTGCTGAAGTGATTCCTTCTTCTCATCGTCCGTCTCCTCATTAAACTCCTCCTCGACCGTCCCAACAACCGCCTCGCGAAGGACTTGATCCATAATAGGGATAACCTCCTGAGGATAGTTTATGAGTTGCTTGTAAAGTTTCGCTGTGGGAGGGTACGCAAGAAGATTGACAGCATCGAGGTTTAGACTTGATTGGGAGGTAAGTCTCATCTTCCTAAGATACTCCCCGTAGAGGGTTCGTTCGCCCATCTCAGGATCAGGAAGAGCAGGCCAAGGGAAACCATTCTCCCGATCGTGCTTGATGCGGTACTTGACTTTGAAGTTAGCCAAAAAATCGGCAAAGGCGGTCATGGTGCTCATGATGGAAACATTGGTTCCCCAAATAACTTTAACAGCATCGTCTGCGTTATCTGAAGGAGGCACTTGCGCAGACAACGCCGCACTGGACGTTGGGAAGAGCGGATCACCCTCTGATGAGGGAGGGACTCCCTGACGTGCTGCCTGACGAGATTGAGAGGAGTGGAACAGTGGAGTGGACGTAGAAGGACGAATGTCACCGCGACGAATTCGTGGTGTCGAGCGAGCACTCGTTGTTCTGGTGCCTTTGGGTTATCAAGGTGCACGGGGAATGGCGAAGGAAAAGAGTTCACTCACGGAGACTGAAAGAGCGGCACGTTATCACCTCTGCGACTAGCTGTCCTCTGACGGACTGGAGACGAGTCAGGGAATGCAAGCTGTGAATCATCTAGGAAAACCATCAGATACGAATAGCTCCTGGTACGCGACTAAAGGAGCATACCACTCATTTGTGTTCCACGGTTCCGAGGGGTGGACATACGCAAAGCGCGTCTCGCAACATCGCCCGCACTCATAGGCTGACTTCCGTTCCGTTGAGGTGTAGGTGTGCCAAAGAGCAAGCGCTTCTTGGGCGACCTCCTTGGGGTTCTCACAGCTTCATTCTCATGATCAGGCTCGCTGGTAGGGAAAGAGAGAGGTGGAGGCGATGACATATCTCTTTCAACTGTGATTTAGGTGTGAAGGTGTCGACGCGTCAAATGTGAGGAGGAAATTGCTTTGCTTCCGATCTTTTCTCGAATCAATTGATTCTGCCACGACGCGTCGAACGCGTCTCGACACGTCCAAAAGCGCGTATAATATCCTTTCGTTCAGTTCCTTACACTCAAACGTGTGGGGTTTGATGTTCCCTCACAGTACAAGAAAGTAACATAAGATTGCCCTTGAATGAATGACAAAAGGTTGAAGCGAACGAGAGTCGTGGCTGCAATTGCCAATAAGTATATGGCACCGGTCGATAGCAATCGAGGACGAACATCTGCAGGATGACGATGAGGAACAGCGTTTGGTGGTCCCCAGTCAAATAATACTACATGACTGCTACCGCTGCAATCTTTCAGCCTTGAAGCGGCTCCTGCCCAGTGTTCGCGGACAACTGGAAGGGGACTGGAAGTCCTGCGATCAGGCCAACCTTTCGTTCACGCAAAATCGCGAGGCCGAAATGCCAGTGTACAGCCGCCAGAATAGTCTCTTCTGCATGGGTCGAGCTAGAGGGAGATGGAGAGAATCTCCTCATCCGCTCGCGTCCACTCCTCTCGCGTGCGACTCCCACATCCCCCTATCCCATCACTTCACATGGATATCTTTCGTCCCATGTTGTGCACCCAGGAACGCTCGGCAGTGGATCTCGAGACTCGAAAATATCGAGATGGAGGACGGAACCCAGTGGTTGTTTCGAGCCTGAAGTCGGGTGCCCAGGGATGGATCTGAGGAAAGCAAGTCCGCAGATGGGACCCGCGAGACAATAGATCGACGATCAAATCGTGGCAGTATGTAAGTCTCTAAATTAGATGAGTAATCTTTGTGATTTGGCTGCGGAAATTGGATGTCGTTCCCCCAGGCGGAAATGTTACTCCCTTTCCACGTCAAACTGCAGAGCTAGGAGCACTACGTGTAATGGATTTCAGATACCAAGTGCTGAATATCGAAGTTGTCTCTGCCATGGCTATGTACTTATATATGAAAGACATGCACATTCCAACGTTCTGAGTGATTGCCCCGGTTGGGAAGCTATGCGGAAGGGGCAGTTCACAACTGAAGCGGAAACATTGCAAAAAATCAAGCTAGGGAAAACCCCAAGTGATGCACAAGCAATGTTCGTAATAGTCTTTCATTTGTACATGTACATGTCATTGTAACTAGGCAAATCGGGATTAGGAGTTAATGCTGGCCAGGCAAAGCGAATTGACCTGACACAGCCAGAGGGCTGAGCCAGGCAGGCAAAGATTAAGACCCTGCATACCCCATATGGAGCATACAAACACCGGGGTCACAATGAGGCCTTGCGGTCACCGTGCAATGATGCGCCCCCGCTGCCGAAGCGCCCAGTACATGAAGGGGCTCTCCGGGTCAAGGTAAGTATGAGTTGCAAGGAATATCAGAATGAACCTGATAAGGAGTTTGAAGTGTGTCTGTGCGGTGAGGTTGTGGGACGTTTGGTAGCATATTTTGCTGGGTCCGGCTAACTCCGACTCCTTTCGGATAGAATTGTTGCTCAATTCATTGCGTAGCTGGACGTGCTGAACACGTCTATTCCAATAGAGGCTGGTAACCTGCCTACTGAGCACGGCCCGCCCACTAGTTTGGTGCCTCTCTTTAACAATACGACGCAAGTGGTGATTTGTGCTGGAGTACAGATTGGTTTTTCAAAAACAGGCAAATTCAAACATCAAGCCCGGTCTTGGAGCTCTCAGGACAGGCTAAATACCCAGAAACCACACACGCTCGAGACAATCATTTAGCCTCCACATGAGGCTCTCAGCAGAAAGGCAGACGCGGAGCCCCCCTTTTCCTTTCAGTTCGAAAACACGCTAAGATCGAACTTCCCAGAGGCAGACTTATCAGTGTATTGATGCCCTATCGCGCTCGTCCACCTATTCCAAACCAGGCCCATTCAATGTTTAGCGTGTCAAGAACTTCCCTCACAACTTACCCTCCGAACTTTGTACCCAGGGTCACGGTTTGCACATTGTTATACGTGGCAAACCAAAGGGGAACGGAGTTATCTACGACGACGGAGTAAGATCCGAATATGCTCGACCATTCGCCCGGGGAACTGTAGATCCCGTATACGTAGCCTGAGGCCTTGAGAGCTTGAACGATTGCTTTGGCGTGGGCGAGGTTGCCGCTGTAACCGTAGTCCCACTGCAAAATAATCGAACACATGTTATCAAATGGCATGATGGCTGGTGAATGACCCACAGGATGGCAGTATATCGGGTCGCGCTCAATGTCAACCCAGATCCTGCCTATCTTCATGTTGTTCGCTTTGAACACCTTACCAAGCTCAGCAAGCTGAAATGGGACAAAATCCGGTATTAGTTAGGTGCTTCACTGGACATCCCCTGGAGCACATAAACCCTTCCTTACCTGAGTAGCAGGACTCTTGCAATTGTGGCGACTCCCCGTGCAGGGAAACCAATACGTGTCTATATTCGTGTACCCTGCCGCCCGAGCATTCTTGTAGGACTGAACGAAGTTGGGGTCTACTGCTCCACCGATACCACACGCTTCGTAGTATCCACGAATGATAGCTTTTGTGAATCCCTCGTCATAGGCTTTTTTAAATGTTGCCTGAGGGACAAGAGTCGAGGAATCGACGGCGTGGATCAGGGAGTAAACGGAGGGGGCGAAGGCTGCAAGGACGAGAAGCAAAGAGCAGAACATCACGAAGATGAACTCAAGGTGAAGAGGGAAGTGCACGAGTATTGGAAATGGAGAGCCACAACAAAGCTACGCCAGAGCTGGCTGCTGGAGGGGCCATTCCCTCCCTTTACACCTCCAAACGCCTTCTCCGCGCGCATGGTTCTTTTTTGCACGTTGCAACAGAATTTCTTGTGCTCGAATGGATTGCGCTTGCGTTGCAGACACAGCATTTACCTGGACAGCAGGTGATTGTAGAACGGAATACGTAAATGTTGTCCCAGATTGCCCAGTCAATGCAGCGCTACGTGAGCATCTCCTGTCGCTTAGTTAACGCCATAAATGTGTTAATAGTGGATAACTCGAATCTCGATCTGTAGCCGCGCGGGGTGTGACTATGCAAGGAAAATAGCACAGGTTTGGTGTTGTGGTATTCCGAAGCTTGCTCCAAGTCCAACAGTCGAGGCACTGGGTGGGTTTAGGCAGGTTACCAGCCTCTATTGGAATAGAAGGTGGGTTGAAGTTGGGTGATCATCACCATACTTCTGGCCTTCCTGGCCATGCGCGGCAGCCGAAGACAGCTTAATTAACCTGTGCACCTCTCAATTATTTTACGTTGCACACGTGGCGATCTTTTGTCGCCAAATTGCAGCGCTTGGCACAGCATTTAGACGCTGATCGCGGCATCACGTGTAACGCGCAGGTGCCCTCTTTCATCATTCCATCGCCCGTCTGAGATTTGCCTTTCCATCGACTTCCCTCAGTGGGATTATGACCAACCCGGTGATCTTGCTTACGTTCTTACATAAGTTAGGGATTCTGGTGGCGTATTTGGAATTTGTACTTTCACTGAATTGTGATATCTCGACTCTTACGACGTGGTCCTTTCCCCCTCTTGGTTTGGGGTATGATACTGTAGAGGATCTGTATATGGACCAACCCTTTGGAGGGTGTGCTTTTAGCGTAAGAGAGGCGTTTCGCTGACAATTGATATCTAGCTTGGCCATCTGATCAACAACACGCGTAGGCAGACAAATGCTGTTAGCCACCAGTACATTGAGGTGTCTGTTTCGGAATTCTTCGACCTGAATGTATTTGCTCATTCGGTCGATGAGCATCCAATCTTTCTCTTTCATCAACATTGGATTCATTTCGGTGCATTGGGGCGATGGCGCACCTGGTTTTTGGTCGTATTAAAGACATAGCCCCTTCAATCCTACATACACTCACTGTTTTTTTCCGACCGTTGTTAAATCCAGAATATCGGACAAGTCGACTCTCTGACCATTTCTGCTTCGAGCACGGAAGAATGGCCGTCCCACCCCACTCCAGCTGCTTTCATCGCCTCGAGGTTCGCCAATCCCCGTTGTTGGCATCTCCAAGAGGGACATGCAATTTGACTCAATTGTTTCGAAGCGGTTGATTCTCCTTTTCGGTATTCATCACTGCTCAGTTCATTACATGACTGAGCAAAGTGGGCATAACCTAATACGCCTTACTGATCTGTCTTTTTTTTGTATCGCGATGCAGATGATGACTTGTGCGATTGTAGATACAGAAGGAGCGCTTTTTCAACAGCAGGCAGGTCCGAACGTCGTTTCGACACGCATGAGCGCCCACACGAAAAGGTAGCTGCGGAGCCCCCCCCCCTCTCGCAACTTTGCCTTTCCCCTTTCAGCTCGAAAAGACGCTAAGACAGAACTTCCCGGAGGCAGACTTATTAGTGTATTGATGGCCTACCGCGCTCGTCCACCTATTCCAAGCCGACCCCATTCGATGTTGAGCACATCGGAATACTCCAACACTAAGAATTCGCAAACTCACCCTCCGAACTTTGTACCCAGAGTCACAGTCTGCACATTGTTATATGTGGCGAACCAAAGGGGAGCTAAGCTATCCACGGCGGCGGAGTACGATCCGAACAGGCTCGACCATTCACCGGGGGAACTGTAGATCCCATATGCGTAGCCCGAGTCCTTGAGAGCTTGAACGATTTTTTTGGCGTGGGCAAGGTTGTCGCTATGACCGTAGTCCCACTACAAAACAACCGGACACATGTTATCGAATGGGCACTAGGGCTGATGAATGAGGTGGGTCACCCACAGCATTGCAGTACACTTGGTCACGCTCAAGGTCAAGCCAGATCCTACCTATCTTCATGTTGTTCGCTTTGAACACCTCCCCAAGCTCAGCAAGCTAAAATGAGTTGTAATTCCGTATCAGACACGGCGCGCTTCACAACGGACACTCTAATGCACATAAAAATCCATACTTGGGTTTCGGGACTCTTGCAATCATTACCACTTCCCGTGCAGGGGAACCAATACGTATCTATATTCGTGAAACCTGCCGCACGAGCATTCTCGTATGACTGAACGAAGTTAGGATCCACTGCTCCACCAACACTACACGCTTCGCGGTATCCTCGAATGATCGCTTTTCTGAATCCCTGGTCATAGGCTTTTTTGAAAGTTGCTTGTGGGACTAGAGTTGAGCAATCCACGGTATGGACGAGGGACATGGTACCAGTCTAGTCAGCGCTTAGGGGGAAGCCTGCTGTGCTCACATGGTCTGTATCAAATGATAGTGTGGAAGCTTCAGGCGCGATGATGGAAGCTCAATTGAGAGACAATAAGGTGGAGCGTTGTTAGCAACATGTTTCCATCTTTGGGAATAGAGCATTCAGAAGCCCATATAATCCGCATGTGTGCTATGCTATGCTTCCGACCCCTGGGAGAAACAGGATGAAGCGCGCAGGGTATTCTATTGGTAGCTCAACAAAGTTGAAAAGCGGTGTGCATGGGGCTGTGTTTATCCTGTAGACCTCGGCTTATGTCCCCAATGCACCACGAGGAAGGTGGGGAGTGATCATGAGCTAGAGAGAGAGGGGTGAGGTTGCAACTAGACAACGCGGCCATGAAGTAAATGGTAGACAATCAGCATTCAAGTCTCGAGCGTCCGAACATGACCTACAGATTGGACAGAAATACGTCAAACACCCCCGGTCATGATCGAGTCTTTAGGCATCATCCATGAGGACATGACTTGCTTCCCATCCATACGTAAGTCCCATCGGCCTTATCTGCCATCATATGGCCCCTACGAGAACATTGTCGGTTTGCGCGCATTTCGCTCTCGCTAGAATGACTACTCGTCCGACAGTTTACGTTCTAAACACGTTCGAGGAAGCTTCCCTCTATGTGTATATTCGGCTACTGACCTGCTAGTACTCCCCCCACTTTTCTCCGCGGGAGGCATCCACTTCCACATTTGTCAGGTTGTCAGTATTGGAACTCAGCAGATATTTCTCAACGATGCAAACCTTTGACTGGAAGACCGACATTCTATCTCCTCTTGGTGTTCTTCTGGGCGCCTGTTCGGTTACTTTCTGGCTTGCAGCTAGAAGGCGAGACCCTCCGGATGTAGATCAGCGCCAGGGCGATACCCTGGCACCCATCGGTGTTCATAAAAAATTAGGGGTTTCCCCGTTCACACAAACCCGAGCAACCCCGGGGGTGGGCTTGAATAATTATAACAAACTGTGTTGCGGGGCCAGATCGCTGCTCATTCCATGCTACATTATGTCGAGCTAGTACGTCTTTGATGCGAGATTGCGTGAACAAAGCGGGCAATACGTTAAGCGTATGAAGAAGACATGGACCAAAGCAAGACCAGGAGGTAAGAAAATGACCAAAGGCATTGGCATTCCAATGTGAATGCAAGGGTGAGCGTTAAGCGTACTGGGGCTTAATCCTGGATCCTGATCTGCCCTTAAGCGCAAAGAGAAACTATGGGCCCCGCTCGTTTCTACTGCACAGTGTCCTGCAAAGCACAGGTTATTCAACTCTGGGTCGATTATGACATACTAGGCGAGGCTGTGACCAATCATGCTGTGAGGGTGAACCAGGTAGAAGGAAACAGACAGCCTTGCTGTCGATGCTGAACACCCAGAAAAGGCTTGGCCTATTTCGCGATACCCTTAATATTACGTTTTCTCCCCTCGATCAGATAGAAGAAGAAGGTCGGTTGATCAAACGATTGTTTGCAAGGGGAGCATCATTTATGCAGTGCACCGATAGGGCTGAGATACGATTCCAAAGGATATGATGCTGCACCAAGGGGGTGCAAAAATTGGGCGGAACATGCGTGTGATGCGCTCCATCGTTCAAGAATCATTCGCTGCCATTTTTGGCCGATCACGAGACTGGCCTTTTTTGTGTCAACATGACCCATCGCTCAACTCTTCCAATTGGACAGCCTCTTCCTCTGATGGCTTGCAGTGAGTCTTACAAGTAAGAGGCTGGTCACCTGCCTAAGTGAGTCTTTGAAATGTGGTAATACTATGTCACAGGTTTACATTATTCTTGCTTCCACATGGCCAACAAGCTCTCGATCGCCCGCCCCTGCGAACGGAATCTTCTCCCTTGGAGCCCATATATGTGATGCGCTTCTGTTGTGTACATACACACAATACGTGCACAGAATATGTACGCTTTGGTTAGGCAGGTGACTGGCAGCCTCCATAGTGATAGCGCTTTGGCGCCTTGGCACACTTCAGCCGCCCCCTACGCACGCAGCCACACGCCAGAGCGAGCACTTCTAGCACTGTGAATAGTCCTAAATATGAGTACGAGTAAACACAAGTCGATTTGGCATCCAGCCGCGCGTTCATGATCTCCGGGCTATGCTTGGCCCCACTCTCAGTCGTCTATTGTACAGGCTCCGATAAGCTCATCACATAGATATGCCTCATCAGAGTCGTCACGCAGACACCCTCCACGGGGGTCCTGCGGGATGGGTTGTGGCCAGTGCGCTATCTGCTAGGTATCGCGCGAAATTGGTTGCAGATACAGTTTCACGGGGCTGAGTGGACACTAGTCCCATGAAGGTCTTATCGCACTCTCTTTCGGAATCAAGTGGAGCCCGTGCTCTTCGGAGTCGTACGTCAGCACAGCCCGGATGCCTGTTATTATTCGTGTGGCCTTCTGCCCTTAAAGTTCTTCATCCCACGGATAAGGAATGGCGAAGGATCCCGCGTCATGTGGCAACGAATTTACATCCGTGGAATTGATCTGATTGGAGGCATTTCTTGCAGCGCGTCATATTCAGAAGCACGCTGGTCTGGATGCGGTGTCGGCTTATCGATCATGGAACAGAGCTACACAATCATAAGAAACGACTTACCCGGTTCCGGCACTGCGCTCAGCTTTTCAATGGGATTTATATAGCACATGCAGCGAATCTTCGCAGCCGGCTCATGTTGAGCACCTCCATCCCCCCCTCCTCGAATCACTTCATCAGTTTGCAGTGCGCAAGATGGGTATGTCCTTCTATGAAAATCTTGTCGGGGGTTACCTTTCTGGGCTTGTGCTCGAAACTATGTACGTGGATGATGACGCTGACAATTGCCTTTCCGTGAATAATGGACATTTTCACTTCATGCGTTACGCTCGTTCGGATTACTTCCCATTGTTTCCTTCCCCACAATAGACTCCTCGGGGTAATCACCGTCCAGGCTTCCCTTTATTACCAAAGGTTCCCTGAGGATCATATCGCTCTAAAGTTCGTTGTTGGGTTCTTATGGTAAGCACTGGCTGATCGAGTGACTCGTAGTGTATGATTTGGTGATTGCGTGTTCCATCCTCAGGCTCGTACAGACGTTTGAAGTGTTAGTCGAAAGCCGCATGCGGTGTACCTTTCGGTGACCTGTCGATTCTCTAGGGTAGTTTCGTCGATTTCAGCTTACAAAGGTTTCATCCTCCACTTCGGTATTCCGGCCTTAACTTCAGTATGGTAAGCCCCCCCATAGAATCATTACAGTGATTCTGGCGTTGACTTTACTCCCACGGCAGGTACGATACCATGTACCAGATTTGTACGGTAAGATTCCATTTCCACTCAACTCACGACAATGTCGTCCGACGTACATTCTAGGTTTTTTCTTCCGTCCCCGTTCAATTTTTCTTCGTCTTTCGACTCCATCGATGTACGTTATCTCTGTTATATCTCCCTTCCAGTCACGAATTCCTGACGTCTGTCGCCCAGTCAGTAGGTCAACTTGGCTACCAACACTACTGGTACGCCTTCCACTGTTCATCTTATATATAAATCTGTTGATATTTTCAATCCTTGTCGATAGGGCGTTTTGACTTTGGGGCAACTGGGCGAGTGAACTTGGAATGGAGACAGATCTTGTGTCTGACGTGCTTGCTATCTTGCTCTAGGGACTGGAGTTGGTAAGGTGGTGCCACAAATCGCCGAATTAAATCGCTTCTGAGAATCTCTATATTTTCCTTGTACTCTATATAGCGATCTGCGTCAGAGCGTAAGTGGATTGTCTGTACTTTTTCGAATCAGTAATTTGTTGTGTTGACATCTCCCCTCCCCCGTTGGTAGAAATGTTACTCATGGTATCGAAAGTATCATCCGTCCCGAACGCCCATTGCTAATAAGTTGGCAAACACTGGAGGCACGTTCCTCTGCATTCATTAAAGAGCTTGGGGCTCAATACCAAATTGTAGGCAATGGCCGACCTCATAATTGCCTTCTCCATGTCATACTACCTCCAGAACCGCCGCACGGGATTTCGACGGTAAGCGATCGATCCATGCATTGGTTGGAGGGGGGGCCGAATGACCGAACAGGTGCTTCCCTTTGAAGGACGGATACAGTGATTCGGAAGTTAATAGTATATGCCATCAATACGGGGCTGGTAACGAGGTGCGGTTTGTCGAACTTGGTAATGAGATGGGCTGAGTTAACTTTTCATAACTCAGCGTTCTGGCGCTGGTCGTCATGTTTGCTGTATGGCTGTCTCAACTCTTCTGGTGTATCAGGAAGTCCTGAGGCTCTCCTTTCTTTTGGGCAGTTTGCATTCTACGGCTTCCACTTTGTTCACATGCTTTTCATCCTGGTGAGTAATATGTGTCACTCAGTACAGATATTTGTTATATTATGCTTCTTAGCCGCTTGGAGGAGTTTATACTGTGTCCCTTCTAGCAAAGTACGTCACGGAGCAGTCTGCACCACCGCGACCGCGGAAAAACCCATAGATAACTGACGGACCCACTGCTTCCTCCTACTTCAATCAGTCTACATTCGCGCTCGATACTCCGGGAAGAACTTTATTCCGAACATGGGATCTCGATACACGTGTCCCGCCTTCCTCCCACAGTAAGACGAATTCGCCGTCTGATAGGCCCACTTCACCACAGTTGACTCGATGCGTTTTCATCAGATACAAAACAGGATAAATTCTGTCGCTCAGCGCATAGAAATGCATTATTCGGGTGAAGAAACGGATCAAACTCTATTGGCAGCGGGTCCGAGTTCCTCGCGCCCATCGCGGGCGGAGACAGAAGCCACCCGGCACAGTGGGCAATCAGGTACCCTGAAACCAGAGATCTTGTGGTCTGGGCACGTGTGAGTGGGTTCCGTTGATCAAACAATTTAAGCCATTGGCCTCCTTTTGGATTGGATCACCTGAACTTTGCCTGACATACCGATTCCCTATGAGCAAACCGCGGACAAGCGAGTGGGACGAGAAGTATGCGAGTGTTGGGAGGAGAAAAAATGCACTGTGTAAGGGATATCTTTTATCCTTCTTCTGTCTCATTACTCCAGATGACAAAAAATCTGCATGTCAGATTTGAATGAAAGGACTCGGGTGTCTGGAGGTGTCTGATGATGATCCAAAAACAGCAGCGAACCCGAATCGGAGTTCATCTTGCATGTAAGCTTGAACGGATCAAAGCACCCGGAGCACTTTGACAGAAATAGTGAATCAATTTGAATACCCGCCTGACAAAACACCCTTCTTTACATTTCAGTGACAGTTGGGCTGCTTCTCGTTCATTACATACACATTACCGGTTTTCGACTAGGGGCACCCAAAATTGAGTCCCGGCAACTGCTAGCGCACGCCACCAATCCTGAAAACGGGACAACAGGCAGGACTCCAGCCTGTGTCTTATAATAGAGCCTGAAGGTTCATTGGGAAGTTAAGAGCTAGGAACTGACAGCATGTCATTATGTAATATTATTAATCAAGAACTTATGATCCACCAGTAGGAGCATCTCGAAACAAAATCTAATTCTCCTCAGCTCGCAAAGATGTCAAGATTGAACAACCCAGACTCAGACTGATCACTGTACTGTTTCCCTTCCCCGGCCGTCCACCTTTTTTTTCGAGCCATCCAATGATTAGCACATCAGTAATTTCTTAGTGTTAAAATATCTAACTTACCCTCCGAACGGAGCACCGAGAGTCAAAGATGAATCATCGTTATCGTACGTAGCGAACCAAAGAGGAAGGGAGGAATCCAAGACGACGCCCCGAGATCCAAAGATGGTCCCCCATTCACCCGGGGAACTGTAGATCCCAAAATTGTATCCTGCAACCGTGAGGGCTGTAACCATCTCTCGGGCCTGCAGAAGGTTACCACGGGGACCGTAGTTCCACTGAAGAACGTTCGGACACATGTTATCAAATGGGCATGAGGGTGAATGGATGAGATGGAAGACTCACGGTGCCACAGGACGGGTCATTCTCAATGTAAAGCCAGAGCCTGCCTATAGTCATCTGGTTCTCATTGAGCGTTGCGCTGAGCTCAACAAGCTAACGAATCAAAACTCAATGTTAACCACGGGGCCTCAAGAGATGGTTTCTAAAGCATACATACCTGGTCAGCATAAGGTTTGCAAATGTTGCGGGTCCCCGTGCAAGGGAACCAATACGCATCTATCTCCGAATACCCCGCCGCCGTGGCATTGTGGTACGACGGAACGAAGTCGGGATCCACTTGTCCACCGACATTGCATGCTTGCTCGTATCCGCGAATGACGAGATGTGAGAATCCCTCGCCGAGAACTTCTGAGTAAGTTCGATCGTTGACTGGAGCTGAGGTGTCTACGCCATGGACGAGCGAGTAAGCGGGGGAGGCGAATGCTGCGAGAGCGAGGATCGCAGAGCAGAACATTGTTGAGGGGTCGAAAAGTTGGAAGGAGGGGGAAGTGCATTGAAAGCTGATGTGCGAGTCCCCTCTTTTAAGCTTTTTTCTTCGGCATGTGGCCAAGGGATCTGCACGTCAGTTGAATGAATGACCCAGGGTCCAAAAACAGCAGCGAATCGGAGGCGAATAAGTATGTCGCTGTTTGAGCGTTCCTATCCTCATATGGTAATCGCGCTCAACATTGTCAACCAGCTGAGACGCTCCTGACACATTCAATCAAATCAACTACACAATTTTGTTTGTATCCTCTATGCCTATGATTTCTCTACGATGAACTGGAAAGGCCTTGCTGATGAACGATTCCCCAACGTGAGACTGTGGATATCAGCGAGAAGGGATAGTTTTGAACATACATGCGGACAAGTCATGGCTTGCGCCCACAAAGCTGGGTGCTACATCATCAATCTTATGTATTTGTCACCGCTTTACACCGCTCGTTTATTGCCCCATTCATTCCTCGATTATTAACCTTTGACATTTACTTTTCCATGTCATCTACATATAGTACCGCCGTACAAACCATCCGAAATAAAGACCGAGTCTGCTCGACGCCCGGATATCGCCGCCGAGAACCTTCACTCAAACGGGGCCACCGATGACAACAAATGGTTCACCCGTTCAAGTTGTAAAGCTTGATCGGGGACCGAAGTGACAGCCGTTACATAAGTAACAAAAATGGAAATCGATTTGAATAACCCACTTCGTTGGTGTTTCAAATTTTCCCCGTGTCACCGACGGTGAACCGATATTCGATTTTCGGGTGCTTGTCACGACGCTGATTGCCGGGAGTCGATTTTGGTTGCTTTTCGTTTATTACGTACACGTTACTAGTTTTTGACACCCAAATTTGAGTCCCGGCAGCGTACTAGTGCACACCAACCCTGAAAACGTGACAACATGCAGGACTCCAGCCTCCGTTATGAGCCTGAAGGTATGAGCTAGGTCGTGAGGAACCGACAGCAGCATGTCATTATGGAATATTGTTAATCAAGAACTTATGATCCCCCCAGGAGCATCTCAAAACAAATTCTAATTCTTCCCCATTCTCCTCAGCTTGCAAAGATGTCAAGATTGAACAACCCGGACTCAGACCGATCACTATACTGCTTCCCTTCCCCGACCGTCCACCTGTTTTCCGAGCCGTCCAATGATTAGCACATCAGTCATTTCTTAGTGTCAAAATGCACAACTTACCCTCCGAACGGAGAACGGAGAGTCAAAGATGAATCGTCGTTATCGTACGTAGCGAACCAAAGAGGAATGGAGGAATCTAAGACCGCGTTCCGAGATCCAAAGATGGTCTCCCATTCACTCGGAGAACTGTAGATCCCAAAGTTGTATCCTGCAGCCCTGAGGGCTATAACCATCTCTCGGGCCTGCGCAAAGTTACCAGCGGGACCGTAGTCCCACTGAAGAACGTTCGGACACATGGGCATGATAGTGAATGGATGAGGTGGAAGACTCACGGCGCTACAGGACGGGTCATTCTCAATGTCAAGCCAGATCCTGCGTATATTCATCTGGTTCTCATTGAGCGTTGCGCTGAGCTCAGCAAGCTAATGAATCAAAACTCAATGTTAACTACGGTGCCTCAACAGATGATATCTGAAGCGCGTAGATACATACCTGGACAGCGTAAGGTTTGCAAGCGTGGCGAGTCCCCGAGCAAGGGACCCAATACGCATCTATCTCCAAATACCCCGCCGCCTTGGCATTTTTGTACGACGAAACGAAGTTGGGATCCACTTGTCCACCGACATTGCATGCTTGCTCGTATCCACGAATGACGAGATGTGAGAATCCCTCGCCGAGAACTTTTCTGTAAGTCTGAAGGCTGACTGAGGTGTCTACGCCGTGGACGAGCGATTAAGCGGGGGAGGCGAATGCTGCAAGAGCGAGGATCGCAGAGCGGAACATTGTTGGGAAGAGAAGGGATAGAAAAGCTGGAAAGGGGGGGGGGGGACTCCACTGCTGATGTGCAAAGGTGTCAGTCCCTCTTTTACTGTAATCCTTTCCTACGGACCGAAGTTAACAAAAATGGAAATCGATTTGAATTTCGTGGACACCTGTTTCAGATTTTCCCCATGTCGCCCACAACGGTGAACATCGAATTTGCAAATGCGTGACAGATTACGCTACTTATAGTAAGTAAAAAAGAAGAAATCCAATGGACGCTTCTCGCCTCCAAATATTTTCGCCACATTCTGACGCTCCTAGCTGCATGCCGATCGCTAGGTTGCATAGCGTCGCCCTCGTGGGCAATATCGGTCTTGTCCTACACATCGAAAACGCAGACAACAGACTCAGTATTACTTTATAAAGCCTTTGTCTCCGTCTCTACCCAGGCAAGGAATCAGTGGGTGAACTCAGCGTGAGACTCTAGCTAGATAAGAAGGCTTACAGTAATCCTAACGATCGGTATGTGCAATGAGCTCAGGCTTCGTTCGGTATGGAGAAACAGGTTTCTTTGGTCTGTTTCTTCCTGTTTCTTAATACAAAAATTGCGTGTTTCTTTAGGTAGAAGAAATGAGAGAGAATATTGAATTGAAAAACTGGAAGAAACAGGCCTGTTTCTTCATACCGAACGAAGCCTCAGTTTCAAGACAAACACAGAAAGGGAAATGAATCTGATTCTAGAATCGGACAAGTGCTCCAGGTAATCTATGGAGCACTCCAGAGCCCGTCGGTTTGGGCACGCGTCTTGGTGTTGATTTCCCCAAGGGGGAAGCAAATTGGTTCAAAGATCGCGATGTGGTTGGATACCCCTCTAAAGACTCATCATTACCTCTGTCCCCATAATACTGTACAGTAAAAATGATGATTATTGAAGGAGGACATAGAGAATCTTCCGAGAAACAGGCAATTTTGAATCGAAAAAGTACGGACTTCCTGGAACGAAATCTAATTATCCCATTTCTACCTCAGTTCGCAAAGATATCAAGATTGAACACCCCCGAGGCAGAGTGATCACTGTACTGTTTACCTTCCGCAGTTGTCCACCTGTCCCGAGCCAACGCCATCCAATGATTAGCATATTGGCAACTTCTGCTATCAAGATGTGCAACTCACCCTCCGAACGGTGAACTGAGAGTCAAGGATGAGTCATCATTATCATACGTAGCGAACCAAAGGGGAATGGAGGAATCCAAGACGACGCCCTGAGATCCGAAGATGGTCCCCCATTCACCCGGAGAACTGTAGATCCCAAAGTAGTAGCCTCCATCCCTGAGAGCTGCAACCATCGCCTGAGCTTGCTGAAGGTTACCATCGGCACCGTAGTTCCACTGCAAAACGGTCGAACACACACGTTATCAAACAAGCATGACGGTAAATGGAAAAAGTGGAAGACTCACAGTGCCGCAGGACGGGTCGTTCTCAATGTAAAGCCAGATCCTACCTACATCCGTCCCGTTCGAATACAACATCGCGCCGAGCTCAGCAAGCTAAAGTAAATCAAAACTCAATACCGACCACGGTAACAAACGCTCGATCTGGAGCACCATACCTGGTCAGTATAACTCTTGCAAGGGTTGCCGGTCCCTGTGCAAGGGAACCAATACGTATCAATCTCCGTATACCCCACTGCCCTGGCATTGTGGTATGACGGAACAAAGTAGGGGTCCACTTGTCCACCGGAACTGCATGCGTCCTCGTATCCACGAATGACGAGGTGTGTGAATCCGTCGCCGATAGCTTTTGAGTAAGTCCCTCCGTCGACTGGAGCTGAGTTGTCTACACCGTGGACGAGCGAGTAGGCAGAGGTGGCAGATGCGGCGAGAACGAGGATCGTGGAGCAGAGCATTGTTGCAGTCTCGGGGAAAGAAAGTGAGGCAGGTGCTAGTCCCTCCTTTTATCCTTTTTTCCTATGCCATTATGTATGGCAGGTGACAAAGAAATCTACGCGTCAGATTTGAATAAGTAAATGACCCGGGTGTCTGGAATGATCCTGGGGAATTGGATATATCGTTGTTTCAGCGTCCTTGGCCTCATGTAGCAATCGCATCACTTCTCCAATCAGTCAACAGCTGCTGAGAGACATCAGAACGGCTGCTGAAATTTAGTTGTCTCTTGCTGTATTCCCTCTGTCTGTGGGTTCTTTATGATGGTCAGTGAACGAGTCTCCAATGCGAGACTGTAGGCGCTGATCACAGTACTAGTGCCAGTGTCGTGAGAAGTGAGCGGACAAGTCAATTAGTCATGACCGCAAGGGCTACATGCCACGTGCGTTACCAATATAATTTGTTACCGCTTCACACCGCTCCTTCGATCTGACATATACTCTAGTCTCTCATTGCCGTACAACCATCTGGAAAAAGATCATCATTATCTCTTGGGTATCACTGCCTACCCAAACGGATGACTCGTGATACAAATGCTTCGTCTTCAACCATTCAATTTGCAAGCTGAACGGATCAAACGGATATTGACAGGCTGACAGCGGTTGACAGTCAATTGAATTAATTTGAAATGACACAACTAAATTACCCTTTTGACATTGCAGGGATTGCTTTTCGTTCATTGCGTAATACGATTTTCTTTCGGTCTTTTGCGAACCATTTCCCCGCATCCATATAACTATGTTTGTCACATATTCCTATGCTTGTGTGGCTTTTTTTTGCTCAAATCACGAAAGAAATCTCATGTGCCATGTTCGAGCCTCGCCACTTTATTGACTTTAAACCACTTCCCAAATTCAACTTGATGTATACTAGAGTGCGTGCTTCGCATCGCGAATACCTGCACAGCGCGTGATACCTATGCGCAGCCATTGGGACTCCGTTGAGAGGAAGCCTTCCTCCTTTTAACATGTATGTGACGTTGTCGGGAGTACAACGAACGTGCGAATGTGCGACTTGTTTGCGACATCAAAGACACTCTGTTCAAGACTCCATGTGAAGCACAGGATGAAAGACTGGTATGGTTGGACGAAAGGACGAAACGGGGTTTGGAGCGAGCAACTGAGATTGTGATTATGGAGTGACCGGACCAAGTTTGGGGTGTATGATGTTAAATGAACTTCGACACCTCGATCACAGGAAACACCTCGGAATGCCGTCCAAGCTGATAGAGCGAGGCGTGCAGATTCCCGAATGATTTGGCTAAATTCTAGTGGCACGATACCGTCTGAATAGCAGCTAGCCGACCCCAAAGCTTGACACTTTCCTCAATCAACAGGAGCACCTCTGAAAGTCGTATAAGACTGACAAGTGGCAACATAAGATTCTCAAGTGATCCAGCCAAATCTGGGGCGCATGAGTCCAGACAAACGACAACTAATTAGCGTAGATTCCCAAGTGACAGTTTGAGGGCTAAACATTTGAAGTGTGTATTCAAACGAGAGGGATGGTGTTACGACGCTAATTGCCGGGAGTCGATTTTGGTCACTGGGTTAGAGTCACATCTCTGCTGAGCGAGTTTGATCATAAAAGTTGGGATTTCCGCGTACTATCTTGAGCTCTGTGACCTCCTATAACCACCATTGTGTCATTTCGCTGCCCTGCTGACCAGAACACAAACAATTGTCGGTTCTCTGATGGGTCAGATGCATGCTGTTCCCAGTGCCTCGGGATCAGCAGTCGAGACTGTTGGAGGAGGCTGTAAAACATTTGGTACTGGAAGAGGCGGGGAAGATAATTGCTCGGATAAATTTTCCTGGGGTACATCACGAAAACCGGGCAAGTGCTCCAAGTGCTCTGTGGAGCACTCCAGAGCACACGTCTTTATGTTGGTTTCCCCAAGGGGGAAGCAAATTGGTTCCTTTAAAGGCTCCTCATTGCTTATGCTACCTCTGTTTCCATACACTACGGTACAAATAATGACTGATGCAGGAGGATAGAGAATCTTTCCAAAAGTGGGCAATTGTGAATTGAAAGTACGAGCTTCCTCTAATTATCCCATTTTCCCCCTCAGCTCGCAAAGATGTCAAGATTGAACACCCCCGAGGCAGACCGACCCCTGTACTGTTTACCTTTTCCAGTCCTCCACCTTTTCCGAGCCAACGCCATCCAATGATTAGCATATCGGCAACGTCTGCTGTCAAGATGCGCAACTCACCCTCCGAACGGTGAACTGAGAGTCAAGGATGAGTCGTCACCATCATACGTAGCGAACCAAAGGGGAATGGAGGAATCCAAGACGACGTGCTGAGATCCGAAGATGGTCTCCCATTCACCCGGAGAACTGTAGATCCCAAAGTTGTAGGTTTCATTCCTGAGAGCTGCAATTATCGCCATCGCTTCGTGAACGTTACCATCGGCACCGTAGTCCCACTGCAAAATAGTCAAATACACATTATCAAACATGTGAATGAATAAGTGGAAGGCTTACAGTGCCGCAGGATGGGTCGTTCTCAATGTAAAGCCAGATCCTACCTATCTCCGTCTGGTTCGCATGCAACATCGCGCCGAGCTCAGCGAGCTAAAGTAAGTCAAAACTCAATACCAAGAACGGCAACAAATGCTCGATCTGGAGCACCTGAATCCATACCTGTTCAGAATAAAACTTGCAAGGGTTGTTGGTCCCCGTGCAAGGGAACCAATACACATCAATCTCCGTACTATTATACCCCGCCGCCCTGGCATTGTGGTATGACGAAGGAAAGTTGGGGTCCACTTGTCCACCGGAGCTGCATGCCTGCTCGTATCCACGGATGACGAGGTGTGTAAACCCGTCGCCGATAGCTTTTGAGTAAGTTCGATTGTCGACTGGGGCTGAGTTGTCTACACCGTGGACGAGCGAGTAGGCGGAGGAGGCGGATACAGCGAGAACGAGGATCGTAGAGCAGAGCATTGTTACGAAGAGGATCTCGGGGAAGACGGTGCAAAAGTGTTGTGCAAGGAAAGAACTAGGTGCTAGCCCCTCCTTTTATCTTTTTCCTACGTTATTACGGCACGCGACAAAGAGATCTACGCGTCAGATCTGAGTGACAGGATGACCCGGGTGTTTGGAATGGTCCTGGGGAATAAGATACATCGTCCGCAGCCTCATGCAGCAATCGCATCACTTCTCCAAACCGGCAACCCCAGCTGAGAGACATCACAACGGCTGCTGAGATCTTGCTGTATTCCCTCTGCTTGTGGTTTCTTTATGATGGTCAGTGAACGAGTCCCCAATGCGGGACTGTAGCGCGGTTGGATTTGGTTGGTTGGGTTGGGCGCTGATCAGTGTCGTGGGAAGAAATGGCATAGAGCGGACAAGTCAATTACTAATTAAGATCGAAGGCTGCATGCCACGTGCGTCATCAATATAATTTACTGCCGCTTTACAGCCGCTTCTTCCTCGATTATGTAACCTTTTGCCATACACTCCTCCCACTTGATCTCTCACTACCGTGCAAAATCAATTATTTTCTGCTCAATGCTTGGGTATCGCTAAGAACCACTAAAACGGGCGACTCGTGATAGAAATGCTTCGTCTTCGGCCAGTTAATTTATCAGCTTGAACGGTGACAGCGGTTGACAGTCGATTGAAATGACACAACTACATATGTAGAACAACCCTCTTGACAATTGCAGGGATTGCTTTTCGTTCATTGCGGAGAAGGGCCCCAGAAGCCCGCCCACTGCCCAGTTCCCGTTTTGCCGCATCCATATGACTATGTATGTCACATATTCCGCACGCTTATGTGGCTATCTTGCTCAAGTTGGCTGTTCATTGATATAATTTTTTCCGAAAGAAATCCATACGGTGAGCCATGTTCGAGCCCCGCCACTTTATCGACTTCAAACTACTTCCTAATACATACCAGAGTGCGTGCTTCGCATCGCGAATACCCGCACAGAACGTGATACTCATGGCAGACACCGGGACTCCGCTGAGAGGAAGCCTTCCCCCTTTTAACATGTGCGTGATGTTATCGATCATGCGAATGTGCGATTTGTTTGCGACTTCAAAGACACTCTGTTCAAGACTCCATGTGAAGTACAAGATGAAAGACTTGTATGGTTGAGCAAAAGGACGAAATGTGGGTGGCAGATAAAAATCATTTTCAAGATAAGGCGAAGTACGTTATTCGAAGTGAACCCGATTCGCGTAATATCGGTGGCAACAACCAAGGCCACGATATCCTGCTCCAGGTTTCCGCACTGCGCTTATATACACCAACGACTTGTATCGCGCCACAGGCGGCGCTACAAGACAAAGGGAGACAACTTGCGACAGTGAACAACGCTAAGGTATGACTTTGCTTATGTGACTCCGCCGCATCACGTCGGCAATGCACCTGGTGGTTCGCTGGCCAACACTCCCCATCCGATCCGCACGTTATTTTAGCACACGGACTCCATCCCTGCATTAGGAAAAAGCGATCGTGCTTCACCTTAGCAGAGATTTAGTGAGAGGGTGTTGTCGTTGGTCTCGATGAGCCTGAGGTCGACCGTTCTATCAGCGATGCATCCCCTAATGAAGTGATGTCGATGTTCTTGGTCACGTTGTGATTCACGGGATTTCGAGTGAGCAAGTCCGCAGCCCGGTTGTCGATATGTAAGGTGGTGGGTTTCGCCCTCGTGCAGCTCTTCGAGTAGTCTGAGGCTTGCTGTCTCAACATCCACTGCTCCCCAGAGAAAAGAAATGCGTAACCTTCGGTTCAGTGCATCGTTTGCCCAACCGGCGTCGGTGTGCCCGAAGAGGACCCCTCCGCCCGCGGTGCATATAATGCCTCGATTTGGGGTTCATGATGTGTCTGATCCTTTCTACATGCTCCTGTCCGAAGTTGAGCCGGCGCTCTGACGGCCGCGCTGATAAGCCATGGCAAGTGCGGATAGCACGAAGTGATAAAATTTGGCGACAGGCGCAAAGGTTTCGATGCCTAAAACCTTGGACGACGATCTACTTTAGTAGAGAGAGGCTGAGGATCCTGGGGCGACGAGAGTTGAGCTTTGAAGTGGGTGACTTTCCCATCGACGCCGAACTCCTTCACGAAGCAGCACCCAATGGCGTTTTTTATACTCGGAGACGGGTCGACAAGCTCCCAGGTTCCCGCTTGAATTCCCTGATGGCCGGGAGTTCCTCCAGGATCTCGGACCAGAACCGCTCGTGCCACTTGTCACGTTCAGCCAACGGTTCCTGGGGAGTCGGTGCATCCACGCTTTCAGTCAGCACAGGGTTAGCCATTTGAGCCTCATCCAGGGCAAAGTCTAGGATGTCTTCAATCGTGAACAGTATGCAGCTGCAAATGCCCGATTTTCGGGCTAGTCACATGATCGTCCAAAAGACGGCAACTACCCTTGCAATATTCAAAATGTATTCATTCGATCGCAGACGCGTGAATGGACCTGAGAACACCTATCCACCTGCCTATGAATCCACCAAAGAGGCTCCGTCGCCCACTCGAAGACAGGGAAGAAAACCACACAATATAAGACCCTTTGTGTGTGCGATATCAATTGCTAATATCTTGAACACTCAGCATCTTTTTGAAGTCCTCAAAGTTGGGCTAATCACTCAGGCCCACGGCTCAGCCTATATAGAGACTGAGAAACTAAAGATCGCTTGTGCAGTGTGAGTCTTTCGAACACTTCGTAGGATTTATTGAACGACGGTTTTTTTTCCCCCTTCCTGCTTTCAAACCCATCGATTCCATCCACCGGTGACGGCGTCTATATACCCCATCAGTTATGGACCACGTCAGAACAAGAATTCACCCTATACTCAACAAGGTGCCTTGAATGTAGAAGTTAAAATTGTTCCTTTCGCTACTAAAAGACGTCGGATCCCGATAAAGGTGCGTACGTGTTCACAGCCTTAATCTAGAGTCTAAACTCAAATAAAGTTTCCCCCCGATAAACCACTTTCAACCAGGACGTAGAAGATCGATCTTTATCCATGCAAATACACCAATGTCTCGCACCATCCCTCCGTCTAGACCTCTTCCCCAAATCTATCATCGACGTATTCATCACCGTTCTAGAAATGGACGGCGAAGCCTCCTGCATCGCGTCAGGCTCGATAGCAGCCAGTGCAGCTCTCGCAGACGCAGGCATCGAAATGTTCGGTCTCGTCGCCGCTTGTTCAGCTTGTACTTTTCCTTCTCCCTCTCGAGATGGCGGAGGATCGTCGCACCCTCCAAGGAACGACGACGACACGACAAGGATGGATGAAGATGATCAAGCTGACCATCATTGGAAGGGGGTTTGGTTGGATCCCAATGAAGAGGAGGGCAGTTTGGCTTCAGGGACGGTCGTCATGGCTTGTATGCCTGCCTTAGGGACTGTAACGAACCTCAAACAGTCTGGGTGTATGACATCTGTCCAAGTATCATCCGTGCGTCCCTCCACACCCATTCTAAGCCAAAGGCGAAAGATCTTACCGTCTTACTAGTGCTTGGAGCTCTGCATGAAACAATGCGCTGACATTCACCTTGTAATCTCAAAAACCCTGTTGGAGTCCGCTCGGGCCCGACAAGTGGCTTCAACACCTGCAGAGAAAGCTTGAATCCGTGTTATTTTCTTCGCGCTTCACTGACACATGCAGAAGACAATTACTTGTCGAACGCAAAGCGACTGACAATATCAAATGTTGAATGAATATATTGCACTGTTTTGATGACAGTGATATTTTATAGTCAAACAGGCCTGCTTAGACCAACTGATTTTTTGCGTTCGAACAAATTGCGTTTTTTGGAGTAATTTGAGTGTGAATGAATGAAGGCGTGAAACTGATGGAAGATCAAGCCGAAATGATAACGGGTGGCTGATGAGATTGTGTTATTTGTCTGCGAGGGTATTACGGTTGTTGAGAGATGTGGGCAAGCCAAAGGAATTTGAGATGGAAATGGAGTAAAGAAAGATGCGAAGTTCGTTTGTCAATTGCATGCACGATTGATATGCTGAGTAGGAATTCGAAACGATATGCGAGAGAAGACGTTGGACTTCTGGTTGAGATCTAGAAATGACAAGCGATGCGATACAAATTGTGTTTTTGATGACGGTGATTGACAACTTGACGAAGATGTTTGCTGGATTGTTGATGATTTGAGAGAAGCTAAGACGTGATTATAGCAATGCAAAAAACGAGAAGATTACTATAGACGGTTTCAAAACCAGAGTGATGCTCAATAGCCATAGTATGCACGCATTTTATCACTGATGCGGGCATGTCACAGTGAAAGGTTATCTGCAGTCCCGACACTGCTACTTACAAAAGCCAAGTGACACGGGAGCCAGCCTTACTCCCTTTTAAAGTAACGACATGCTTTTTGATCTGCAAAAATATAAGCCTGGAACTGTAAGTCAACGCTAGGAGACGTGGCTTACAGCATCGTAGAGAACGGTTCCCTGGTCCTTGTTGACCATTGGAAGAAGTTGAGCAATCAACTGACTCCCCGTTCCATTCAATGCAAGATCGACAATCATGGCACGACGTTTGCTAACGAGTATCAATGGCGCCAACCCGGAATCCGAGAAATTAGGCCAACAAACCTGTAACCAGGTTCACAAAGCCTATCGACGAACTTCTGCAATACCTCGGGTCCGCCGCATTTGAGAGCCTTCTCGATAGATTTGATAGCTTGAGGATCGCTTCCAAAGATGTGTAGCGAAGTGAGAAGCAAGACAAAGCACGAGACTTGTCCTCCCCAGCGCCGTGCTCGAGTACTGAATGTTCGTGATCATCATAGAGATGTGTCTCGCAGCGGCATTTACGTACAATGTTGAACCACCCAGCCTTAACAAGGCGAGTAAGTCATGAATAATTTTCAAAAGTTCGGACGAAGTGCTTACTTCCCCAAGAATCACGAACAACACGATCAAATCCGAGTAAAATTTCGTCCACAAGATCCCTCGTATCAGCTTCCTCCAAATTCTCAAACGCATGCTGAACGACCAGAGCTGAGAAAGACATATCAGGAAGGAAGTGAGGAAGTGTCCCTATTTGGACTGACAGCCAGTTTCATGACAAGCAAGCTCGACCCAGCGTCCCTTCAACGCAATATTAACGCAAGGGAAGATAGGCGGCGCTGGATCTGCCCAAGTTAGCTCCATGATACGGCTCCAGACATGTGCCGAGTGTTTATTCATCAGCGTTGCATATGGGTCACTCAGAAGCAGCTCGGTGAGGATCATGAGCTTGAAGAAAGTGAGGATTAGACACGCAGCGTAAAGGGAAAGTTCAAACCTTGATATCTTCCTCGCAGTCAAGGGCCTTCTGGATAACATGGGTACCGTAACAATTGGTAGCGAGGTCAACGACGCGACCCCTTTGAAATCATCAGTAGTAGCTAATCAGCCAGTGTCACTCGATCCAACTTACTTCATCACGGAGGCAAGCTTGAGACGATCTTCACGGATGCAAGGTGACTCCAAACAGCGTTGAACAGCCCCTGCAGCATCCTAGAATCAGAGATTATCTTTTGAAGGTAAGGTCATGACACTGACAGTTTCCAAACCGATGGGTCTACGAGGGTTAGCCATAGTCAGGTCTGGGAACCACGGGAAGGGGGCAACAGCTACCTACCATCATTTCGAAGCCTCTGCCAACAATAGCATCGACGATCTTGACGCGATCTTCTGTACTGGCGACTTTCAGCTTTTGCTGTGAAACCGGCCGGGGTAAGCAATCATATCTCATCGTTAGAGATTAGGGACATACTTGAAGGAATACAGAGGCTTGTTGGTCAGAGCTATTAACGATGCGAGAAACAAACTGCTCGTAAGGAGGGTTTGCATTTGGCTGAAGCATTTGAAGAAAGTTGATCGGCTAAACCGAGAACACTGGTCAGCGCGCAATAAGGACCAAAAGTGCTAACATGCGTACTTACCTCAGCGGCGGGCTGAGGGATAGATTCCGGGACTTGGGATGATGATCTAGAAGTTGCGGCAGAAGAAAGATGTCCAGAGCTAGCCCCTGAAATACTGGATGGGTGCGATGACGGATGAGGATAAGAAACAGGTGCTGGAATGTGTTGCTGTTGAAGCATCGAGGGATGTTCATATGCAGCAGGCAAGGCTGAAGTGCGTGCAGATGGTGTGTTAGGGAGTGACGAGTAACTGGTAGGTCGACCGACAGCGCCATAGGGAGCATGGGAAATATGATACCTGGAGGGAGATATATGCGCATCATATGGCTGAGGTAACTGTGAGAGTGAATTAAGAGGCGAATAACGTGAAAACGAAGTTGAAGAAGGAAACGGCGAATTGATTTCGAACGCGGGATCATAACTATTGGGTACCCCCCTTGGATTCTCGAGAACTCGGCTAGAGGCATGTGGGGCGTGTCTAGAGGCAGACAGTCCGAGTGATGGATACACATCGTTGAAGGCCTCTCGAGTGCCTTCGTGAGTCGTCTGACGCACTGCGCTGAACGGGTCGAGTGGTCCGCAGAGGCCTGGAGTAGTCATAGGTGAGTGTTGGAATGAGTTCAAAGGGCCCTTGGGGCCTTGAATGACGCGATCGTTGAATGAAGCACGAATATCATCCACATGATTCAATCTCTTGGGCGCGTCGGCCCATTCGCGCGCGGAGATAGAGCTGAACCATTCGTGAGGCGAAAGAATACGATGCGCTTGAGGGTACTGGAATTCGTTCGGAGTGATTGGAGAGTCCACAGGACTCGAGTGAGACGTCGGAAGAGCTGGAGTATCCTCCTTTTTAGAGATTGAAGAGCCGATGTTATCGAGGTCTATACCCGAAAGATCGAGCGTGAGACTTTTTACATTGACTGGTTCGTCAGGGTCGGGAATGAGCTGAAGCGAATCAATAACTTTGAATGTCTTCTTCTGGGTGATCGCGGGGAAGAAGAACGGAAGTTAGTATCAGCGCTCTCGAAGAGTGTAACATGAACGACAATTAGTCTGCAAGGAACGCCAAGGATCGGGATCGGACAGCGGCGACGCGATTTCCCGGAATGGAAAATGATATGAAAGGGCGCGATCTCGGAAAAGTATGAAAGCAATGACCGACGCGTGAAGGGATGTAGAGATCGAGGAACGCACGCACTATTGAAGTTGCAGGACCATTACCGTTTTGCCTTCCTTCGCCGATGGCCCCGACGCGCTGACGGCGTTCTCGATCAACGACAAGCGCGTTCTCGTTCAGCTTCCCAAAGGACCAAAAGGTACGCCTGGAGCCCTCCCCCGCTCATGCATGTTAGTCCTCTCGTTAAGTACTTGAGACTGAGAAGGCAGTGGATGACCAGACATCGACGGCCAAGAGGCGACTTGCTCCGGCCAATGATGAGGCTGAGCGGGCGTGTAAGGCTTTGGGGCCCAAATGGAAGCTGCAGTAGATATCAGAGGAGGTGCTTTAGACGATGGAAGAGACGACATGTGAGATATGGCCGAAGGTGCAGAATTCATTGACCAGCAGGAAGAAAATTAGATATATGGAAGAAGATGGGAACGAAAGCTCAAGGAAGTAAAAACAAATAATCAGAAAAGACGTTTCTAGATGGTTCAGAATAAGGTGATGTTTTTCTTTTGAGAGAGAGATGGAGAAGGAGATGGTGGTAGTTTGTGGAGTGGTGTCGATTGCTTCCAGGGTTTTATAAACCCCGGAAGCAACTCATGCGATGTCGCCCGACACTTGACAGTACATCCTTCGGCCGGACGCGGCCAGCGTGAACCCTGCTTGTCGATGGGAAACGTGCGGATTATGTGTCCTTAGGCCGAGCGGACCTGAAGGCGCGGATTGGCCGAGTTTTGCCTGAATTGAGCATTTCCATAATAGTACATGCCAGGCCCATTAAGACATGAAGTTTGATACGCGGACATGGGGCGAGCCGACGCGATCATCTTTTTGGGAAGATCAACGGCATACGGGAATAGCCAGCGAGGGGCAGGGATAACTGCATAAACTAACGGCCCATTCATGCATCCAAATCCGAAAGCTAGAAATGATACCAATCACTCCTCGAATCCGACTCCGCATTCCCAGCATATGAATTATCCTATGCACAACCTCTACAGCGTTCAGGATTCTTGGCGTTGTTCCCCTCGGACCTCAAATAACAGAGTCAGCGCTGAAAAGTGGCGGATTTGGCGGATGCGTGAGCTGGTAAACTCAGGTCAAAAGCATGCAGAGCATTCAGGGACTGGAAGGGCGAGGCGCCAGGAGGAGAAAGCACTAACCTAGTGGGGGGGTTGACTGGATATATGGGACGATTCTTGATGCTTACGAAATTACCAGTTCCATTCCAGAACCAAAAGTGAACTAGAAGGGAACCACCGACATGGCGGGAGAAGGCACCACTTCCACCGAGTGATTGGCGGACGAGGGATCTGTTGGAAAGTGGCCTCGTCGTCCGTCATCTTTCTAAGCTCTTGAGTTAATAGACCACGGGCATGCTTGGCACACCGGCGCCGAACCACCTCCCACCATGAAAAGCCATGGAGGTTGGGGCTGGAAGCACCCCACGCCCACCGTAACATCCATGGTTAGCGTAGCGCTACACAAGGAGGACTCACTTCTTGCACGAGGTCCCAAACACGAAATTCTCCGTCATACTGGATGAAAACTTAGGCACATCGATCCACAATAGCACAGGACAACCGTTTGCGATTTTCGACGCCATTCCATTTGAGCCAGGAAACCAGATCGAATGTAGGGCCCTCAAAACGAACCGCATCGTCTGGTACTGGCGAAGAGACTGAACCTGGAACCGAGCATTTCAACCATTTCCTAAACGAAAAGAGACTGTAGCACAATTGGTCAATACGCGCTCGTTATGTAGAGGCGCGAAGTATGGTTTGACGAAGACCGCCAGGGAAGCCCGTCAGGAGTAAGGTATGGAGTTCCATGCATGTATCATTACCGAGGTGATAAAAATATGGCCTTCAATTACGTGCTTTCGGGAAGGAGAACCTGGTTCGGTAGATACCCGCATGGTGGAGTTTTCTATATTTTGCGCTCATCAGCCTTGTTAGCGGGCTGCGCCGCACGGCGTGGGGGAAGCAACAATAATGCGATGCGCTCCAGCTAAATATCCACGCCTCTCAACTTCTGCCGCAGTCAATATGAAAGGAGACGCTAGCCTCCACTGTGGCGCAAACACTCTCACGAGCGAATAAGAATGGCATGCACCACACTGATTGCGGACATTGGCGAAAAGGCCATGGTGCCATACTTTTGCATAGCTGGAAGAAACTTCTAGGACACTAAGATTCTCCGAAGGTCTGGCCGTTGTCTGACCGCCTCGGAGTTATTCTAGACCAGCGCCACAAGGCACAGACGAAGAGCAAGTGATCCAAGGTCCCCAAGGCTTCGGTGGTGGCTTTCTGTGTGCCCTGCCCGCTCAACCGAAGGGAGTTCGGTCGGAACGAGATTCGGACAGCACAACTTTCACGTTACCCGGGATAGGAGGTTCCATTCCAATAGAGGCTGGTCACCCGCTCAATAGGAGGTACTCTTCTGAGGTAGAACCAGCTGAGAACAAAGAGAGCTGGCTGCTGGGGAAAAGCTACCAGCATACAGTACTTACGCAGTCACAGGGCGGAATTACTGCATGACAAATCGATCCGTTACATAAGGCTAGTGACGTGATAGCGAAGTTTAATTCGGTAGTTTCCGTCAAACAACGCGGGCGCTTATGCTGCCTGATCATTTCGCACAAGGTGCCCAGATCGCCGTCCCAAACGGGAACCTTATCCCCGCGCAGCTTCTTAGCATTTCTGGGCGCCCTTGCCATTGACAGTGGGAAGTTCATGGGTATGACGCCCGCCCTGAAGTCGGATGATGTGCTCCGAAAACTGTCTCATGAATGCGCTCAACTAGCATCTCTGGATCATTTGGCCCTTCTCGTTCGCCTTGCAGATGCTTCCCCATGGCAGTTTTGAATGTACTGCAAGCCTGAACTGAATATGCCAAGCACTTGGCGTTCGCTGTGCATTTCCAAGCCGTGGATGTGTGGTTTCCGCTCTTTGCCTCATCGTTCCCCTCTTCCCACTCTGAATCTTAGTTGGGGGGATGTTAATGCTCTCGTATCCTTCGTTATATCTTACTTTGGCGTTCACCATACCACATGGTACTGCAGTGACCATCTATGGCACGCCATCAGTCGATCCGCTTGGCAACCCCTTGTTACCAACTGGCGTGGAGGCTATACCACCCCCAGCGCGGACGTTGGATGCGTACAATCTCACGGAGTGAGTGGGATGTTGCTATTAAAATGAGGAATCTTTCGTACGAATTTTGCAGGTTAACCCCACCTCCGCTTCCGAGCCCTATGCCAGCAAAGCAGTACACCGCCCAGCTTTATCCTGGTGTGTCAATAATTAGTTGCAATTTCTATGACACTTCACTAAGATTATCCCACAGGGGGCATGGCTAGATTAAGTATTCCAGTGAAGGGGAACTTCGTAGGGTTCAGTGTTGAGTTGTCCGTGGCAAACCAAATTCGTGCGTTACCATCCCCCGTAGCGCAACTTTTTATTTACGTAACAATATTAATCATGTACCTCAGTGGGCACAAATTCATCAAGTATGTTGACGTCAAATCCTACCCTAAAGCATTGTTGACTCAAGTTTTCCATAGGGCTTGCTGTTCCATTCCTTAATTACGTCGCTGGCCTCAAATCTCGTTCCGGAGCTGCTCCGCCCATTCGAGTGGGCGGCAATACACAGGAAAAGGCACGATTGTTTCTTCAATCATTTGAAAATCGTCAATTCATCAACAAGACGGAAAATATCAATCCCCTGAACCCTGTGCGCTGGCGTTGTCTTTATATTGTTATTTTTCAGGCGCTCATATCGTTCCGTTAGACTCGTACACCCGATGTGGACATTTCATTGGACCTATACTATGCCATGACGAACGTTAGCGCGTTATTGGGAGTTGAATGGTACATTGGCCTGCCCTTCGCGGACGCAACGAACGTAACTGGGATCTCAGCTATGTTGGGCCACGCTGAGAAGATCCTCGGAGATAGGCTGGTTGCTGCTCAGCTGGGTGAGAAACTCCGAGTCGCCTGGACCTCGGCCGTTTGATTCACCAATTTCTCCATCACAGCAAACGAACCGGATTTGTGAATTTAATTTAATTCTTTCAGGGGCCACGTTCTCACACTCAATCATTGTAGGTATGGCATTGGTTCCCGCAAACGACCGAATCCGTATCCCATCGGAAGTTTCATGGATGAATGGGGACGTGTAAGTCGACTCTTTCCGTCGGACCGTCAACACATGCAAACTCAATTGTCTCTCGTGACCCCAGGCAATCGAAGCAATCAACAACGATCCCCTGGTGAGCAACAAGCAGAGCCTCCTTGGGCCAAGTATCTGTTGTAATATCGACGGCCAATGGAGTATCGACCAAGTGATCCAAGCCGGCTTCGTGACTGGGTTCGACAGCAATTTAAAGATTTTGACCGTGCAACGTTATCCCCATGGTGAGCGCTACGGGGTTTTTGGTCGATCCCGAGGAGGAAGAGGACCGCTGATCACCATCAATTCCCTCTGGTGTTTCCACCGTTAGACAACTGTGATCCGATCAATCCAACTAACCCACAGACTCTGTATGCGGATTACCTCTCTCACACTAATCTTGTCAACGTCGTGAAGGAATACAATAGTGCGTCTGGTGCGTTTTGTTTCTTTTGTTTTTGACAAGTTGATGCCTAAACTCATGAATATCTACCCCAAAACAGCATATGCGTTGCAGCATGGAAAACCGTTGGTAATGTTCGAGACTAATACGGCTTCTTGCGGTGGGTTTGTGGGGCTCTCCGATAGTTTTGGAGCCGGGTTATGGGGCATTGGTGAGTCTTCGGCATCGGTGAACCATTCCCGCTTTTGGGAATGATTGGCTAATTTGATTTCGCTGCTCTTCTCCTCCCCGCACGGCAGACTATTCGCTTCAAATGGCATGGGCAAATTTCTCGTAAGTGGATATTGCCACTATCATGCTTGTTTCCACTTCACCCTCGATAGGAATGTACTTTACCACTTTGGTGGTCAAACCGTCGCGTACAATGGTAATAAGCGGCCTAGCAGTATTCCGTCCGCCGAGAAATGAGAAGCTAATTGCCGTCGCTTAATGTCTGTCATAGCATTTACTCCACCGCCCGGAACAATTAATATTGAAGATAACTTTGGCTGGACTACAGGACCAATGTGTATGTCGCTTCTCCGCGTGTTCTAGTTCCCATTCCCCTAGCCGCTCGTTTCTTTCTGATTCTCATCACTTTTGAACGCACTTCAGACTACATGATGCTTATGGTCGCGGAAGCACTGGGTCCCTCGAATAGCTCTCGGGTCGTTGATCTCAAGCTTAACAACAACAATCCTTACACCCCTGGATATGCAATCTATGAAGGACCTAATCCAACAAAACTGGTACTGATAAATTATATGAATGATCCAAGTGGTGCGGCTGATACCATCGTTACGGTGTCGGTCGGAGGGGGAACTACGAACGTGCCTGCGCAAAATCCGCAGACCGCATACGTGAGGTACTATAGTGCAAATTCGTAAGCATTTTCACTTGGTCTTATCAATCGTGCCCGCATCCTGACATAAATGGTATTTGGTTGATATGCGCTCCGAAGCGTGACACAAAAGTACAATCTTACGTATGCCGGCCAGACGATGGGCGCGCCGTTCCAGTCCGATGGGAGATTGCGAGGAAAGCGGGACACTCAACAGATCACGTGCGATGCAAATACAGGTTGTCGAATCCCTCTCAAGGGGCCGTCGGCTGCGCTCGTGTTCCTAACCCAAGATTCGCTCAACGCGGTTAACACCGGGGTAGATGATGACACAGGAGACCCGTCGAATACATTCCCTACCACTACAGAAACAGGCAGGTATGCCTACGGTGCGAAGGTTGATCAGGGCGTCCTGCAGACATCGAATGGGCGTGGAGGTAAGGAGGAGAGGAAGAAACAGGGACTTCGAACGAGCCATGGGGACTTGGAGAATGGGACTGCCAACAAAAGAGTTGTGGGGGTATCCGGTCTAGTAATTGGGATGATGGTTGTCACCGCTGTAGGCTTGTTCACTTCCTCTGGTACACGAATTTGAGTCGGTCGAGCGAACCGGGGGGGGAGGGGGCTTTTCAGAATTGGGGGTTCTGAGACTGACTTGACGAACTGCATAAGGCGGGCCCGGAAGTGCGGCGGCGGACATCTTTTCTTCATTTTCATTCCTGAATTCATTTCATCACTTCCGATATGCTTGGCTGCTTCGGCATGTACTATTAATATTATACGGCGCTAGCAATATTACCCAATAGTAGCGCTGTATATTGCAACCATCGAAGGTAAGGGCGCTTAATCTGGGAATCTGGGTTGACGTCTTGGGCGCTTCAGTCCGGAAGTTGAGGGTGCTTCATTCTGACTCGATCCAGCTAAGAATATAAAATAGGATGCGGAGAGACCTAGCAAAACAATGTCCGCGCTGGAGCTCGGGTGCCAATGCCAGGTCACAAGGTTTCTAGAAAAACCCCAAAGAGGAAAGCAAGATGTCCTAAAACCCCACGGCGGCCATAGGGCGGGATGGCCGCTCCGGCCGCCCCAGTGATGAAAGAAAGCCTGCGAACGGAAAGAAGAACAGAAATACGACTAAATAGATCACCAGATCTGCGGCATCAGAGGATGTACATACATAATATATCTCCCGATCGGTATAGGCGCGCAAACCAAGGGGCAGGGTCCAGGAAATACAACCCATTGATGTAGGAGTGGGAAAACGGTGTCGGTGCGACCGGTTTTTGATAAGCGCCCATAAGAGAAAGCGCAAGTTGAATTCCGGAAGGGTTTGTAAAGACTACGTAGCGCAGCACGGCGAGTTTCTGGGGACAGGGAGAGACCGAGTATTGGTTGAATGGCTTGAGCGCCACGTTTCATCCATTGCGGGCATTGCTGTCGGGTTAGTTTTTTTTGGATGGTTACGGAGATCTATTTCCGTTCCCATCACGTGTCCAAGCTTCACGACCATCTCCGACGCGCTTTGGGTCTACCGTTTTCTGGGCAACATATTCGGCAACAGTGTCTTGGATACGTAAGATGGTTGTGATACATTGAGCGCGCGTTGTCGAGTGATACCTAGTGCGCGATCAGAACCGCACTGAAAAGGACGGTACCGAATGACAGTCGGATAGTTGTATCCTGTGCAATTTGCACATGTAGGTGCACGCGAACTGAGGCTGCGTTTTTCTTGATTCCTTTACCGGCATAATGCACTATTGATTGAATTGCATCCGATCCTCATGATAATTGTCATTTGCGCCAAGGGGAATCAATGGTAGGCCATATCTACCGAGGGATTCTTTCCCATAGTACCGTTGCCCATGCTCTGGCCATGAGTCCCGCACACCTGTTTTCCTTTTCAAAATTCGACCTTTCCTTTTTACATAATACCCTGTCTCGGAAAACCGTCAACTGAGTCCGCTCGCATAGATACTGCTTTCGCGAGTCACTGATATTTATTGAATTATACGCCGTCCCCGATACAGGTTTAAATCCAACTGGTTTTGAGCGCAATTGCATCACCTCAGACATCCTTTTCCCCCCTTTCTCCTCCTACTCTATGTCCCAAACATCTTTCACATCCAAGTTTGTCTCCATCGGCCAACGTTCCATACATGTGCGACTCTCTGAACCAGCACCTCCCCCTAATGCACCAACAACGAAGCCACCTGTGATATTCTTGCATGCCGTTGGATCAAACTCGTCCTCATGGGTCACGCCACTCCTCATGGCACCTCAGCTCGCACAGCATCGTCAGCTAGTGCTCTTCGACAGCGATGGCCACGGCCTCAGTCCCTGGAGTGGTCGCGATCAGATGACGGTCGTAGATCTCCTACACGATTTGTTGGCCCTTCTGAATGAGCTGCAATTCAGACAAGTTGCCATAGTTGCCCATTCACTCTTCTGTGTAAGTAACTATGTTCCTCGATTGCTCTTTGACTTTTTTCTTCACGTTCAAACTCCCCGTGTGACTTGATGGTTGCACATTCCCTTCCGAAGTTTCGGTGCTTCGCGATGGCCCATGATCTCAAGCTAATCTTCCTTATTCCCATCCCTAGCACGTGGCGTCATTGTTCGCTCTCAACTTCCCTGCAAGGACCGACAAATTATGTAAGAAGCCCACCAACTATTGCCGAATATTTACTCACCTTCACCCATCCAGTGTTCCTCCACCCGATACGATATCTAACGGACGCGATGCGGGGTGCCCTTCTTTCCCAAGCGTCCCACATAAGATCAATGTCGCCTGGCAACTCTCCCCCATCCTCGCCACTGTCGCCCAGTATGATGTCCCGGATGACCCTTCCGCCTATCCGGCCTGCAAGCACGCCAGCTGCACTATCCTCGATCGCCGTTACGACGTCAACTTCCTCTATATCGAGACACTCACTGCAAACGAATTACTCCGCTCAGTCGCTCATCCATCGACTTGTGCTTTCGACACACCCATCCGCATACGCAGCAACTCAAAAGGCTCTTGTGCGATGTTGTTTCTCTTCTCCTTTAGCGTCCGAATATTCGGCAGGGTCGTCATCAACAAGCCCAAGTGGTCTTAATTTGAATGTGAACGTCACGCCTCAGCACTGTGAGATGCTTATCGTTGGAGGTGAAGAGGATGATCTCGCTTCGCCTGAGCTGTTGCGTGCTTGGGTTGAGGAAGTACAGCTTCAGCGTGGACAGCACGAGTTCGAGTCTGGATGGGGCGGACAGGAAGTTTGGAGGAAAGGCAAACGGAGCAGGACGAGTGGAAGTGGAGCTGGGAACGGATCGGGTGTGAAGGAGATCATATTGAAGGATGTAGGTCATTGGGCTTGTGTGGAGGAGCCGCTGCAGATGTCTAGAATACTCCTATCATGGGGAATGCGTAACGACCAGTAGGGAAATTTCTCTTCTGTGCTTCGCTAAAATTGGGGCAGACATTAGCTTCTGAGGTGTTATTTTCTTCTCTTTGCACATTTGTGCCTCTGGCTCGTCTCATTGGTGCTTTCTACCATTACCAAATATTTTTCTTGTTATCCCCAAAACGGGATGCTCATCAGGTGGCTATAGATCCGTTTTATTACCCTGCTTATGCGGCGGTGAGGTGTCTTGATTACAACACAGGCGAGAGTCCATTGGCGACCAGCCTCCATCGGAACCAATGTTGCCAACAAGACACCGACACACACTTGAGGCGTCGCCAACGCGAAATGAGAATCAGAGGGCCACTCAAATTTCATGGCCTCCTCAATTAATTCTAAGGCGTCCAATTCGCATTTCAGTCTGATCGGTGAAGTTTTGAGCCCGTGGCCCGTACAGCTCCAGCTGGGGTAATCGAGGTACTCACCCTTCACATAGTATGGTACCACCCTGCTCATTCTGTGCTTAGTTCCGCATTCACATCAAGTACATGTATGTGATATTTGCTGTATGATGGAGATTTTTCCTGCATTTTTACATGCTGCTTTGACGCAGTAATTACCTTTTTTATGCCGTGCGATCGCTGTTTCGGCCGGCTCTCGCAACTGCAAATTTCCCGAATGTTCGAAGCCTCTGAAAAGATAGGGCAGGTCATCAAGAATAGCTACGTGAAGGTACGTGACCCACGAGATGAAACGCTCTCGCATTGTCATCTGTGGGGATACCTTGCTTGCAAGGTCACTTCACGACCCACCCCGTTCTTTAGGGCATAGAGCACGTGCCCCTCTCCTTGGCGTTGTCAGTCTAGCACTAAAGTGCTCGCTTCGCTCGATTGACTCTGCACCGTCTTACGCAATATAAAACTAGAGTGCTTGCATTGCTTCCCGATTCCTGCACAGTATGTACCTATACACACTGTTACTCTGCACACAGAGTCATTAACCCGTGGCAATATTACGCAAATTTTGACGCTGAAAATTTGTCAGCATCTTGCCCTTTTGGTTTCTTTTACATGCATTTTCTTACGTTTCCTTTTTGCACTTACGTCATCCCAGTTGTCTGCTGACCTCCGCCTGACTCGATATCAGACCTTGCACAAGCGTTCTCAGATGCGTACTCATCCGCTGCTAGTATGATAACGAGCACCACCTCTCCCAGCAGCGATATACATGCTCTGTTGTCTTTTTTGTCCTTTGAAGACTTCCAAGAATGTTTGGAGCGGTACCATTTTAAATGGGATTACTTACTGACTCCTCCAGTGTGCTGACTTCCCCCTGCCCCCTCGCGAGCATTCCTCTCATTCAGAGAGGTCACAAATGGTTCATCTAGCTATCTTTCAACCGTTTTCACGTCGAAAAGAAGCATCTGCTGAGTGCCAGCTCACCAAAGCGCCCTGCGCTTTGGCTTTCTCTCGGCAGGCCAAATCCCTGGCCTCAACCGTCTCTGAAGCACCCCGCGCTTCGACTTTTTCTGGGCCAGCCAAATCCACGACCCATATCCATTCCTCTTGCTCTGAGAGGTCTAAGATGGTCCAAGCGACCGTCTCCCCACTGGTTCCACATGGGGATAAAGGCATCTTAGCATCTGCTGAGCGCCAGCTCACCGAAGCGTCCCACGGTTCGGCTTTTTCTGGGCTAGTTAAATGCCCCTCCTCTTTCCTCTCCTTCTGAGAGGTCAAATGCAGTCTACCTGACTCTCTTCCATCCGGTTTCACACCGGAATGAGGGCAGCTCAGCTTCTGCTGAGTGCGGCTCACCGATTCGCCCTGTGCATCGATTTTCTCTGAGGCTGTTGAATCTCCAGCCCCAACTGTTCCTCTCGTTCTGAGAGACCAGAGGTAGTAGGAACTTCTTACAACTGCTTCCCCACCGGTTCTAGGTGGGGAAATGCGCTTAACAGCCCAGGCTGGGTGCCAGTTCACTGAGCACCCCCGCGCTCTGACCCCTTCTGCGTCAAACTGTCCAATGGCTTCCACCACTGCTCCTGGGCGACCAACTCCATCATAGGAATGACACATACAATGCATCCTATGTCGTTTCCAGCTTAGGAGGTGGCTCTTCAGCTATTGTGGGCCCTCAATGCCAACATGCGCTGGGGTCCCATCGCTTAGCCAAACCACTTCACTGCGAAACCCTCATCATTTTTGTGTTATTGTCTTTTCCTTCATCAACTCTGAAAGGCTCCACTTCCCTTTTTTGATTGTATTTTCTTGTGTTATGAGAAAAAGTTATGGATTTGATTATGTAACTCTCGCAACATAACAGAATGAAAAAGTGCAGAGTCCAGCGAAGCGCGAAGCGCAAGCGCTCTAGTTATAGAATCAAGAAAGGAGTGTAATTAAGGATTTGCACTTGAAAGAGGAATATGTAAAGTCAGGTAGGAGCCAACAAGAAACATGCGGCACATTCATCCTATTTATAGATGATATTTCACTAAGATGCTGCATGTCCTTTTCGGTTTGGGTGTGCGGGGGGAAGGATGCCAAGTAGGTGGAAGATTGTGATATTGGTATCACCCAGTACCCCAGCCGTAAGTGTTACGAATAGTGGATTTACAGGTTTCCTTTTCTGCTTACAGTAACAGTCCAACTCTGCACTGCGGTGCGGGTACACCATCTAGCCAATAGATGACATCCTGCAGGTGAAACACAGCCAAGCTGTAAACTATATTATCCAGCTAATAGACGACGTCCTTCCCTTAATAGGTGCTACCATTGGAACAGTTTGATTGGTGCCGTGCCATCTTCCAGCACTGTCAATCAGCTGACTTGTTCCCGAGTTGTGCCGATTTGTCTAAGGCTGTAAGGCTTGCGTCAGCGGTCTTCTCTGTTCGTGCTCACCTTTTTGTAGTTGTTCGACTGTCAGTATCACACTGTAGATCCTGGGAATGATGGGTTTAAACACGTGATCGTCGGTTGGCACCGTCACGAGCCTGACGCCGACACGACCAGAAGGCGAAATACATAGAAGTCCTATATAAGATCATGGAAGAAGATGAAGACGCGTTCCTTTATGGGGAGTCTACCGCTGAGCCTGAGCCTGTCGTGAACGTTGCTATTCCAGGTTAGCGGGCTGGTATCGTCGTATGTGATCATGCTTTTAACTTTTTGTACTTGCAGCTGTCGACATATCCCTGTGTGTATTTCAAATCTGATCGTCTCGAAGGCTGCCCCTCAATGTTTCTTTCCCAGGGCTCAATACAAAGGCATTAGCGCGGGTGCAGACATACCATTGTCAGAGTCAGCACCGGGTGCTGTTGGTGAGCACAGTGCTGAAGCTGATGCAGAAGGAGAAGATGAACAGGAGGAGGATGACGAGGAGGATGACGATGAGTCTGTGAGAAATTTATTCAACTTGACTGAACTTCTATGAAACTGTGGCTTGTAGGACATCGAGATAATCTTGAACGCACCTGTTCAAGAAGACACTTCCGCTGCAGCGCGTTCTCGTGATTTTCGGTAGGGGCATTCCATACCACAGATGTGGTACATATAGCTATCTTGGCTAAGCGACTCTTCCCCGACAGTTCAGGCCCATCCCTCAGAGGAAGCATCACAAAAACTTTCAACCCAACACCACGACGTGAGTTTCTCAACATTCTACAAAACTTGTTGTGATACGAATCGTTGCCGTTTTTATTTAGCCAGCGTCCATTTAACAACTGAATACATCCCCCGTGAACGAGGAGCGCCAGTCGCAAAACCCCCGACCCAACAAGCCGAATCCACGGCAATCACCAAACAAACCGAACCTGCAATGGAACGGCCTATCATACCCAAACCCGAACAAAGGACAAACGATACGACTACATCATTACTTCCTGATTCGTCTTCCTTTCCTGTTGCCATTGCACCCCCCTCTGCACCACCGATTGACCCTTCTGCAACTGGAGAGTTCTCCGGTATATCAATATATGACGTCGACCTACAGTCGCTGTCAAATAAGGCTTGGAGACGGCCAGGTAGTGACCTTAGTGACTGGTTCAACTACGGCTTCGACGAGATATCGTGGGAGGCGTATTGTGCCCGTCGCCGAGAAATGGAAACTATGGGAACGGAATTGAAGGCCAACGTTATGGTGCGCTATCCTAACCCTGAGTTATTTCTTCGTTTACCGATGGACCCTGTTCCCACAGAATTTGGCTGGAATGTCAGAAGAGATGCTTCAAAACTCGGTGCCACCAGAACTAAGATCGATGTTGATTGCCCAGTCTGCTCGAATGGGAATACAACAGCAGCAGCAACAGCGAATGAATTTCCATTCACAATTTGGCGGACCGCAACCCCAAGGTGGTTTCCCCATGCAGATGATGCATCCTGGGATGGGAATGGGTCCTTCTGACATGATGGGAGTTGGGTTGCCACCACAAATGGGCATGGGTGGGCCAGGAATGGGAATGGGCGTCGCACATGGGATGCCTGATGGTAGTGGTACACCAATGCACAACAATTTGATGGGTGGCCCAGGTGGAATGAACCCAGGACAAGCTCAACAAGTTGGTGATGATTCTGGTGTTATGCAACAGCCTCAGGTGCCTCACGGAGCAGAAGGAGGGTTCCCTATGCAGATGGGTCACTTTTCGCCCCAGTCAATGGGCCTGAGTCAGGGAGTTGGTGGGGATTTTACAAACACTGGTGCTCAGGGTTCGGGGGGTGGCATGCAGGTGAGTAGATCGAGTTACTAGTAATGCCTTCATTATCTAAGGTAGCTTTCGATAGGATTCTATGGTCGGTCCGTCACCTATTCCATCATATTCAGAATCGGCGGTCCCAGTCATACTGGCGGGCCAGCAATGCGAGGGCGAGGGCGAGGGATACCATCTCGGCCGTTTGGCGGTGGGGTCCCACTGGGCCTGCATCGGCACGCCCAGGCGCCAACCCTCCAATGGGTAGGGGGCAATTCACGGCCGTTGGGTGTGAGTGATGATTATATCGTGAGTAGATATCGGCTGATGGAGTCTATCTAGCGGCTCCCCAAATGTTGCCAAAACGTCCGGCATCCCCATTGCCCCCAACGTCCCTACTGGGCCGCGCAACCAAATGCCCCGCTACAAGGATAAAGATCGTGACGGTGGCTTGGCTCAGGTGGATGGGCTGGACTATGGAGGGAACGGTGGTGGCTCTGGCAATGGCAGCGGTGCTGAGGATCGCGATCGTGACCCACATAAAGACCGGCACCGTGAGCGAGATTCTGAACGAGATCGGGAAAAGGGGAAAGAGAGGGAGCGCGATCGTGACAGGGACAGAGACAGTGAGCGTGACAAGGAGAAAGAGCGTGGGAGAGATCGTGAGCGGGATAAGGAACGCGACTCGGAGAGAGACAAGCATCGTGATGACCCCTCACGCAAAAAGGAAAAGACGCCGCCGTTTGGACCTCGAAAAGATGCGGACAAGGATGAGCGTGAACGTCGGAGTCGTGAGGAGAGACGCAGTTCGCGTGACGAGCGCCGGCGGGACAGCGATGATAAAAGCATTAGCCGGTACGCACTACCCATTTTTGAGTGAGGCGTCAAGTAAGGTTCTGTTCATAGGAAACGGCCCCATTCAGAGGATCATGAGAGAGATTCGAGATCCTTAAAACGTCGCTAGATCTTCTCTGGTTACCACCATTCATTGTCCTACTCTCATGCTGTCCTGGTGCTGATGAATTAATAGTATATTAATTATTTACATAGCATGAACTACGAGATAAGCGCGATAGGCTTGCGTTTTTGTGCTTGGGTTCCATCATCATCAGTGGTTGTACTAATTATCATCCGGGGTTAACTTACCCAACGTTATCTTGTCTCCGAGGGAGAGAGCAATGCCTTGCGTTTTGCTTCGTATCCGGACGTGCCCTTGAATAGCGCCTGTGTCTTCGGCCTTCTCAATACTGAGATTCGCAAGTGCATCTTCACCTGGAGAAGAATATGAAGGAAGCAAAAAAAAAAAAGAACAGATACTGACCGAATAAACTTCTCGCATACAGATTTGCAGAAAGGAAATCGCAATCACCCTCGAGGGCTGCTTCAGGAGTGAGACACGCCATGTTCGTTGACTTCATAATGTGTTGCAAGTATTCCCGCAGATCGCTGTGAATAGTTTTAGCCTTTGGGCGTGGCAGTGACGCATATGTGTACGAACGTTATGCCTGTGTTGACGTTCACTCGATTTTCCCATTCGAATTCAGTCCACATGCTTCGGAACTAAGGATCAAAGCATGAGGAAATCTGAGCCGGGTCTAGATGGCGAAATCACATACGGCGGCTTCATTGCAGTAGGCAGGTTTGATGTAATCCATTATATCAATATGGATGTCATTGAGAACAACGGAAGTCTCTGTCGTCCCTGATTCCCATATTATGTTCCCAAAGATTACACCCGTCTCAGTGGATGATACCTGGTGAAGATCATCAGTTACGGCGCTCAAAGTCTTCAGCTAAGCTTAGACCTTAATGGTCGCCTTTATACTGTGGAAGCTATGCGGTCCAATGGTATATGTAGATGGCCGCTCTACTAATTTCAAGTCTCCGAGAGTTGCAAAGTCGATGCAGAGATTTTGGAGGGTATTTGGGTTTGGTTGACGATAAGAACATCTGTCGAGTGGGAAGATCCATGAGTGAGCACAACTTCCAAGGCCATTGCCTTTACCCAGTAATATATCGAATTGGTGCACTTTCACGTATGCTTCGGAGTATACTGGATCAGAGAAGCCTGAAGATGGGTCAGCGAAATGGAAATCAAATAGACAGTATGCATGCCTGTCAGTTGCACCACTCGGCTGAGGTTAGAAAGGAGATCCTCTTTGACTTCTTCTGCTCCAGTTGCCCTTGACACGTCCTGTTCATACTATAACATGGTTCGAGGAGTTAGGGGCATTTGTCCAGCGACGCGGAAGTCGCACTCACATCATCAAAAGCGTCTATCCCCGATTTCTTCGAGAATTGTCTGAAAGAGAGCACATCATCCACTTGCACAGTGACTACTTTGCTGTCCTTCTCTCGCTTTTCGGCAGCCTTGCGCTAAAAGCAGAGTTATAAACCACCGTCGAAGGAGGTCAAGAGAAACACAGCCCACTTCTTCGGTAGCGACCATTTTGCATAAGCAGCTTTAGTGTCCTCCAAGAAAATGATTTCCACCTCACCTCCTCGGTGTTTGTGAGTTGGCATCACTCAGTGTTCTTAAACATCCCATGATGCGCTCCATAGAATCCTCATCAATGGGTGCAGACGAAAATTTGGATTGCCCAACCCGAACAACGGACGTCATAATTAGCATCACTTCAGCCTGAAGCGCATTGACACCCTTCGCATCCTTCGACACCTTCCTAAATCTCAAGACCAGCTTCGTGAGCGTTGTGGCTAGCACGGATCCCGTGAAGTAGTCTCCCTGGAGAATGAGTGCTTCATGTGCCTATGAGTCATACGATCCCAAAAATGATGGTCACACACTTACTCCTCAACGGGGGTTTAGACGCTGCCTTGACTGCCTCAAGACGGGCAGCAGCAGCGCTCGAGTACGCAGTTTCTGTCGCATACGTTCCATCGGCGAGCACACGGGGTTGTCCACTCGCACCAGTCCCCTCTTTCTTCTCCGGTTCAACGTCGCCTCCAGCTTCATCGAGCAATCGCTAAAATGGAAAATTAACATGCATGATTTACAGCTAGAGGTTAAAGCTTACTTGTTCGGACGCCAGGATGGGTATTTCACCAATCGTCCTGCGGATCTCTTGCATTGCTTCGTGAATCTCTTTGTCGCCCCAATCAAAATCTCCCCACGTAATCAAATATTTTTCACGAGTACACTGACCTGCAACCTCGGTACAATATTCCCCGACAATCCAGAGAGCCCCACGGAAAACCTTTCCAGATTTGATTTGAGAGAACGTCTGCAGCAACGTCTTGGTGATAGCGGCACGCAAATTCGGGAACTTTTGCACGACTTCCCTAATTTCAAAAAAGCAACCAGTGTAAATGTTTTGGATCATGAATCACGAACCGAGGAAATGACTAACCGGACGAAAGCGATTACGTCGACAGCTGACGCGTTGTTCGAATCACCCAAGAAGTCCATAAGCGCGTGTACTACGCTGGCTGCGACCTCGGAGAATCGGATGGCGCAGACATGTATCGATTGAATGAGAAGTTGTCGATACTCGCCGCTCTATGGACAATCAATAGGTACATAGTTACAATGAAGGGAAACGTCCATCAGACTTACTTTCTCAAATTCAGAGTCAACAGTCTTCACCAATTGCTTCTTGAGGAAGTCAACAACTTCATCGACGTTACGGCTGGTAATCATCGAAAGCGCGATGGAAATGCATTTCTTCTTCACTTCCATATCGGGACTTGACAGTACACGAAGAAGATCGAGCACAAGGGGTCCATTACCATTGAGATCAGCGGAGTGCTTCTCATGCAATGCGGACAGGCGGTCCAGAACAATGAGCTTCACGTTATTGTCAGGCTGACCGGCAGCGAGGTTGATCAAGGTGGTGGCGGACGCTGATGAAATGTTTTCGTTAAAATTGTGAGGCTAATGGAACAATCACCCCTCACCTTTGACAGCGGCAGGATTGGATGTCAATGTCGTTAAAGTCGTAGCGGCTTCATACTTGACAGATGCTGAGCTCGATTCCAGAAGCTCATACACAATGCGAATATACTTGGGCTGGTATTTGACGGGCATCAGCGAGTTATCGCGAACGTCAGGGAGCAGTCGCATCTCACTCGGTTCGGGGAATCCCCAAGAGAATCCTTCCGTATCACCTCGACAACTGCCATCTGCATCTGCTCGTCCCATGATGGAATTTGATCTATGGAAGAAAGGACTTTCTCCACAGCTTTCGGTAGGCACAGTTTGTCAGGAAAACAAGACCATTGCGAAGACATGTCGTATCGGTTTCCTGACAGCCGCTTGTCAGTTCGATTTGCGTTTCTGCAGAAGAAAGCAACACTGGATGGTGTCGAGACATACAGCAGCCAGAAATATCTGAATAAGTTCGGGGCCATCGGGGAGGAAGTGTTCGAAGTCGCGTAGATGGTTAGAATTGCAAGGACGGCATTCTTTCGAACGTAGGAATGTCGATGTTCCTGGAAGAGACACATAGATACGGACTCAGTCTGTATTCAGGGCCTCGTTAAACACACATACCAGACATGAACGACAAGTGGAATCAATGGCTCCAATAACTCTGCATCCTTGATCTTTTGGATGGACCGCAAAGTTGCGCCACGTATGTATTCATTGGGATGTTGCTGCTCGCGCGCGCACACATACACACACACATCGAGTTGCAAAAAAAAACACGAACGTCAGAACGGGAGAGCAGCCCAGGACGATGTTCTATAAACACACCAAATCATTCCGAATAGCATTAACCACAAGGATCATCTCCTGCTTCAATTTGCCATTGTCATCGTGCTTTGGGCAGACTTCCCAGTATGTATGGAGAAGTTTCTTCAGAGTTTTATTCTTCGACGGGAGAATGTATTGAATAATGGCATGAGCAATTGAGGCTACACGATATAGGGGATTCAAATAGCATAAGTAAAAGTACCCCATTATGTTTACGTGACTAAATGTGCAATCTTGAAGATTTGAAAGAAAAACAGAGTCAACGCACTTGAGGGCTGCCATTAAGAGTAGCAGTAATGATACGCCGTAAAGTCTCTAGCTTGAGCTCATCTGAGCCCCTTTCTAACGCTTGTCGGAACTCTTGGGTGGAGGGAAGTTCAGAGGCATCACCCCAGACAACCGTGAAGGAGATTGGATCGGTCGACGCCATGTTGGAAATAAGGTTGTAAAAGAAGAAAGTCTAAGCGCCTCCCCTCAAGCCGAGTGGCACAAATGGACCGTAAAGAAAAAGCGGAAGGAGCAATACGACGTCGAAGTTCAGCCGGGTCGCGCCAACACAAGTTCGCGTCCAATATAAGACGTGGATCAAAGTTTGAATTACGGGATTTGCCGCTCACCTCCCAACCTTTAGTTTCCCACTCTGCTGCCCGGTACGTTATCATTCCGGTACTTATGGGAGACGGAGGCATTGACGAGGGGTTCATTTCATATTTATTTTGTTAGGGGAACGACCCTCGACCCTTCTTCCTTAGACTAAAATTACCCGATGGCCTCGCCAACACTCACTGTAGGTCCATTCTTTCCAGGCTCTCCCAAGACCACAGAGCTTAAACATGTCCCTCATCTTTTCTGCCGCATAACATGCACACACATATATACAGGTGGCCCGGTATACGGCCCTAATTGGCGGTATCTTCTACGGCATAGCCCACCGCCGAACTCTCCAAGCCAAAGCTAATGAAAAGGCCATAGAACACGAGCTACACAGACGCGAAACCCTTTTGGAACAGGCACGAAAAGCATGGGCAGAGAAGAGCACATCGAAGAATTCTGATCGTACGTATTGCATTCCCTCCCTTCTTCGATATGCCTTCAAGACTTTGGTTTCCCACATCATGTATTTCAGTTATCACCAATCCGGAGGACCCAAAATTCGACTTAGAAGCCTTTGTGGCAGCATACGAAAATGCTTAATCATTATTCATCACCTTTCTTTCTGCACAACTACACCCTTACTCCGTCAACATAGCCGAGGCGAAGCCTTTCACGCGTCCTGCTGGCCAATCCACGGCTTGAACTATAAGATTTATATTAAAGTACATCCGAGCCAGTGGCCTATCATACATTATGGCATGAGATAATGGAGTCCTTGAATTCCTAATTATTCTTTCCTGGCGAATATGGTATATGCTTTCAGTGCCATCTCGACGCTCTTTTCCTTCCATCTTCAGGGGATTGATATTGCTCCAATGCCTCCACCACCTTTGGGATAACATCCACGTCTACCTGTTGGGGAAAGGGCGTCGTCAGCAATGGATAACGCTTAAGAAGGCTCCATAAGTTCACACATTTTCACCCCAAAGGCAATCAATGTGCTCATATCCATGCAACTATCCTCGTAAAAATGCGTCACCACGCAGGGCAACTAGATATTGCGGCAGACTTACGGGTTTGGGTATCGTATGATCAGGTAATTGACCAAGCATAGCATCGATGTCCACCAGACTGTCGAATCTCCGTAGAGGAGAACGATGGGTGTAATGATGTTGCGGCTGGGGAACTGAATCACCGATCAGCGGTTTGATCATCCTGGAAATGGACAGACATGATACCCTGACAGGATGATAGAAATTCTTGGAATAAAACGAATGCGCATCATCATCGTACATCTGGAATACACCCGTGCGCATAATTTGGAACCAATGGACCACCGACTTAACAGACGCAAACGAGTACAGGTGAGCGTAGGCCGCCAGTTTTTGCTCTTGTGAGATGTTGCGTGAATACCATGAGAACAGGAAAACAAGAGCAGTATCGATGGTCTGGACGAATATTGGTGGATCTGTGACATGGGCTTAGCGATCGTGGCTAAAATTAATGATTTAGAGACGGGGACTTACACAAGATGGATTGCCACATGACGGTTGAGGGTAAAATGCATTTGCGCCCAAAGAACAAAAAAAGGAAGTTTGGCGACGACTTCATAAGTGCGTCCACCAACTTGGACGCTAAACCTGGACATAGAAAGCAAGAGTCCGGACAACGTAAGTAAGTGAGTATACTTCTGAATCGGAGCGGACACCTTTCGGACTGAATGCAGGCGCAATAGCGATGAATACCGAAATCTTGTCGTTTAATTGAGGATGGACACTCAAAGCTGCAAACGCCTGCGCAGAGCCTTGGCTGAACCCAATGTAGCTTAATCTCCCTGATGTAGGCTTCGTGAGCTGGAGGATATATTCCAATGTCTCAGGAATATCCGTCATGCCCAAATCGTCTCTATAATAGGGATTAATCCGCATTGTACCACAGAACGCGTGGAACTCTTACATCGAGAAGTCCCAAAACTGTTGGTATTCGGGGAGAGCGTCATATTCTTCTTGGAATACTTGTTACCACGGTTATTTCCAAACTAGGAAGAGCACCGTTAGTTTCCCAGCGTCAACAGCTCCATGCGAAGCCATGGCGCACCCAAACATCATACCCCATCTCCACCAACACAAATGGAATGCTTCTTTGTTCGTCGGTAAGGCAGACCCAAACTTCGCTGTTCATCAACAATCCGTGATGAAGATACACCACCGGTTTCCCCGTCCGAACCCCCGGCCTCGCTCGTCGTTGACCCCTTTTCGTGCACAGCCTATGAAGACAGAGGAAGTAGCCATCTGAAGTGCGAACTATGTGATCTTCGGCAACATATCCATGAATTGCACAAAGTCGCTCGAAGTTGACGGCAGATCGTATAGCCTCAACATGGTCTGCTCTAGCTTCAGTTTCAGGAGTCCGAGGGGCGAGTAAGGCGTAATGAGAATGATGAAAGATACAGCGGGATGTCTCATAGAACCAGTCAATGAGGATGTCTGGCATACACTGTGCGAAGAAAGAATGAAAGGATGAGAGTGCATACACCCAGCATGGGGAAGACAGGGGCATACCATCGTCAAGAGACGAATTACGCCCTCGAGAAGGAGGACAGATATGGCGCCCAGGAGAGCCATGTACTCGCCCCTGAGACAACATGCACTAAACACACGAGCTCCTCTGAGTGAGATCCAATGCCCTACCAGTAAAGACGCCCTAAGACAGGTACACGAGCCATGTTTGCGAAGGGAGAGTGGATTACAGGCGTATCTGTTTGTGTTTCCCTAGCGAAAAGAGAGCTTTCGGTGGTTGATACGAAGATTGTTAGCGTGCGACGGGGTGGTACGAGAAGGGGTTAATTTCCAAACGTTGGCAATGAAATCATGCGTTTGCACCACAAAACATAATATTTAATTTAAGCCACCTCGGCCTCGTGACCTTTCATCTAATCACGCTCAACTCGCCACCCAATTTGAATTTCATAGATAACTGTCGCAAGTGCCTGCTGCTTTTTGCCCTTTTGCTAAGCTCTGCCAAAGGATCGCGCCGCGTATGCGATTCAGAGATGTATGGGTTCGGTCGGGACTTCGCCGAACCCCCAGCATTTAGTGAGCTAGCTTGGGTGGAATAATTCTTGCGTAAGTTCGTAGTGCCTGTGCAAGGGAACCGATATTTGTGTAATTCGCCAGGTGAGCGTTGTTATAATGCTAGGACCAACAGCGTCACCGGTTCTGTATGGTTCAAAGTAATGATGGCTTTAGTGAATCCTTCTGAAAGCGTTTTTTGATATATTGCGCGAGGGAGGACAAAGCAACTGTACAGATGTAGAAGACATGGAGAGGAGTGCGAGGATGAGGATGGTCGAATGGATGATCGTTGTGATGAGGAGACTAAGAGTAAGGGAAGGATGAGCCTTGAGGACTCAGCTCCACACTCTTATCTATTCCAGCCCAGCCCAAGTCATCGGCATTTGTAAGCGCATGCCTTATTATTTACCACGTTCCACGCGAATGCTTATACACACCAGTATCCACCTCAAGTCATCCGTAACACGACGTATGCTACTAATAACGAGTACAAGTACGCAACTTCAAACTAGGTTTCATAATCGTCAACAACACATAAGCCAATGGAAGAAATAGGATTCTAGAGTGTCGTTAAAAATACAACCAACTGAGTGCTTTCAGACCTGCCAGTCTGGGTAATCTTGTAGAAGCTTCTTCTTGGCACTGGCACGATCGATTGACCTTTGCCACACTAAAGCTTTGATATTATGGGCCACGGCAAACAATGCAAAGATAATTAATATAACACCGAGACTGATGCCAATCGCCTGTACACACAGTCAGAACACCAGGAGGTACACTCCGGACACGGGTAGTTGTACATACCGCGAAAGCTACCGCCGCAGGGGTCTTGGAGGAGCCGCTCGACTCGATGCCGTCATTCACATTGAACTTATACACACTGATCAGGAGGAGGCAAAACGCGGCAATCAGCGTGCCAACCGCGGAGAACACCCCCACGGCGACAAAGAACTCCCACAACCCGACCGTCAAGAAAGGGTGCTGAGTGCGCGTAGCTCCCCACTTAAGGATTGCTTGACTGCAGGTGATGGTAACGAGACCAATGGTGAAAAGGGAGAAGGCCCACATCATGTATGTCACATTTCCTTTCTGGGCGCTTGAGGTTAACCGAATTAGACGCCAAATACAACGCAAGATGAAGTACTACTCACGAGAAAATGGTAGTATACGTCAAACCAGCTCCAAGGGCGGTAACGGCTGACACCGCGGTGATAACAGTGTCATAAGCGTTCAGAACATCCTGGAAGACATCAGGTTCACAAAAAGGTAACTCTTGGGCAGAAGTTCGATTCACCTGACACCAGTCCCCAACACCTATCACGAAAGAGATCAAGGCATCAGATATGTGGATTCTACCGCAAAATTATTGCCCACTTTTGTAACCAGTTCTCTCATAACAGGGTTGACTGTGAGCTAGGCTGCGGATCTCTTCTATACTTTTATCTAATGACGTGAGCTGATCGAAATTTATCAGGGAATGAAGCCACAAAGAAAGAGTATGGACTTGCGTATTGCCTGAAAGTGAGAGAGTCGGCGGCTTTTCGACGAAAGTCGGCAATGGCCTTTTCCGATTCCTAAAACAAAGCCGCTTTAGGACCAGATAAGGGATTCGATTGCAACCTACTGGGCCTGATGGTGTATCTGCAGCCTCCTTCAGTGACCTGGATGCCTCCCCTTCTATCTTATGCAGCTTGGGTCAAGGTCTCAACTTTGGCACGGTCAATCGCTGGAATAACGCCGACAGACCAGTTTTACTAGGTCGACCCTCACTTCACGGCGATTCGCCAGAAGAGCCTCGCTCAAGCTACGGGCCTCTTCCTGCATGAACCATAGCGTAAATGCGGCTCATCGTCGACCTAAGTCATAACTTGCCTGAGCTCTTCGGAAATTGGGGTGTTTAGTCGGAAGTATAAATGCTACTGTGGTGCTGCGACGAAGCTCAGCCGAATCAGAAAGGCCCTCGGGCGCCTGATGTGCCGAAGCAGGCGATTCGTTAGCCATGGATCACAGACAGATGTGGCACGTTTCCGCTGAAGTCACTTGACAATCGGAAAGGGTACCCCTGTCATAAGCGCGGCGAAGTAGGTCCGGCGAATTTCACAGAGGACACGGCATATCGCGAGCAAACGATTGTCTGTGAGCGTAAGCGCTGCCGTTCATGTCCACCTCAACCGTAAGGTTGTCTGCCAACGGGCCATTCCAAACGTTGGGTGTGTATTTCGGATGTCGGAATGTCGTGGTTACTCCTTGATTTCCAATCCAATATCTATGACGCTGACGCCCTTCGCAATACGCTATGGGACACGCCCCATGACCCACAGATAATTTCGTGGGCAACGTGTGTACAGTCGAGCGCAGATCGGAATACAGTGCAGTTTTCGGACGGAAGTTTCCCCGCATCTTATTGGCTCTCCACACTGAAATCTCACTACAAGGAAGAGCTGGTTCGCTAGTACGCTCCATCCCTAAATGCCGAATTCCCCGAAAAGCTGGGGGGTTTAGAAACGCTTTAAAAGGGGGCAACTTAACGGTAATGCGTTTCCGCTGATAATCGCTGCGGTTGGAGGTGAGGCGGGATTATAAATGAGTGTTTGTCGGAAACGTCAAGTATGGTACCGGATTTCAGTGTCCCAGACTGCAGGCACGTGGGACGAACGATGTGAGTAGAACAGCTTGCATTGCTTGGTCAAAAATCAGGTAAGGCACCACCTCATTCATGTGTCGTGGCTCGCAAGGATTTGCAATGGTCATGGAGTACAAAGGCACTCGACCTCGCACAATGACCAGAGAACCATCTGACACTTACATCATGGCACAACAACTCCGAACTAATTTCTCTCCAAAAGGTTGATCCATGTGGGGATCTTCTACATTTATTTCACGTCGCCAACCGAAGAAGTGGAACAGTATGGTCCAGCACCAAGTGGTAAGATCCGAAAACATAGGCTGGGGCCCCGCAATCAGTAGCCATGGTACCTAAGGATCTGAACCTTCGTTTGTGCTTGAGCGAAGCAGCAGTACTTGAGCAAATCTGGCAGAAGAATAGTGAACGAGGCTGCCCACCACCCAAAGGCATGTTGACATTGAAGCGCGTCATACCCTCGGTACTCAGGCCCGGCACAACGCTAATCCTGCCTACTTCTTGCATTCACACAGGTCGCGCTTGGAAGCGAATACTGGAACGATCCACATTCAACGCATTCAATCGGGCAGCATACTTAAGTAGAAACGGCCCTGTTCAGTGCCACCTTTGCTACGAGCGTCCTGAATCCACTCCTGTGACTGATCCAGAGCACGGCACGGATTATCTCTCTTGATGAATATATATAGTCGTGGCTGGATTGTTCTCGTGACTTCTGCGTCGGCATTTGCCGCATCGTGGGGATCGCCAGAAATCCAATCGAGACCTAAGAATAAGTGCGTGGCCATGTCAGGCCCCCCTGAAGCTGAACCTCTGCTTCCCAGACAAGATTATGATCTAGAGAATGGGGACAAAAGCAGAGACAAACAGTGGCGGGAATGGACTGCGGAGACCTTGGAATCGCCTCGTACACATACGTTAATCATCTTACTGGTACTCGGTTTGCTTCTGCTGGCATGGCCATGGTTACTTACTCGACCGAAAGATTGCTATAGATGCTGCGTGTGTTTTAGCTGACCGTTGAGTACTCGATACTATGACTTACCCAATGCTGAGCTTCCCTGTAGTGGCCTATTCTCTCTTATCACCTACATGCACACCCGTAGAGGGTGAAGACGCACCTATCTGGCTCAACGTGACAGCGCTCATATCCCTCGTCATAAATTGTCTATTCGTTCTTGAAATTCCACTCACAATATGGTCACTCGGTTGGAAGAAATATTGGCCGTTCGGACCTGCACCTCACGCCAGTTTGCATTTCTTCGATGGCGTCATCATAATTACCACATTCGTCCTGGAGGTAGTGCTGAGGGGAAAAGAAAGGGAGCTCGCCGCTTTGCTTATTATCCTGCGTCTCTGGCGGCTGGTCAAGTTGGTTGGGGGTCAGTTCTGTGGATTCTAGTAAACAATTCTAGGCTGAGGTTTCGACTTACTAGGTGTCGCAGTGGGAGCTGGCGAAATTCAAGAGGATAGCGCGAGAGACCTTGCAGAAACCAAACTTGCACTGCAAGAGGCGAACGAGCGCTTACAAGCTGTTGTTGAAGAGAATCAGCAACTTCGCGCCCGGCTACGTGCGTACGAGTAGAACACGTTGTCCGACAAAGATCAGTCTAGACAGGGCCCATCCGAAGGGTGGTCAAGAGGGTCGGGAATGATACCTTCACGTTATGCTACGGACTTAGTGTTGGCATTGATAGGAACAAATGGATACCCAGATGTTTTCAGCGAAGAAGAAATCCTGTACAAACGAGGGACAGGAATATTTGGAACACCGCGGCCACTATTGAGCGGAAGCATCATCATTGTCTTTTAGCCCTTCCTTGGTGTCCTTGGTGCAAGCATCTTTGTATTTCCTTTGTTTAATATGTGGTTGCTTTGGGTTTGGTCTTATTTAGCAGTTATGACCTTGGCTGACTGTAGCGGAGTTGGCCAAATCATATTGTCATTTCGTCATGTCATACATGTGTTGTCAGGGCTCGGGGACCGGTTTTCATGATGAAGCCCTGAAACAGCTAAAGAAGATGTAATGTAAGCATCGAAGAAATGCAGTGGTCCAGAGGCGCTTGGAAGGTTCGTGGTGGGAGGGGACATGAAGATCAAAGATCAGCTGTGTTAAAGAGTGCAGTAGTGCCGGTATAAAGGGTTTACTGTACATCGCGTGCATGCCCTATATTCTTTATATATTTATTTTTGTTGGTCGAACCCCATGCAATGGCTTCTACGGTGTGGGGGTCCATACTTATGCACTGGGGTTTGCTTTCTTACGGCTCGAGTAGGTAATTGCTTCAGCTTCACGAAGATGACCAACGGTTTCAATTCACGACGCGTGCAGTGCTCGGAACGAAAAATGTATACAGTTGGTTAGGAGGGCGTCGCGAAATTAAGTGGGGTATACTAGCTAATAAACGGTATAGTAGTTAGCGCTAACCAGAACGCATATCGCAGACACATCATGAAGTAATCGGCCACCCAGCAGCAAAATAATTCTCTAATGTAGCGGCGGAAGATCATAACATTTCACGGCATCGCATTCCACCCTCCAACAACACCACAACACGTTCACTTGACACGAACAAGCTTGTATCCGTAGTGCCACAAGAACGGCCTCAAGCTCTCGATGATTACATGAATGTCGGGTTGAATTTGTGACGAGGCAGCGCATGGATTAAGGCACGCAGGTGTGAGTGGACTTAGATGATGAGGGTGTTCTTCCGAATTGTGCATGTTCTGCTCGGTAGTCCCTGACAAGCTCGAGTTTCCAAAGTACACCACATGATCTGGAGCGCCGTCCAGGAGAGTCATGGAATTGACATGTCCAGGCTCGGGCATGGAGTCGAAATCTAGGATAGGATTTGAGGTGTAGGCCGGGAATAGGGGTAGGGCGAATTCGGGGATGGGCTCAAAGGGTGTCGATTCCATTATTCCCGAGGCGCTGGCGAAGGAAGCTGCACGAGTCGACGTGCCACTCTGCCAGCAGGGTGGGGTTCCTTGGTATTGGGCCTGAGTGACTAGTAGGGTATTGGCTAAGCCCAGCTTTGCCTGTTCCAGTAAATCCGAAAATCTCTTGGTCGCGGGCAAGGGATCTATGAACGACCAAGCCATTGAGATAACTGCAGACCAGTTACATTTTGACTCTTACCGTGAGTGGTGCGGAAATTCACATTGTTAATGGCCTCGTAGATCTCCTCGCGGGCGGTTTGATACGAATAGTGACTCTGCACAATTTTTGAGTTATGTTCGCAGTCTGTGACTCGCTGGTAACACCCTACCTTCATCTCAACTGGAGTCGGCCCCTGCCCATGGCACTGTACCCGGAAGTTTTGGCAATCGATGCAGACGTGGCTTCCGGGAGGGCGTAAGCATATCTAAGGGATGGCTGATCAGACGACGCAAGAAAGGCTGAACGTTCGCTTGTACCTCGCCCCTGAGGTCGCACACTAGGCACCCAGCAGTGGTGCCTCGTGTATCGGGAGTTGCTGCGTGGGCAAATGACATGATAGATGATTGAAATGTTGGGTTGGGGAAAGTTCTCAGCGACATATACCTTGGCTCCGACATGAGAAGGCGACCAAGTGTCTTATATGAGAGCCGGTGGAAAGAGAAACTGCATGTCGATGTGGTATCTGGAGCAAGTTTCCTGCTTACAGGTCCCATAGGAGCGGAAAGAAAAACAGGGCAGAGAAGGATGTAGCATGACTAAATTACGCGCACCCAGCGCTATTGAGATATCCGCGGCGTGGGTTGGGACTGGATAACGGACGCTCTTGTAGTGATATGCCGTCAATGGCGTCAGGCATTGCTGGGGTCTGGAAGCGTGGGCTCGGTCAGCTGTATAAGCGCGAGTTACTGACTGGAGGGCATGAGAGTGAGGAAGAGGGAATGTGGTTCGTTGTGCAGGATGGGATGCGGGAACAACGGGGTGTTCGATCGGCTACTAAGGGTTTGAGGGAAAAATCCTTGCGCAGGATATCTGAATTAACGAGCGTAATGTCTAAGCATGCTGCGGAACACTGATAGCAACACCCTTTTGTTTTTAATACCTCCGGTAGCTCGTTCGAAGAAACAGGGGAGATACTAGAGCGCGAAAGGAGGTGTACTTGGGCTTTGTGATGCTGAAGCGCTAGCACAAGAGCAGCAAAATCTCTGCGCCAAAGACTATTGTACCACGTTGGACATGCATGGCTGCGCGGGCCTGCACACCCGCCCTTTGGTTAATGTAGTAATACGATCGATAGGGACGATAAAACATCATTATGCCCTAATTAGGGCAAAGTACAACAAGGGGAACCGCATACTCAGGCAATAAGCTAACTGCGCTGCACCAAAGAAGTAAGATTGCTGAGAGCAACATAAGACTTTTTCGACTGATCAAGCGTATAGATCTGATCACACCATCGTACAGTGTTCTTTGAATAGGATGCTCGTCTCGCAAGTGCAAGTAGGATACATTTGACAGGGGAGAGAGGTGTCAGATGCGACTCGATCGAGACTGAGTATATCTGGCTCCGCGATATATGTATACTCGCCAGGCTGGCCATTAGGCTCGGAAACGGCTAATATCCCGGAAAGGCTGTTGAACTCCAGGAGGACCCCGGCATACTCCGTCAGATGTCCGTTCGGAGGGGCCTCATTTCGGCCCTCAAAATTCGAGTCTCCAGACCCCACTTGAGGCCCTCTGACAAGTCAAACATTTCCAAAAACTCTAATTTGGCCCTCAAATCGATCAGACATATATATATATATATTTTCGCTGGCAGCCCTTTGCGCCACCGCAACGATGCCTAGAACACCATTTGTACAAGAACATAGAATATTAGTGTTCACCCTGATTCAGCACACCCTCTTGCAAGCCCTCCTGAAACTTCTTAATTGCACGCTCAATTGTTCCGATGTTCATTTTGAGCCGGGCAGCGTGAGGGCAGCATGGCCAAGCTTTGTTGATTGGCACTTCTCTTCCTGAGGCTGCTATTACTGTGTGGATGGCCCGGTTTTTTCTCCTGGCCTTCAGGTACAACATCTGTATCGGATTCATTCCCATGCTCGTGTGTAGGACTCTTGACTGGGATTTGGTTGCTCACTTCAACTTCTCGAAGTTTTGCGTCAAAAAGCATTCTCACCAACTCCTGGAAAATTGGTTTTGAGTAGCTCTGCTGCGATTTAACTGTGGGAGATGCATACTGGTTCTTCATTGGGATGAGTAATCCATAAAAACCAAGCAAGACGGTGGTGAAATCGGGTTTTATTTGACCAATCCTCATGCCCGAGTATTCTGGCAGCAATAGTTGAAATAACTATTATTCCACACGATGTACTGTCATCCTGGTATGGCAGAGAAATTTCTTTGGCATGGTAATTCCAACCAGACATCGCGGACACTGAGGATAGCCAGCCTTTGATTGCGACTAGAGTCTGTTTTGGGCAATGTGGGAGGGAAGGAGATTTCGAGTCACTATATGTAAGCAATCTCTCTTCGAAGCCCACTTTCATCACGACGAAGTGATTCCCATTGATATGAAGTGGCATGAAAAGTGCGTGGACTCGCCCATCACGGGCCTCGCGCTCAAGATCCGTTTCCAGCTTTAGGACCTCCACAGCCCCCTTATGAGATGGGACATCGGAAAAGGCATCTATGATGGCAGTGCAGCGGGTAATTGGTAACGCAAATGTCCTAGAACCATGTTGTGCCGTGATTCTGTTGACAAGGTGACAAGCTGCATCAATAATGAAGTTATTGATCCACCGGTCCCCAACTAGAAATTGAAGGTCGGAGGTGCTTTTTTCCTCATAGATGTCCCTCATAGTCTCGTTGTATGGAAACACCTGGAGATGGAGTAGGGCTTGGCTGCGCAACTCCCTAAGATGGGCGTCCACCATGCATGCCTCCTGCAGCGACTCTAGCCAACTCAGGCTTTTTCTCCAGTCCTCAACACTTGAGTCGCATGAATACCGAGATGCGGAATCGAGAAATGTAAGGAGCCATAGGGGGAAGTTCCAGTTTGGAAACTGAGAATGCGAAACAGAGAGGTAAGCATTTGGTTCTTGATGGACGTGAGCAAGAAGACTCCTCCACCTCTCTTGGCAGGGAAGGTTTTCTGACAGTATATGGCAGAGTAGTTTGACGGATTCAGTCTCTTCGGTCTCTTCCAACACATCAGGAGGATTATCACTGAGGCGGAGGATGATATCCGGGTTTGGTTCTCCAAGATGGGGTGTGGGTGGAAGTGCAGAGACAGGTGTTGAGGAAAGTCCATAAATCCTTTTCTGAAATCCTAGCGGTACCAGCAGAGCAGGATACATCTCAAAACGACGTTGGAGGGGGCCGAAAATTTTCCGCTTGCCACCTTCAATAATTTTCCAAATATATTTCTAATGTATGCATATATACAGCCGCCAAGGCTGGCCCTCTTCCAGATCGAGGCTTGGTATTACCCGGCGTAAAAGGCCCTCAATGGGCTATATCATTTTTCCCAAAAAAGTCAACTTTGGCCCTTCATTGGATCGGAGTTCTGGCGCTGAGCGCTGATTTTCGGCCCTTTCCTGGATCGGGGGGTTCTCGGAGCATGCCGGGGTCCTACTCCAGGACACTGCCATCTACAGACGAATACGAGGCCGGATGCTGCCGAGATAAGACCAGAGTTCAGGGAATTCCCCAATCCGACCTTGCACGGACAAAGTTGTTTGATCCTGTGGTTTCCCGCCGGCAAAGGCGAGATAGATAAAGTGTTGCCGGTCCGCGTCTTCCATTCCCTGAAGTAATTCTAATATAATTTTCCATCATTGTTTTAGTAAACAGTGTCATGAACCCCCGTTATGCACACTTTGCGTTTTTCATATCGCAGAGTTTCCTGTAGCTTGGGAATGGTAAAGGCAGCGGGAATTAATGTTCCGTATTTCGGCCTCGCTTTTCACGCGCGTTGCTATGAAACGGTTCGGATCCGAGGCGCGCGCCTGTATAATACGGCTCATCCCCCCATCCCTCATCCTCGCGGCCCCCATACTTCCCATAGAGTAGACTTAGGCCCATTAAGAGCTAGAAAGGTTCTTTATTCAGCTTGGTTTCAAATGGCGTCATGGAAACCCGTCTATGTTTGGACAAACTTAGGTTATCAGCCCCTCGTCCTCAATGGTCATGTCCGTTAGACTGGCAGCGGGGGTTGGAAGACGTTATTGATTCGGGTGCATTTTACACGAACACATCGTGACCCTGACTGATCAGATGGCGCCCACCTCCTTGCACAGCAGTGGACTCATGGCGGCGTCAAAAAATTGGGCCGGGGAGGCAAGATAGCCTCCACTCATCACAAAACCAGTCACTCCCAACTGGGTACTGAGGTCCAAAAGGGGTTAAATGTCGTTGCGACGGGTGCTGGCTATATGACTGCGCAGCGACAATCAGCAACGATCCATGGTTCTTGTGCATGCGGTACTACATAGGACTTGCTATCAGAAACCCAATATGGGGCGAGCTTTCCGCCTCCTGTAATATTGACACACGCATCGTTTCGACAACTTCCGAATCTTCTGAACATCGCGCGCGTCTTCAGAGAAGCTATTGCGCATGAAGATGTCTTCGTCCCCAGAGCCAACACTTCGTGCAGCAGCCACCATGTGAATGCCTTAAGGCGCGCTCTCAGTTGCGCAACATATTCCGCCGTTCGGAATGGCTGCCCTTAAATACCAAGGGACCAGCGTCCCTTCATCTCCTCCATGCTGCCCGACTCTTTGGCACCACGAAGCCCCCATCCAGGTGCTGGGGGCAGACGGCGTAAACAATACCATAGACATGCCTGTACCCAATGCAAGCGAAGGTGCGAGACGCCCACGACCTATAGTTGGAGAACAAAGTAAGAACCCACGTTCGTACAGCAAACGTGGTTGTGATCGGGACTGGGCCGTTGACGGCGGGAAGTGTTCGGTTTGTGACAGATTGCAAGTCTCTGTGAGTCTCCCAGAATCAAGCCGGGTTTCGAATGTTTACCCCGATCTCCAAGTGCGACTATCCGCTGTCTGAGCCTCCTTCGAACGGCGCTGGCACGCCGTTCCAGTGTAGCTCTAGTGTCAATCTGCTTGTGACACCGTCAGGTGTGGCATCTCATCCTTTCGAGTCGTGATGACTCGATTGATTTCACCCACTCTTTCAAGAGGACGCCGGGATCTTGGACGGTGTTGAATTTGCGGAAAGCCATTTTCCAGGAATTTTCGACCGAGATCGGTTCACGGAGCGCTCAATGCGTCCCATGGAGGCAAAGCGCGATGGTCATGAACATTTCAGTCCTATGTTACATTGGGTCTTCTGCCTCCTTCGCAAGAGCCTAGGACCGTATGAGTTTCGGGAGCTCTTGCAGAAAGCAAAACGGGCTTTTGGAGAAGAGTTCGAGGACCCTAGTCTCGCCACCATCATGGCTACCATCCTCCTATCAGAGATGCTGTCTAAGTTAGAAGAGCCCTACTGGCAGTTTGGTAAGCTCTTTTGGCGTTCTCTTCTTGTTCATTGCTCACGTCTTCGGTAGGGGAGGATTTATTAGGCAAGTCGTTTCAGTAAAAGTGTACCGGCAAGTTTCTTACATCGGGTGACATCATGCAGACAATGCATATGCATGTTAGCACACCATTTTTCATATCGGTATATGGCATCGCTGAGCTTTTTTTTCAGGGTTACATTCATACCACAAGCGCGATCTCCTGAAAAATGTGCCTTCCAATAATATTAGGCAACTTATGGAGAAAGTCCGTGCGCTTGTATGTTTATAAATGGAAATATCCCAATTCGCTCATAACTGATTATGGCCGGACCTTAGGCTAAGGAAGCGGGATTCGGGTTACGTGACCACTGCACCTATGAGGCGGCTCAGCCTCAGCTGCCTCCATCATCGACACATGAATATGCGCGACTTATGATCCCTCAAGCCCCCGCGCAGAGCGTGGATGCTACCAACATGAACGCAACACCAGTGGAACCGCTCGAGGGCTATTTGCTTCCCGGATCCACGCTTGATAACTTTAATAGCCTTACCGCTACTCAGGAGCCTGCGATCGAGCCTTGGAAGCTTAATTTGAGTGACTGGCGATCGTTTGCATTATACAACAGGTAAGCCAATGCGATGGAGTTTCCGGTATCCATTTTCATCCGCTTACAATGTCTTCCCTTGCCCTTGTCCCAGGCCCTAGGCCCTTCATTTGACTAATTGTGATTATTGAGAAGCTAGCCCTGGTTGGTTGTATACATACGTTGGAAACGTGTGTAAGTGGATTGATGTGTTCGGGGCATTGAGTTTTCAATTCAGTGCCAGTACGGCATGGTATATGTTTGCCAAGGGTCAGTGTTGGACAACAAGCCATGATGACGCGCCGGTACGCGTATCATCGGTTATTGATATGATACCTCTTGACCATGTGTTACATGGTTCGCTGTTGCCTACGTTCCACATGTAGCGCTTAGGTGCAATTTCCTTATCACTTTTGTCCGATATCCTTTTATTACATACTTTAGCTACTTATACTGCCGTGCGGGCTATAATGTCAACTAGTTCTGTTCTCCCTCCCGTTCGAGTGTCTCGCTGAGTGCCCCAACCAAAAGTCAGAATGTTAGCTAACCCTGGTGGAACGCTTCAAGGGTGGATGTGAAGCCACTTGAATTTGAAATCCTCGGGTAGGGTGAACTGCACCTCAATTGATTACCCTTCGATGGTTTTCAAATCTGTAAGGGATTGCATTATCAGAGCTACTCCATTGAATGTTTCCCTCCGTGACATTTTCTCCGAACTCACCAAATACATTATGATAGAGGTGATCTTGCTCATTCCCCCATTTCCGGTCACCTTGGACGCCGAGGCTCCGATATATCGAGGTTGGCCACCTGCCTAGTCTCTGGACCCTTGCCACGGGTCTGGCTAGCCGCTCGACGTCGTTGTCTGATCCAAGGTGGCCACGGAAGATTAAGGGCATTGAGGCTGTTGCTCTTTGGTGGAGTTATTGAGACCGGAGTAAACGATGGGGCCGACTCAAGGCCGATTCCGGCCGTGCGGCTCCTTGGGCTTGTTCCCTGACGCTCGACTGATGGTGTATATGTGCTTGTCTGCTGTGACTCTCTCCCTCCTCGTTTCTCGGCAATCTATTCGATAGGCGTACATTCTTACGACTGAAAATGAGCTTGCGAGGTGGGGGCGCATGACACTACATTGGCCGAAAGAAGATCACGAAGGGGAGACGATCGGATATTCCTCGATTTCTATCTAGGTTTGGAACCGTGTGGGGTGTAGGCGCAGCTACTGCTGCGATATATTGGAACTTGGAGACGATTGTATTCGCCACATGCACACCACCACTGAACACAACCTCGTTGATGTGGGAATGAAGTGTGAAAATGGCTAGCTCCAAGGTCATCACTATTTACAGCTGTGGTGCGAAGGGTTATATGCCTGCATTCTTATGGATCGCGTCAGGGATCCACCCCAGCGAAGATTGTTGGAGGAGCGTGCCATGACGGTGCGCTGGTACGCCAATTACTGTTCATATCTTTATGCCACTTCTACCTTGCTTTATCTCCACCCAACGCTGCAGCGTTCCACGTGTAGCAGCGCGCACCATCCGCCCCATGTCATTCGTTAACATCAAACAACAGTAATAGTATTACTTTTATCTAATATTCCATTATTACATTAGCTACTAGTACTAGTAGTACTTATATCACCGCTCGGTTATCTATGAACGAAGCCATTTGGATAAAAACTGCATAGCTATCCCCGTGTGCTGTTTCAGATGATTTCTGGAGAACATCAAACACTCCCCAACCAATAACCTCATGCTCATTGCGCGTTGTTGGAGCATTCATGAAAATACATTTGTGTCATATATTCAATTCGTGATCGTGTACATTGACGTGCTGTCAGCTTATTGTGGTATATTAGCCGGTTTCTGGATTCTGCGTGCAGTTCCGCAAAGCTTAAAAGTTCTCGTTGTTGATGATGCTGCTTCTTGTAACAGGCTTCATGATTATGCAATCCACGTCTGTTACCCTTTGCACTTACATAAGCAGTACCTGACATAATCTGGCAATGACACGATCCGGCAATCGCTAACGATCGCTGCCGTGTCCCTCATACACCTTCCTCTCCTTGCTTTGTCACCATGTGTTGAATCTTGGCCTGCTCCTATGGCTAGAGTGTTCTGAAAACGATCCGCAGGTAAGAACGCGGCGTTACATAGATTTTCCCCTACTAAGCCTGGAAACCTTGCACTCGAATGTTCCGCTCCTCTGTCGCACGGATGCAGCTCGGATCTCAGCTTTTTGTATCGCTGAAAATCGAGGGTCGCACGGCAGCACATCAAGCCCTACATGCGTCGCATTGTTTTCCGCTTTCCGCAAGAGTAGGGAAAGGACGAGGAAATTAACTCAAGCCCCTTCCCCCCTCAGACTTCTCTGTCTATCCCTTGTATCGATTAATTTCCGCCTTTTCTGGAACGATGCAAAACAGAATTGCAAAGCTCCTGTGCGGCCGCACGCACATGCTCAACATCCAACATATAGATAATGCAGTCGACGCTGGCGATCAAAGTTGTCGAGAGCAAGCATCCCAACCATCCCTTGTGTGTGCTCTGCAACAGAATATCGAGATATTTCCTGGAATTCGTTTTCTTCCCGGGCGTCTTCGATGAACAACATACAAACCCACTCTTATGTTGGACCTAAAACAAATGGAACCGATAAAACGGACGTATTTATGTTCTGGCATAGTTTCATTGGCTGTTGGATGTCGTTGATTCAGTTTGCCACCGTCAAGAACAATGATGCGTCGCATCCGCAGAACAGGGGGTACAGGTTGGCTCCGGTCCCAGTTAGGATCAGATGCACGTACATACACATAATGAGCCGAGGAGATAGACAATGAACTTGGTTTGGGTCGTAGTCAGAAAGAATGGCCTGTGGGAGAGCGCCCCTGAAATGGTGAAATGGTGGAAAGAATGCGCTTGATAGCTTGACAAACGAACTGGATGGTCAAGAAAGGGACTGAGAGTTCATGATGGGAAGAGATACCATGGGTTGGTGAGACATCGACAAAGAGATTTGTGTGGTGAAAAATCCTGGTGCGGAAAACTTATGTTTGCCATTCTTATCGCCTATGTCGGTAACTGCTTCACCCCAGCAACGACGAAATGATTACGTGCAGTCAGGCGAAAAGGGGTATGTAGTCAGAAAGAATAAATTGAGATAACAGTTCGTGCCAACTACCATACAACATTACGAGAAAGTCAGGACAGAATGATTCTCTAATGGTGTAGCGGCCAAACGAGTTGCGCCACATCGTCTTAGGCGTCCAACGACATTGTAACGCATTCACCTGTGGACAAGCTCGTATCCGCAGTACCATAGGAATGGTCTCAGGCTCTCGATGATTAGATGAACGTCCTGCTGGGGTGATGGCGGAGGGTGTGAATCAAGAAATACAGGTGTCGACGAATTCGCTTGATGGCCATCTCCTTCCGAACCGTCGACGCTTCGGCCGGCGATCCTTGACGGACCCAAGGGCCCATGATACACAATACGATCCGGTGCGTCATCCAACAATGCTGCAGAATTATCCATAAAACATTCAAATAGCGGATCAAAATCCGGGATGGAATTTGAAGAGTACGTCGGAAACAGAGAGGACACGTTGGACTCCATCGCTTCAGGGCTGCTGACAGGGGGAGTTGGGGGGGTCGACGCGTTACCTAGTTCAGCCTGGCATTGAGGTGAGGCTTCCTGGTATCGGAGTGCCTGGGCGGCTCGGGTATTGAACCGGCTTAATGTGGCCTGTTCCAGTAAACGCGAAAAGCTCTCAGTCATGGGCAGTGGATCTATGAGAAAAGCCACTGAGATAAACATGGTGACTTATTGCATTTTGGCCCTTACGGTGAGCGGTGCGAGACGTCGCCGTTGCAATAGCCTGGCGGATCTCTTCGTGAGCAGCCTCACAAGCATAGTGACGCTGTGCGTAATTGTTGAGTTATGTTGGTAGTCCGTAATGCCACCAAGAAATACCCACCCTTAGCCCAACTGGGACAGGCCCTACTCGCTCATGGCATCGCAACCGAAGACGGCTGCAGTCCGTGCAGGCAAAGCTTCCGGGAGGACGTGTGCATCCCTAGTAGCCGATGTCTAGTAAGGTTCTGCAAGGAAATCTGTTGAAAGTTAGATGGTACCTTTCCCCTGAGGCGACATACGAGACATCCTGCGGAGCGACGTCTTGGTATTGTGGTAGGCATGAACAGCGTTTAGGGAAGAGATGGAAGGAATTCTGAACCAGCAGAAAAAGATTATACCTTCCCTCACACCCACGATTGAGCCGTTAAATAGAGCAAAAAACAACAGTTGTAGCAGTGGCGTCGGAAATTGCAGGGCGCCCAACTTCCGCGACATCGCGTTCGTCGCGTGTGTCCAACGAATGAGGCCTTTCCATAGCAACCCACCGCCACTTGCTTGTAACATTTCCACAGCTAAGCAGGCCCTCTTCAGCATGGGTATTGCTCGACGGGGTGGTGGGGGAAACGAGGATATTCCGATAAGGGGGAAGTGGTTCGCTGCTGCTGGGAAAAAGGAAAGGGGGGTACTGTACATATTGAGAAATTTAATTGAACAATCCCTTTCCCAAGCCATCTGGAATGTCTAGACCTGGGATGAATACCTATCTCACGCACGTCCCATACCTTAGTTCATTTGAAGAGGAACAGGGGTGAATGCTAAATGAGAGGGGTTCTAGGGTAAAAGGCATATATTGGAGGACCGCGTGGTGTATGGGAGATGAGGTTTCAGCAATGACGCCAAACGATTCGATTGGAGTCAGGCGCGAGGGGACGGCTGCAGCTGGCAATTGTCGCATCGACAGGGAAGAGGTCAACTCGTTCAGACTGAAACATTTCCTTCCTGAGTACAGTGCTTCTCGGATAGGATGTTCACGTCGTAACCAAGACACAAATGAGTTGAGGAACTCAAACTCATCTGGTTCTTGCGAACGTCTGGTTAGCCATTGGGTCCGGAAGAGGCCGGTAGCTAATAACAAATTGGGATGTATGGGATGTTACTAAATTTGGAAGCACTTAAACTAAGGTACATGCAAAATTTGCACAGAATATCCAGCGACGCGATCGAGTTCTGAACAAATCAGTCCGACGGCCATCAACGGAACCTGAGTTGCCGGTACATGAGGGTTGACTGAGAACAATATCGTTATATTGCATTCCATCAGCTATTTCCTATGTATATCGCCGATCACAGTGTATGAATTGTTTCTACACTTTCGCGCTTTCACGCGCATCCAAGTCGTCCAGTGTTGTTATGACCGTTACGGAGGGTTGTGCCGTAGGCCGGATCCCAGCCTCCACATGTACCGGCGGAATCAACCGATAGCCCTGTCACTTTTTCTCTGCAGCATACCTGCTTCGCAACCCCAATCATCAGTCGTGTTCGTTAGGCTGGCAACGCTGTCGATTCGGGTATATGCTCCACGAACGAATCGGGCTCCTGGATCGTGAGCCCGAAGTGCGGCAACGGGACGTCTGAGGCTCATCGATCCGGGCGGTACTGGTACTCCACCCACTAGTTCTAATGTCGATCTGTCCGTGACACGTCCAGGTGTGGTGTCTCATCCTCCGTGATGGCTTTATCCTCTTTACATCAGTAAGTCAGGAAATGACTATCATGGCCGAGAACCCGGTCCCCAGCCACACCCTAGCAGTTTGAAAAGTGTGCTTCCTCGTCTAGCGTTTTCTCTCACGTCATCTCTGCTAACTGCACTAGACAATGCGTATAGATGTTAGCATTCCTTTTTCTGTATCGGTATATCGCATCACTGACCACTTTCCAGGCGGAAATGATGAGCGCAACCTTCTAAAGACAAGAAGATTAAGCAACTTTTGGAGAAAGTGCTCGTATGTTTCTAAGATGGAAATGTTCTCAATTCGTTCGTAACTAATCAAAACTAGACCTCATGTAGCTGCCGGATTAAGCACCTATACTATATCGCACAACTCATAACAAGCTGGAAAGCATCGTGTCGGCCCGCTAAAACCCCTGCATTCAGATTTCCCCCTCCTTCGCCACGCTGATGCAGCTCAGATATCAGCTTGTATTGTCGGGGGTTTGGGCTCAAAGTCGCGTGGCTGCGTTTGATCCAACACGCGTACAGCGCCAGGCGCTTCCGCAGTGCTTTCCGCCTTCCGCAAGGGGATAAAATACCCATTTTTCGCCCGGCCCCCACAGATCACTCTTCCTATCCCCTCGTGTCAATGAACTCCTATCCGTCTGGAATGCTGCAGGACAGACATCCAGGATCGCAAGCTCCCCCGGGACTGCTGGCAGAAGACGGGCACCCAGACGCCCAACCTCGGAAACACAACAAGGCATGCCATGGATGCCAAACAAACAACAGGTGATAATGCTGAATTGAGGGAAGATCCCAACTCCTGATGTTGAAACTTGACACAGGAAGCGCCGCTGTGATAGGGATTGGACCAAGAAGGACGCGAGATGTTCACAATGTGTCAAACTCAGGATTCCTGTACGCCAACCAACATCGAGTCAGCCTTCGCGCGCTGACTTAGTTAACTGCTTCAGTGTGAGAAGGGGAACAAGTCCTATAATGCTGCTGTGGACGTTGCTGGAACTCCGTCCAACATTATCAACGACGCATCCCATGAAACACCCCCAGGTACGAAATCCTCTTTTCGTTGTTTTTAGCAGTCAATTCCATAACGGTCGAATAATGCATCTCATCAGTTGACGCTGGCAACACAAGTGGTCGTCATGATCAAGGACGAGGCTCTGAACCATCCCCCGTCTGTGCTCTGCCATTAAATACCGACATATCCCTTGGCATTTGGTTTGCGGAATACCACTTCCCAGGCATCTTCGACGAACAACGATTCATGCAACGCTTAATGCTCTCAAGGGACGTGAACCCCGACGAGTACTTTAGTTTGATGTTGCATCGGGTCTTCCTTCTTAGCGCTAGCAAAAGAGCAGCAGAGTCTAGGAAGCTCCTGAGCGAAGCTTTGCGGGCCTTTTCCGAAGAATTCGAGGAGCCTAGTATAGCCACCATCATGGCTGCCACTCTCCTTTCATCGTTGCTATCCAAGGCGAAACCACAACTGGGTAAGTCTGTCCTCTATTTTGATATTCATTGGTTGTTACTCACCCCTTCAACAGCCGGGGACTTGCTAAGTAAGTTGCTTCGGGAGTGTACTTATGATTTCTGACAATTGCTGAATGTCAATTACGCTAGACAACGTCTTTGCTTGTCAGGACCCCTCTTCAATTTCATATTCATGTGCTACACCACTGACTATATCATAGGGCTTGACTCGTACACGCAGCGTAACCTCCTCCAGAATGTATCCCTAAACAAGATTAGCAAGCTTTTAGAAAAGGTTCATGCTATTGTATGTTTTCAGACCGCAATGTTTTAATTTGTTCGTCGCTAAAAACCTGGCTTTAGGCGGAGGAAGAAGGGTTTAGGTTGCGCGCGCACCGCGATTACGGTGACGACCAGCTCTCGCTGACTACGTCGCAAGCGCGTGGGCAAGGGGCAGAATCGATCATTACCCACACGCCCACGCAAAGGGGTGCCAACATCAACGTTCCGTCGGAACAATTCGCCTCGTCTTTGCCTCCGAGACAGACCCCATCACAACCATCTTTGGGATACACCACTGCAGCTACATATCCATTCCCCTTGCCCAATATGCTCCCTCCAGGTGTCATCGATGGCGCTTTATGCCTCGGCACAGTGCATCAACCGACGGCATGCGCTGCCGGTTTGATACCTATCCTAGCGCTTCAGGCCCTAATAATCCTCTCATGCCTGTAACGGACCTACCACTACAGACAATGGATATGGGTGATGAGTCTTTGCCTGACGACCAAGGTGCACCAATTGTAATGAATTTTTCCGGTACTTGTCTGCTTACGATCTCTCCGAATAGCAGAGTTTTTATGGTGATGGTGGGAGCAGAGATGAGGCGGGCCACGGGTGGGATGCTTCCGTTATGGGTCGGTGAAATGGAGGATCACAGTCGTTAAGAAGCATACGATACACTTCCTTTTCGTATTTATCGTGCGGGTTCACAACCATCTGCTGCAGGACAGGCCCAGATGTATCTACTGTGTCTCGATTTTACACTGTGTGTATGTGAGATTTCTCGATATTTTACTAGCTGCGGTTGGCACTGCAGGTCTTTTTGCCAAGTTGGTTTCCCACTCATGTATTTTCCAAGTTGGTCACGGCTTTCTCCCCTCATTAACTCATAGCCTCGCTCCATGACCCTACAGGGGCGTGGAGAAATAATACATAGATCAACGCCCGCCAGCTAAGGCTGATGCTCGCACGGATCCGCAACCCCAACATGAACCACAACCTACCCTCCGACGGCGCGGGAGTGAATGCATCCGCCCTTGAGAATAAGAAGAAACGCAAGGCCACCAATCGCGGTTCTTCTCAGTCGCAAACAACAGGAATGCACGATTGGATGCCGTCCTCGAACACCCGGCTGACGCTTATGTAAGCGTTCATGCTTTCATTTCGCGCGTTTTGCCGAATAAACACATAAACTCGGATATCCCCTTGATCCGGATCTTTTGTTGTTTCTTGCTTGTTTTTCGTTATTCCGAAGATCCCTACCCTTGGCACTCGTGGGATCCGGGGTGATTGTGGAGGAACAAGGGCATTGAGGCTAGTGCTCTTTTCTGGAGGCGTCACCAACTTGGTCGGAGTACAAATGACATGTTAGAATTCTTGGTATCATGGTGTACGCTATGACCAACTCGCCCTTGGTTAATTAAATGTAGTAATACGATCGATAGGGAGGGGTTGTTAATGAAACACCATTATTCCCTAATGTATAACAAGGGGAACCGCATACTCAGGCAATGAGCTAACTGCGCTGCACCAAAGAAGTAAGATTGTTGAGAGCAACATAAGACTTTTTCGACCGATCCAAGCGTATAGATCTGATCACGCATTCGTACAGTGTTCTTGAATAGGATAGACTCGCCCTAATATTCCCCGATCCGGCCTGCACGCGCGGACAAAATTGTTTGATGCTGTGGTTCCCGCCAGCAAAGGCGAGATCCCCCATATCGATCGTTCCAGGCTGCTCTAGGATGGATAAAGCGTTGTCTCATTTCACATTCGATCCACGTCTTGAAAATAATTTGATGCAAAGTCCTGAGGGAAAGTGAGTGGATTGCATGAAGAAATTGGGGACACGTGGTTTCCCCGTCATTTCCATTGTCAGACAGCACGCATAAAATTTCCCATCGACATTTCCGCTGAAGGATAAACAGGCATCGACTTTCCATCGCGGAAAGGGCTGCGGAAATTTTTGGCTTATGTAAACGCAGTGCATCCTCACGGCCCCCACACTGCCCACATAGAACCAGGCTACAATTGTTATGAGGGTTCCCTTCAAACCGGATGGCCGAGCTTGCATTTGGATCCGATGAAGTCCCACAGGGTGACGATTTCTCACGGGGTGACGATGCGCAAACTCCACGACGGACAAAAAAAAACGGACCCCCACTGTAAACAAACGCCTCGCAAGCTCGGCCAATAATAGAGTAGACTTGGGCCCACCAAGAGCTAGAAAGGTTCTTGACTTCAAACGAGAATCGATTGCACCATGACAACCTGTCTATGTTTGGACAAATTTAGGTTATCAGCTGCTTTCGGCCCGGAGACGTTGTCGATTCGGGTGCATTTTACACGAACACATCATGAGCCTGACTAATCAGATGGCACCCACCTCCTTGCACTCATGACGGCGCCGAAAATTGGGCCAGGGAGCACTCATCACAAAACCAGCCATGTCCGACTGGATGCTGAGGTCTAACACGGGTTGAATTTGAATTCGTTGCGACGGGTGGCTAGATGACTGTGCAGCGACAATCAGCAACGATCCATGGTTCCTGTGCATGTGGTACTAACGTAGAACTTGCTATCGGAAGCCCAATATGGGGCGAGCTTTCCGTCTCATCTTGACACATGCGTTATTTCGACAGCTTCCGAATCTTGTCCACACTGAGCATCGCGCGCGTCTTCAGAGAAGCTACAGCGTATGTTAGCCGGCTTCTGAGTTCTGCGTGCAGTTCCGCAAAGCTTAGAAGTTCTCGTTGTTGATGATGCTGACAGGCTTCATTATTATGTAATCCAGGTCTGTTACCCTCCGCACTTACATAAGCATGTACCTGACATAATCCGGCAATGACAGCTTATTGCGGCAATCACGATCGATCGATGTGGTTCCCTCACACATCTTCCTCTCCTCGCTTTGTCACCATGTGTCGAATCTTGGCCAGACCTTCTGCTCTTATGACTAGAGTGTTCTGAAAACGATCTGCAGGTAAGAACGCGGCGCCACATAGATTTCCCCCTACTAAGCCTGGAAACCTTGCACTCGAATGTCCCGCTCCGCGGATGCAGCTCGGACCTCAGTTTATCGTATCGCTGGAAATCGGACCGAGGGTCGCACCGCAGCACATCAAGCCCTACATGCGTAAGGCGCCGCGTTTTCCGCTTTCCGCAAGAGTAGGGAAAGGACGAGGAAATTAACTCAAGCCTTCCCCCTCAGACTTCTCTGCCTATCCCTTGCCTCGATTAGTTTATGCCTTTTCTGGAACGGGTGCAAAACATAATTGCAATGCTCCTGTGCGGCGGCACGCACATGCGCAACATCTAACATATAAATAATGCAGTCGATCAAAGTTGTCGATGGAAAGCATCCCAACCATCCCCCGTGTGTACTCTGCAACAGGACATCGAGATATTTCCTGGAATTCGTTTTGAGAAAACTTCTTCCCGGGCATCTTCAATGAACAACATACAAACCCATCTGATGTTGGACCTAAAACAAATGGAACCGATAAAACGAGCGCACTTATGTCCTGGGATAGTTTCCTGAAACATTAGCTGTTGGATGTCGTTGATTCAGTCTGGCACCGTCAAGTACAATGACGCGTCGCATCCGCAGAACATGGGATACAAGTTGGCTCCGGTCCCAGTAGGATCAGGTGCACGCACATGCACATAATGAGTTGAGGAGATATACAATGAACTTGGATTGGGTCATGTCAGAAAGAATGACTTGTGGGAGAGCGCCCCTAAAAAGAAGAGAAATGAATGCGCTTGATAGCTTGACGAGCGAACTGGATGGTCAAGAAAGGGCCTGAGGGTTCATATGATGGGAAGACATCGACAAAGATATTTGTGTGGCGAAAAGTCCTGGTGCGGATTGCCATTCTTATCGCCCATGCCGGTGACTGCTTCATCCTAGCAACGACGATGATGACGAAATAATTGCGTGCAGTTGATTCAGTCGGGCGAAAAGGGATATGTGGTTAGAAAGAATAAAATGGGATAACAGTTCACTACCATACAACATTACGAGAAAGTCAGGACAGAATGATTCTCTTTTTTTTCGGTGGAACCCCAGTAGCTTTCGCGATACATAATCTGTATTTGGTGTTTGTGTAGGGAGGTGGGATCCCATGGACTAACAGTGTAGCGGCCCAACGAGTTGCGCCGCATCGTCTTCCAGCATCCCAGGCGTGCAACGACATCGTAACACATTCACCTGTGAACAAGCTCGTATCCGCAGTACCATAGGAATGGTCTCAAGCTCTCGATGATTAGATGAACGTCCTGCTGAGGTGATGGCGGAGGGTGTGAATCAAGAAATACAGGTGTCGACGAATTTGCTTGATAGCCATCTCCTTCCGGATTGTCGATGCTTCGGCCGGTGATCCTTGACGGACCCGAGGGCCGCGTCATCCAAAGAAGCTGCAGGATTTTCCATATAATATTCAAGTAGCGGATCAAACTCCGGAATGGAATTTGAAGGGTACGTCGGAAACAGAGAGGACACGTTGGACACCATCGCTTCAGAGCTGCCGACAGGGGAAGTTGGGGGGATCGACGCGTCACCTAGTCCAATCTGGCGTTGAGGTGAGGCTTCGTGGTATCGAAGTGCCTGGGCGGCTCGGGTATTGAACCGGCTCAACGTGGCTTGTTCCAGTAAACGCGAAAAGGTCTCAGTCATGGGTCTGTGAGAAAAGCCAGTGAGACAAACATGGAGAGTTATTGAATTTTGGTCCTCACGGTGAGTGGTGCGGGACGTCGCCGTTATAATAGCCTGCATGGCGGATCTCTTTGTGAGCAGCCTCACAAGCATAGTGACGCCGTGCGTAATTTGTTGAGTTATGTTGGTAGACCGTGATGCCACCAACCCTTAGCCCAATTTGGACAGGCCCTACTTGCTCATGGCATGACGGTTTCAGTCCCTGCAGGCAAAGCTTCCGGGAGGACGTGTGCATATCTAGTAACCGATGTCTAGTGTAAGGTTCTGCGAATTTATTGAAAGTTAGACGGCACCTTGCTCCTGAGGCGGCATACGAGGCATCCTGCGGAGCGCCATCTTTGAGTACCGACGGTGGTGACTGCGCGGGTTGGTATTGTGGTAGGCATGAACAGCGTTTAAGGGAGAGGCGGAAGGGATTTCGAGCCAGCAGAAAAAAATTATACCTTCCCTCACACTCAACGATTTGAGCTGTGAAATAGAGCAAAAACAACAGTTGTAGCAGTGGCGTCGGAAATTGCAGGGCGGCCAACTTTCGCAACTTTGCGTTCGTCGCATGTATCTCAGTCCAACAAATGAGGCCTTTCCACAGCAACCCACCGTGACATTTCCACGGCTTAGCAAGCCGGCCCTCTTCAACATGGGTATTGCTTCATCAGCAAGTTGTCCACGTTCAGTTTGGCCACTCCTGCTGGATATGTCCGCGAGAAGTGGCCAAACAACTGTGGGAATTGTGAAACCATTGAGTTCAACCCTGAAATTGAATTGGAGGGGTACGATAAGGAAAGGGGCTGAGTATTGAGAAATTTACAGCGGCCGTGGAAAGAATCTGCGCCTCAGATTTGGATGGCCCCCGGATCTTCCGCTTGTCCAAAAATAGTCGGACATCAGGGTCAATACATTCGGCATTTAGCACTCATAGCGACCGGACCTGGCGCGGGGTCTTCAGGTTCGCAGGTGTTAGACCGATTTCACAGCTCAGAGACTAGAATGTCGGGTTTCGTATCAATTTGGTTATCCAGGAACTACAGTGGGGTGTTTGGATAATGACACGATATATGAATTGTACATTGATAGCATGAATACTGAGAGAGCATCGTCGGCCACGCGTCTCAGCAAGGTGGTCACGGTGATGCCTTTCTGGATTACGGAGAACCTCCCGGATGGTAACAGTAATGTTACCCAGGTGTCTGTACGCGTGACGATCAGCTAATTGAACAATTTCTTTCCCCCGCCACCATTGGAATGTCTAGGCCTACCCCAAGAGGCTGAGAGTGCGCTGATCGGGGTGGGCGATCGCGCATGTCCTACACCCTATTTCATTTGAAGGGGACGGGTGAATGCTGAAGGAGATGGGTTCTTCGAGCTGCGAAACAGCCGTCGACCCTCAATGCAACGTTTAGCTTTGTATAACCAATAGAACCGGCACGAGAAGAAAAAAGCAAATCCTCATTGAAGGGCCTGCCGCGTGGTGTGTAAAAATGAAGTTTTAGCAATTATTCCAGACGATTCGGAGGATCCGACCAGGAAGAGTTTGGGTCTCATCTACATGATCTAGCCATACGCACACCCGTCCCTTGGAGTCAGGTGAGAGGGGACGGTTGCAGCTGGCGGCGATATTGTCGCATCCACAGGCAGCATCAAGCTGACAGATCCGATCGGAAAGAGGGCTCTTTCAGATTGAGACATTCCCTTCCTGAGCATAGTGGCTTCTCGATGACGATAACAAGTGTAATATTGCAATATTACAATATATTGTAATTAAAAATCTGGTCACGAGCGCCTCCGAGCTTCTCGGGGTAGAACTTTGAAATTTCCCTCTATATTTTCTCTCACTCTTACCCAGTCGGTCTTTTCCGAATTTCCGACCAGAGTGCTCGGGCACGGTCCTAGTTACCTACTTATATGAGAGGCTGCTTCAGCCTACTGATCGGGTTACGAGTATTAGGGGGCTCAGCGGCGGAACCTGTGCTAGCCAGGCCCGGGTGCTGGACGTGGACCATATAACAGCTAGGCATGTGTCCAATGCAAGCGAAGGTATGAATATCTCTAGTTCACGGTATGAAAACAACTGTCGGATGTCATTTTGTTAAGTGTCGCTGCGATCGCGACTGGACGGTCGATGGCGGGGTGTGCTCGGGTCGGGAGTTTCTGTGACTCTCTCAGCTAGAATCAACCCAGGTTTACCCTCCGAGCTCCAAGTGCGACAGCGGGTGGCACTGGTACTTCATCCATTAGTTCTAACGCTGATCTGCTCGTGACACATCCAGGTGTGGCGTTTCATCCTCCGTGATGGCTTGATTCCTTACTCGATGACGTTTTTACATCAGTAAGTCAGGGACGAAATGTCCATCATGGCCGAGAGCCCGCTCCCCAACCACCCCTCATTGGATGGTGTTGATCTTGCAGCCAGCTCGTGGCCGAAACTAAACAAGTGTATGGAGAAGAGTTCGGGGAGTCAGCCCCGCTACTGTCACGGAGGCTATCGAAGTCAAGACCCTGCTGGCAGCTTGAAAAATGTGCCTTTTCGTTTGGTGTTTTCTTTGTTTATTTCTCACGTCATCTCGGGGGAGGGGCAGACCTGTTAGGCACGTCGTTTGCATCGGAAAGTTTCTGACAGCCGTTGAATGCTACCGCACTTGACAGTGCACATAGATGTTAGCATTCTTCTTTCTGTAGATCCCATTACTGACCACTTTCCAGGCAGATTTCATATGACGAGCGCAACCTCTGGAGAAAATCTGCGTGCTTGTATGTTTCTAAGATCCAAATGTTCCTAACTAGACCTCATGTAGCCACCGGATTAAGCGCCTATACTATATCACAACTCATAACAAGCTGGAATCATCGTGTCCGGCTAAAATCCTGCATTCAGATATCCCACTCCTTCGTCACGCTAATGCAGCTCAGATATCCGCTTGTACTATCGGAAATTTGGGCTCAAGTCGCGTGGCAATGCATTTAATCCGACACGCGTACGGCGCCAGGTGCTTCCGCAGTGTTTCCACCTTCCGCAAGAGCGATAAATACCCAAGCATTCGCCCGGCCCCACCCTCAGATCGCTCTTCCCATCCCATCGTGCCAATGGACTCTTACTCATTTGGAATGGTGCAGGACAGGCATCCAGAATCGCAAGCTCCCTTGGCACTGACAGAAGATGGGCACGCAGGCGCCCAACGTCGGAAAAACAACAAGTCGTGCCACGAATGCCAAACAAATAACAGGTGATAATGCTGAACTGAGGGAAGACCCTAACTCCTGATGTTGAAACTTGACACAGGAAACGCCGCTGTGACAGGGATTGGAACAAGAAGGACGCGAAATGTTCACAATGTGTCAGGTCCGGGATTCCTGTACGCTGGCCAAAATCGAGTCAGCCTTCACGCACTAACTTATTTAACTGCCTCAGTGTGAGAGAAGGGGGAACAAGCCTTATAAAGCTGCTGTGGACGTCGCTGGGATTCCGCCCAACATTATCAACTACGCTTCCCACGAAACACCCCCAGGTACGAAATCTCTTTTCGTCGTTTGCAGCGGTTAATTCCATAACGGTCGCATAATGCATCACATTAGTCGGGGCCGGCAACCAACGTGGTCACTATGATCAAGGACAAGGCTCTGAACCATCCTCCGTGCATGCTTTGCCATTGAGCACCGGCATGTCCTGTGGCATCCACCTTGCGAAAGGCTACTTCCCAGGCATCTTCGATGAACAACAATTCATGCGACGCTCGATGTTCTCGAGGGACCTGAACTCCGACGAGTACTTTAGTTTGATGTTGTATCGGGTCTTCCGTTTTAGCGCTAGCAAAAGCGCAGCAGAGTCTGGCAAGCTCCAGCGCGAAGCTATGCGGGCCTATTCCGAAGAGCTCGAGGAGCCTAGTATAGCCACCATCATGGCTACCCTCCTCCTTTCATCGTTGCTATCGAAGCCGAAACCACAACTGGGTAAGTTTGTCTTCTAGTTTGATATTCATTGGTTGTTACTCACCCCTTCAACAGCCGAAGACCTGCTGAGTAAGTCGCCTCGGGAGTGTATTTATAATTCTAACAATTGCTGAACGCCAATCACGCCAGACAGCGCCTTTGCATGTCAGGATCCCTCTTCAATTTCATATCCATGTGTTACACCGCTGACTATATCGTAGGGCTTGACTCACACAGGGAGCGTAACCTCCTTCAGAATGTATCGCTAAACAAGATTAGCAAGCTTTTGGAGAAAGTTCATGCTATTGTATGTTTTCAGGAGGCAATGTTTAATTTGTTCGTGACTAAAAACCTGGCTTCAGGCGGAGGAGGTAGGGTTTAGGTTGCGCGGGCACTGCGATCACGGTGACGACCAGCTCTCGCTGACTACGTCGCAAGCGCGTGGGAAAGGGGAAGAATCGGTCATTACCCACACGCCCCCGCAGAGGGGTGCTAACATCAACATTGTGCCATCGGAGCAATTTGCCGATTTGCCTAGGATCACCGGCCGAAGCATCGACGACAGTCCGGAAGGAGATGGCCATCAAGCAAATTCGTCGACACCTGTACTTCTTGGTTCACACCCTCCGCAGGACGTTCATCTAATCATCGAGACCTTGAGACCATTCCTACGGCACTACGGATACGAGCTCGTTCACGGGTAAATGTGTTACAATGTCGTTGGACGCCTGGGACGCTGGAAGACGATGCGGCGCAACTCGTTCGGCTGCTACACCATTAGAGAATCATTCCGTCCTACTTTCTCGTAATGTTGTACGGTAGTTGGCACGAACTGTTATTCTTTCTAACTACACACCCCCTATCAAGCGCATTCTCTCCACCGTTTCTAGGGGCGCTCTCCCACAGGTCATTCTTTCTGACCATGACCCAACGCAAGTTCATTGTCTCGCCTAAAGCTGATGCTCACAGAGATCTTGCACGGATCCGCAACCCCAACATGAACCACTCCGAGCAACGCAGGCATGAATGCATCGGCTATTGAGAATGAGAAGAAACACAAGGCCACTCGTTGGCCGATAGTGGCTCTTCTCAGTCGCAAACAACAGGAATGCACGATTTGGATGCCGTCCGGCTGAGCTTATGTAAAAAGCCTTCATTCTTTCGTCTCGCGCGTTTTGCCGAATAAACATCACAGGTTTTTTGTTATTCCGAAGATCCCTCCCCTTGGCATGCACGGGCGTGCACAGGACCCAGGTAAACAAGGGCATTGAGACTACTGCTCTTTCTGGAGGCGCTATCAACTTGGTCGGAGTACAAATGACAAATGAACCGGACCAAGACCAAACTCGTCATTCAAGGCTTATTCTGTGGAGCACTTGAGCTTGAACATCTTGTTCCCTGCTACCCAACGAATGCTGCGATATTGTCCTAGCTTGGGCCAGGCTCCTTCTCATTCCTTGGCTCGAACCGAAACACGGGTTTATGATTACGGTGTGGGCGCATGGAGGTTAAGCAAGGAATTGGTCGTTGCTTACTCTCTAACCAGTTTTTTTTCGCGTGGGCGCTGTGCATTGGTGTAGGCGCAACTACTACTGTGATCTGTTGAACCTTTTAGAGACAAATTACAACATTCATCACACCAACGTACACGCCTCATTCACGTGGGAAATGCCTTCCACATTAGTCTGCGCTGAAATGAATAGCTCTGATACAGCCACCATTTGCACTCCAGCCTCTATGTGACCTCTGGCTCCAATTCCTGCTGTTCGCCCCCGATCAAGGAGGGTGCGAGTTGATTAGTTGGGAGCGTACTCGGTTCAACAGCCCCAATCAGCAACGTCTCCTGGCTGTTGTCGGCACAGGGGGCCATGGGCCATGCATGGGCGTGGCTGATCGTGGAGGATACGAAGATAAAGTAGCCGATATCGCGACTGATGCGATGAGGCTCGAAACATAAGGGGCATATTTTGGTGCCTCTCATATTTTTTTGGTTATTGAAGGCTGCAGGCGGGCTTTTCAGCGCATTATATTGGTAGTGAATGATGACGCGAGAGAAGCCTCAAGACAACACAAGGGGGATGACACATGGGAGAATGTGTTTCGTCCGTACTAGGTGAGCGCTGCGAAACGAACCTTATGATTGTTGCTGGGTGGCGACAAGAAAGTTTATTTGACGCGTGAACTAGGGAAACGGTTCTAATTCAGTGAAGTACCTGCCATATAAAGGAGTTCAGGGCCATATTTTACAAGACGTTGGGCGTGCACATGGATAAATTTATTGGAAGCATTTAAATACTACCAACAGACCGAGTGTGAAATGAGGCAATACTCTATCAATCCCGAAGGGAAGTTCACCTTCACGGAACCACAGAATCCATCGTGATCCATAAAACGAGTTTTGTCGTGGCCACAGCATGCCAATTCGACCACCAGGGCCTGACCGGGTAATTTCCCGCCCTCTAGGGGCAAGTCACTCTCAGTCAGGGTGAGTTTTATCTCGGGATCATCCTCAACTTCGTCTGAAGAAGGCAGGGTCATGCAGGTGAAGATCAGCATGTACATATAACGTGTTTGTAACTCACCTAAGTATTTACAGCCGTTCTCAAAAAAAAAAAACTACTACTGATTTCGATTCATCAGGACAATAAAGTTGGCGAGTTGTGAGGATATCTCCCTATTTAGCTCAGCGGGGGGGCGCTTACACCCAAATCTCTTCCGCTAAAATCGGAACCGGCACTTTTCTTTATTTTGAAAACGGCCGTATATAAGGCTGAGGCCACCCAGCCAACCCAATTAACCCACCCCAGCTACCTCACCTGTTGCCGGATTCATCCTGGTTCCGAGAAGGACATCCTATTCGATCGGGAAACACTGTACGACGCTGGTGCCTATGCCTCAGTTCCAAGGCGTGCTAAATCGATCCCACTCCCGTATCGTTCGTCCTTCCTGAATTGGCCCTATCGACATCATACTCTTTAACGGGGTCCTGTCTGTACCTAATGAACAAGATGAGATTGGCCTCGGTTGGAACTAGATGGCTCTCACGGAGCTACGCTGGCGGTCCGGAGGATATGATGTCAGAGTTACGTCTGAAGATTTTGGTATGGAGTTCGCGTTTCGATGGTAGACTTTCAGTAGATGGGATTCGGGGCTTGCAGTGGTCCAGAGGCGCTTGGAAGGTTCATGGTGGGAGGGGACATGAAGATCAAAAGATCAGCTGTGTTAGAGAGTTCAGTGGTGTCTACCATATGAAGGGTTTGCTATACATCGCGCGCATGCCCTACATTTTTTATATTGATTTTTGTTGGTCGAATCCCAATGGCTTCCACGGTGTGGGGGTACAGGTGCACTGAGGTGTTGGAATACGAGTCACATGATGAAACTGAACCGGAATATCCGGGAATATTCTAGGGGTTACTAGGTGCCTGCGTAAGCGCTGGGCATAGAAGAGCCTGGAATATTGTTGAGAAGTATAAATATGGGCGCTGGAGCGCCGTGTGTATTTTAGATATATTTCTTTCTATATTACATCTTGGTTGTGTCAGGAACGTGCCAGAAGCGTATCCGGGTGACCTGCGAGGCGCGCGAGGTCGTCCGGGCTCGTAAGGTCGGAGGGGTGGGACTTTAGCTTCAGCGACTCGGGTGGATGTCAGGGCACACCCGCCTGACCCGGCCCCACCCGGCCCCACTTCACCTGGTACCCCGCCACCCAGTCTTCCCCTACCTCCTTCCCCCTTCTTCTTTCTTTCTTCCTCCATCCCACTCTCTCTTTACCTATCTCACCTTCTCTTTATTTTCTCTTTATTCTACACGGACAACCTTTCCTTGTATCGATGTACCATTGACCCACCTGCAGCGCGCTCACGACACGCCCAGCCCGGGCGCCTCGGGCGACCCCCGCTATGTCCAGCTCGCGCGCCCACAGCGGACGCCCTCAGGATCCCCCACGGGGACACCCGGGTGACTACGGCTGTATGCGAGGATGACGTGGCACCCGTCATGTGACCTAAGCCGCATGTATATAAACATACCTGAAGTGGGAACCGAAGAAGTAGCCTTCTTCTCACCCTTTTCCACTTCAGGTAAGTAACATAGTATCCCCTTTTAATAATAATAACACCCTTTTCCACTTCAGTCTAAGTGGCCAGGGACTGCCTCCTGAGCCGGGCCCGCCAGTACGCACGCCCGCTCCACACCCCGCGAGGCTTCTAGTGTCGGGCGTCTCACCCGGGCCTCCTCTACCCCGGACGCGTCCCTGACAGTGGAGCGCTGCGCTTCGTTCTTACGTTGGTGTCCCAATTTCAGACAGAAGCCTTACGATGAGGATAAGAGTTCAGAGGGGGAATCCAAGTCGATATACAAACTGAGGTACATCCGGTGTAACCTACACGCGTTATAAACACAAGTAACTAAATGAGACCAGCCCGGAAGGAGTGGCGGATCAAGCACGATATTAATGAATGAAGAAAGAAACAAATAGTTAATATCGGCAAACTTGGTCAACAAAAGGAAAGCAAGAAACAAAAGGAAGAACAATAGTCCGCAAGCGGACAAAAGAGAAAGAACCATCTGGCCGTCTAGCAAGCCGTCCGGCTGGCGAGTGGACAACAATGAAGCGGGCAACCTAGGTTGGAGGGTACGCGCGCGAGGGAGGAAGTGCGGATGAGGGTGACGGGTGGACGGATGGGTGGACGGATGATGATGATAGCGGGAGGGACGGACCAAGTGGCACTAGGGCGCATAGGGGGAGGTGACGGATATGTCGGGTCGTGACAGGTTGCGAGTGAACCGCTGAAGCGGGTTGCCATATTTGGAACACCACGTTTACAACATGAGGTTTGGCGTTTCCTACTTTCTTACAGCTCGAGTAGGTGATTGCTTCAGCTTCACGAAGATGACTGACGGTTTCAATTCACGATGCGTGCGGTGCTTGGAACGAAAATATGTATACAGTTGGTTAGGAGGTGTCGGACGTGCTTGTTTCAGCAAAATTAATCTCAGTTTAATCCCATTTCACGTGACTAATCAGGTGGATCCGCGCGCGCCTCAGAGGAGGCTGTCTTGTTCTGCACTGTCGCAGTGCGGATGGAACAAGACGGACGAAACCCTCCTCCGGGCCCAAACTTGGTCTCAGACCAGCTGCAGGAAGAGACAAGTTGCATCCGGGAGTGAGATAAATAGCGCACCTTATCCACTCCCCACCTGCCTGCGCAATCGTACTACAACGTCTAACTGGTAAGTTAACGGTAGTGCGATGAGGCTTCTAACCGTGTGTGCTGGCCCCGCTCCTCAGGCCTGCACACGGTTATCCCTGCTCTCGCTATCCACTAAACGCGCACTTACTCTTACTTTCATAGTTCTTAACTGAATCTCCGCGCTTCCCACCTCCTTTCCCATCGCCTCCGTTGCGTTACATCATTTTTTCACTTGCTACCCTCTCCTGCATTTACTATTAATGTATTTAATTGACGTACGGCTCGCATCGCTGGCGCACAATCATATGGCGCACAATCATACGCATTGCAGGTCCATATGGACCGTGTCCACTAACTCATGGACCGCTCACGGAACCGAACTGATTAGGTGGGGTATAAGCTTAGACTCCTTCCCAGTCGCTCACATGATTTCTCCGAGGTTTAGCCGCAACTTACGTTGCCCTCCGAAATCTGTCGTACAACTTGCAACACGTGATGTTCCCACGCTAAGTTGTAATGAGTTGTACATAGGTTACGGAATATAATTTTTAGTATTTACGCATGCAGTCATTGCACCCAACCCAACCCGTGGAGACTAAGGGAGCACATCCAAGGTTGTGAAGTCAATATCCGGGGGTGTGCGAAGTTTACGGTTTATATATTACTTAGTTACCAATCACTTGTTTGTGCCCGGTGGCATAAGTGGTATGGCGTTAGCTGAGGCTATGCAGTCTTTTTAAGTGGCACATGTTCAATTCTCACTTAGGCAAACTTTTTTTGGGCCCTCCCATGGAATAATTGTTTGAAATGGTTGTTTTCTGTACACTAAGGAATGGAGGGTATGAAAAAAAAAAAGTTTCCCAAGTGAGAATTGAACATGTGCCACTTAAAAAGACTGCATAGCCTCAGCTAATGCCATACCACTTATGCCACCGGGCACAAACAAGTGATTGGTAACTAAGTAATATATAAACCGTAAACTTCGCACACCCCCGGATATTGACTTCACAACCTTGGATGTGCTCCCTTAGTCTCCACGGGTTGGGTTGGGTGCAATGACCGCATGCATAAATACTAAAAATTATATTCCGTAACCTATGTACAACTCATTACAACTTAGCGTGGGAACATCACGTGTTGCAAGTTGTACCAGTCGCTCGACAGATTTCGGAGGGCAACGTAAGTTGCGGCTAAACCTCGGAGAAATCATGTGAGCGACTGGGAAGGAGTCTGGGTATAAGCTAGCTAAGAAACGGTATAGTACGCGCGAACCAGAACGCATATTGCAGACACATCATGAGAAAATCGGCCACCCAGCAGCAGAATAATTCTCTAACGTAGTGGCGGAAGATCAGAACATTTCACGACATCGCATTTCACCCTCCAACGACTCCACCACACGTTCACTTGACACGAACAAGCTCGTATCCGCAGTGCCACAAGAACGGCCTCAAGCTCTCGATGATTACATGAATGTCGGGTTGAATTTGTGACGAGGCAGCGAATGGATCAAGGCACGCAGGTGTCAGTGGACTTAGATGATGAGGGTGTTCTTCCGAATTGTGCATGTTCTGCTCGGTGGTCCCTGACAAACTCGAGTTTCCGGGATACAACACATAATCTGGAGCGCCGTCCAGGAGATTCATGGGATTGAGATGTCCAGGCCCGGGCGTGGAGTCGAAATCTAGGATAGGATTTGAGGTGTAGGCCGGGGATAGAGGGGATAGGGCGAATTCGGGGATGGGCTCAAAGGGTGTCGATTCCATTATTCCCGAGGCGCTGGAAAAGGAGGCTGCAGGAGTCGACGTGCCACTCCGCCGGTAGGGTAGGGTTCCTTGGCATTGGGCTTGAGTGACTAGGGCATTGGCTAAACCCAGCTTTGCCTGTTCTTGTAAATCCGAAAATCTCTTGGTCGCGGCCAAGCGATCTATGAACGATCAAGCCATTGAGATAACTGCAGGCGAGTTACATTTTGACTCTTACCGTGAGTGTTGCGGGAATTCGCATTGTTAATGGCCTCGTAGATCTCCTCGCAGGCAGCTTGATAGGAATAGTGACTCTGCACAATTTTTGAGTAATGTTCGCAGTCTGCGACCCGCTGGTAAAACCCTACCTTCATCTCGGATGGAGTCGGCCCCTGCCCATGGCACTGTATCTGGAAGTAGTGGCAATCGATGCAGACGTGGGTTCCGGGAGGGCGTACGCATATCTAGGGGATGGCTGATCAGACGACGCAAGAAAGGCTGAACGTTCGCTTGTACCTCGCTCCTGAGGTCGCACACTAGGCACCCAGCAGTGGTGCCTCGTGTATCGGGAGTCGCTGCGTAGGCAAATGACATGATAGATGATTGGAATGTTGGGTTGGGGAAGTCCTCAGCGACACATACTTTGGCTCCGACATGAGAAGGCGACCAAGTGTCTTATATGAGAGCCGGTGGAAAGAGAAACTACATGTTGATGTGTTATCTGATGCGCACCCAGCGCTATTGAGATGTCCGCGGCGTGGGTTGGGACAGGATAACGGACGCCCTTGTGATGATCTGCCGTCAATGGCGTCAGACATTGCAGGGGTCTGGAAGCGTGGGCTCGGTCAGCTGTATAAGCGCGAGTTATTGACTGAGAGTGGGGAAGAGGGAATGTGGTTCGTTGTATCTCAATCAACGAGTGTAATTACTCTGCACACAGAATTACTAACCACTCAGAGTTACTACCAATTTTCAGCAAGCGTCGCCACTTGTGCGTGGGCGAAGGCGTAATGGATAGCGTGGCGACGGCCCCGACAGGAAGTCGAAGCCTCTTGATTTGAAGCGAGCCGGTAGATACAAAAAACCCCCCCAAAAAAGGAGGCGATGGGGCAGGTGGAGGGTAACGATGAAGACAAGTGAGAGTAGCAGCAGAGAAGCGCCAACAAAAGAGAAGAAGTGAGGTTACAAAAACAAGGCATGAGCCGAAAAGAGAAAGACACCGTAAACATCCGGGATCCAACTCGCAAAGGGTAACCAAGGCTAACTGCCTTATCCAATGCAAGACCGAATATTCAACGCCAACCAACCACCCTAACCAAAACTAATAAGAGAATTAGTTAGAAATATATGTCAGAGTCATAGAAAAAGAAAATAAACTCCAGCGTGCGCGGACGCAAGAGAGATCAAAGACTGTAGAGCAACAGCGTGCAGCGGACGCAAGAGGTGGTGGCTGAGAAGCCAAAGCGTACCGCGGACGCAGAAGAGAAGGCACGGAGGCCGAAGCGTACAGCGGACGCGTGTAAAGAGAAAGAAAATAAACCTGCGTACCGATCAAGCAGCAGAAATCAGAAATATGGACACAACTAAGAAAAACTGAACATCGCGGATGAACAGTCTAAAGACATAAAGCAAAGAACATTGCGTACAGACGAGGACTTGACCTAGCAAAGGGCACGGCGGATACCCAGAAGAAAACTGAGGCGCTGAGGCCGGCGCACACAAGTCATATTTAATCTCGTGCCTCCATTAAATTTAAAATTGCGTAATATCCATCATCTTCCCTTTTCTTTACATGCTTTCTTTTATGTCATCTCGCCTGACTTTTACTTTCCTTCCCCCACTTGGGTTTAATCATGTGCTTTTTCTTCCTCTTGCATGTAACAATGTCTCGCATGCATTAAAAGTGCCCCTTGATGATGTTCCTTTGTCTGTCCTTGGGCACGGTAGTCCGTGAAGGTGTATGCTGATTCCACTGTGATTTGTCGCCTACCACCTTTTTTTGCTTTGCCTTTAAATAATTCCAGACTCTGAATGACTGGAAAAATTGGATTGTGTTTGTTGGATGTCTGCATTCCAATTAAACACATATTTTTATAGCCTGCTTATATTCGCGGAACGAACAGAAAAAAGAAATAGAAATAGATTCATGCTGGGACAGGCGAAAGGAAACAAGGGCTGTTCAGAGTAAAGCGAAGTGTGAAGCGCAAGCACTGTAGTATCTAGGCATGCGGCGAAACACTGATAGCAAGGTAGCTCATTCGAAGAAACGGGGGTGTTCTTGGGCCTTGATGGGTTTGATCGATGGGGATAATATATATACGATAACACCGCCTGGCGCGCATGGCAGGTCCCACCACTGAACGGACAGCCTCAAATGTGGAAAAGGTTGGCAAAACTCCAAATTGGTCTTACCAATCTCGGACGTCTCAATGCGCGACTAAAATCACATGTAAAAAACAATGATATTCGAAACAAAAGTGGATAACCGCACTGCCACGTAACAATGAAGCCGCGGGATATCTGTCATACGTGATATGGAAATCGGATGCCAAGATGGACACACACGGGGAAAGGGGCTGGGAACTTGGTAAGTCGCCAAACAGAATATGCGACACAGTACAAACGTTGAAAAAAACACCGTTGTTTTCAGCGAGAGGAATCAACAGGTGAAAAGATTCCAATTCGGCAGGTGGCAAAAGGCTGTAAGACCAAGGAGCTAGGGATATTCGAGAAGGAAAAAATAAATCCTCATTGAAGGGCCTGCCGCGTGGTGTGAAAATGAATATGTATGCCAAGCGATTCGGAAGATCGAACCAGTTTGCGTCTCATCTACATGATCTAGCCATATGCATTTAATCCGACCGCATACGGCGCCAGGTGCTTCCGCAGTGTTTCCACCTTCCGCCAGAGGGATAAATACCCAAGTATTCGCCCGGCCCCCCCAGATCGCTCTTCCCATCCCATCGTGCCAATGAACTCTTACCCATCTGGAATGGTGCAGGACAGGCATCCAGAATCGCGAGCTCCCTTGGCACTGGCAGAAGACAGGCACCCAGGCGCCCAACGTCGGAAAAACAACAAGTCATGCCATGAATGTCAAACAAATAATAGGTAATAATGCTGAACTGAGGGAAGGTCCTAACTCCTGATGTTGAAACTTGGTATAGGAAACGCCGTTGTGACAGAGATTGGAGCACGAAGGATGCGAAATGTTCACAATGTGTCAAATCCGGGATTCCTGTACGCTGGCAAAAATCTTCACGCACTAACTTATTTAACTGCCTCAGTGTGAGAGAAGGGGGAACAAGCCTTATCAAACTGCTGTGGACGTCGCTGGGATTCCGCCCAACATTATCAACTACGCTTCCCATGAAACACCCCCAGGTACGAATCCTCTTTTCGTCGTTTGTAGCAGTTAATTCCATAACGGTCGCATAATGCATCACATTAGTCGAGGCCGGCAACCAACGTGGTCACCATGATCAAGGACAAGGCTCTGAACCATCCTCCGTGCATGCTTTGCCATTGAGCATCGACATGTCCTGTGGCGTCCGCCTTGCGGAAGGCTACTTCCCGGGCATCTTCGATGAACAACAATTCATGCGACGCTCGATGTTCTCGAGGGACCTGAACCCCGACGAGTACTTTAGTTTGATGTTGCATTGGGTCTTCCGTTTTAGCGCTAGCAAAAGCGCAGCAGAGTCTGGCAAGCTCCAGCGCGAAGCTATGCGGGCCTATTCCGAAGAGCTCGAGGAGCCTAGTATAGCCACCATCATGGCTACCATCCTCCTTTCATCGTTGCTATCGAAGCCGAAACCACAACTGGGTAAGTTTGTCTTCTAGTTTGATATTCATTGGTCGTTACTCACCCCTTCAACAGCCGAAGACCTGCTGAGTAAGTCGCCTCGGGAGTGTATTCATAATTTCTAACAATTGCTGAACGCCAGTCACGCCAGACAACGCGTTTGCATGTCAGGTCCCCTCTTCAACTTCATATCCACGTGTTACGCCGCTGACTATATCGTAGGGCTTGACTCGCACAGGGAGCGTAACCTCCTTCAGAATGTATCGCTGGACAAGATCAGCAAACTTGTGGAGAAAGTTTATGCTATTGTATGTTTACAGGAGGCAATGTTTAATTTGTTCGTCACTAAAAGCCTGGCTTTAGGCGAAGGAGGCAGGGTTTAGGTTGCGCGGGCACTGCGATCACGGTGACGACCAGCTCTTAAGCGCGTAGGAAAGGGGCAGAATCGGTCATTACCCACACGCCCCCGCAGAGGGGTGCTAACATCAACGTTGTGCCATCGGAGCAATTCGCCGATTTCACCGGCCGAAGCATCGACAGTCCGGAAGGAGATGGCCATCAAGCAAATTCGTCGACACCTGTATTTCTTGATTCACACCCTCCGCCATCACCTCAGCAGGACGTTCATCTAATCATCGAGACCTTGAGACCGTTCCTACGGCACTATGGATATGAGCTTGCTCACGGGTAAATGTGTTACAATATCGTTGGACGCCTGGGACGCTGGAAGACGATGCGGCGCAACTCGTTCGGCCGCTACACCATCAGAGAATCATTATGTCCTGACTTTCTCGTAATGTTATACGGTAGTTGGCACAACTGTTATTCTTTCTAGACCATGACCCAACGCGAGTTTATTGTCTCGCCTAAAGCTGATGCTCACAGAGATCTTGCACGGATCCGCAACCCCAACATGAACCACTCCGAGCAACGCAGGCATGAATGCATCGGCTCTTGAGAATGAGAAGAAACACAAGGCCACCAGTTGGCAGATAGCGGCTCTTCTCAGTCGCAAACAACAGGAATGCACGATTTGGATGCCGTCTGACGCTCATGTAAAAGCGTTCATTCTTTCGTCTCGCGCGTTTTGCCGAGTAAACATCACAGGTTTTTTGTTATTCCGAAGACTGCCCTTGGCATGCACAGGCATGCACAGGACCCAGGTGAACAAGGGCATTGAGGCTACTGCTCTTTCTGGAGGCGCTATCAACTTGGTCGGAGTAGGCAGGACTCCAGCCTCTCTGACTTCGTAACAATAAAGAGAGGCTGGAACCAAACCCCAGTTGATGAATGCGGATTTTTACTGAATGGTTGTCACAGTCGAGAAAGGGTCCTCACAGTTGCCATGGGTTACTTAAGCAATACAGTTTAAGTGAATGGAAGGAGAACTTCGGGATGAAAGATATTTGTTTATATTTACAGTACAAACAAGTGCAAATTCTTTTCTCGATCCCACAATGGATGCATTCCAAGTCAAGATCCCTTCTCTACCGATATTCTACACGCCTGGTCAGACTGGGAATCTTGCAGGCTATAGACAACAAAAAATATTTTCTAGACCTCACCCCAATGAAACTTACAGCCCTGCTACCTCAATTCCATCACGGGGCCGTCCCAAGCGCAAAGCTGCAGAGGACCAGGATTCTCCAGTGAAAAAAATCTGCGAGAATTCAGGAAGAACTGCTGTTATTGCCAACCAACGGGCAGAGTTCATTGGAAGCCCACCAGAACCACTCTCACCATCAAAGCAGCTTAACAGAGAAGACCAAGCCAGGAGCTGCAACGCATTCAATACCATCGAGTCGGAATGGATGGCATCCAGTTCTTCCCAGACACCGACGGAGTGTGATAAATGGCAAAGTACCTCGAGGTGCCCTTCATGTTATAGCTCTGCCCCCGAGCAATTATACCTGCTGGGCAGCCAGCCCAGGCCCAAGCCTCTGGCAACAGTAGAACTGATACTGTCGATACTGAGATCGCGGGATATCACACTCGGCGAGTTTCTCATTACGCTTTTTGGGGATACCACGCACTTAAGTACATCAGCAAAGGAGATGCTCAAGTGGTTCATAGGGGGACGTACCGTGAAGAACCACCCTGTTGACATCGTCCATGCATTATACAGTCATCCATGGGCCCAGCCCCAGCAATCGTATGAACCCACCTATGACACACTGCCAGAATACGCTATTCCAATGATGAGTTCTCAGCCAGGAACTCATTCAGACATCAAGAACACGTACAGCAAGCTACAGGAGTACTTTATTGCACGCGTTGTTGACCGGCTGGAGACAGAAGTCAGGGCTCTTCTCAAAAGCCCTTACTTGCGTGCAAGAGACACCGCGACAAGCCGATTTAGCTGGGATACGGTCCTAGACTTCTCTGTTAACACAGTCCAGAAGATGGCCCTCAGCGTCGCACCTGTGACCTGGATGTTGTTAACATGGATTGCAGTTGGTGGGGAGAGGGTGGAGCAGCTGAAAGAAGCGAAATTAAGGGACTCTGGGAAGGGACGTGGGTCGAATCACGTACGAGATCCCTATTTAGTGAGTGAACGATTCAGTACTTGCTAGCGAATTAACTGATGATCGTGTGAGGGATGCACCGTTGTGCTGATGGTGCTGTTGTACTTTTGTAATAAAGGGTTAAACAAATTCCAGAGCATCATGGGATTACTCATGTTCTCTGAGAATTCTTCAAAGTCATTACAATCCATCACTGGCCACATCGGACTTGCAGTCGCGAATAGCTCAACTCTTCAGCGCTTATACTCAATGAGCGCGGTTGCATCCGAGAAAATTCGCAACATAGGGGCTAACTGGGTCAACAAGCTGGCTTCATTCCATGTCGTTTATGATAACATCAATCAGTACCATAAAGACTGGCGGCCATCCCTCTCTTCACAAACATGTATGGAAAGTGGGACTGCTGCCACCTTGATCATGCAGCCTGGCGTGGCTGCAGATGCTTTCGATGGTTTTGAATATGAGGAACGCCGGCGGCACGTCAAACGTGATGACATCACGTTAACGAGGATTTGGGATGACGTTGACCGCAAGCACCTGGAAAACGTCTGTGTCATCAACATATTGCGTCTGTTACTCGATCACATACCTGGCCTGAAGCGACACAAGAACGACTTCGACAATTTCAGGCAAACTGCTGCGATTCACCCAACGCCACTCCAAATCACCGAAGTTATCCCCCTTGAGACGTCGGGCTTTGATGAGGCAACTACTATGGGAAACCGTCAGACAATCCGCGACATCATCGAACGCCAACTTGGGATCCCTCCACATGCTGTCGAAGGACGACTCATACCATTCTCCGGTGATCAGGCCACAATATCACGCATCCGAACCCTGAAGCGCCACACAGCTTCAGGGTCTTCTTGGTTCTCTTCAAACCGTTATGTCCTACCGCTTATCGAGCTTTGGCACATGAAGTTCGCAATGCTCAAAGGGATAATTAAAGCTCACTGGCCAGAGCAGACCGAAAAGGGCGACGTTGGTCTTCGCTTCGCTGCCGATAAACTTCGTCGGAATTTAAACCCCAACAAAGTGGATTTCTATCCCGCTGAGAGACTCATTGAAGTTGTACTCACAGCGATGACGCTAAATTACATCAGGTATTTTTTACTTCCCACTTCCTCCTTCACAGCTCACTCGTAAGTTTTCTTAGACATATACTTCGCCAGAAATCTTTGAAATGCCCTGTCCGGGAGGACAGGAAGCCGATGCACCTTACCGAAGAACTCGAGGCATACACAAAGGAAGGAAACTTTCTCCATTCATGTAGTTTCAACGATCTCTACCGCCTTGCTTGCGATGCATACCATGCATTTGGCTCGACACGTTCCGGTTACATGGCCTTGTCACCCGATGTAAGCGATGGCCAGTCATACTTCGCCCGCTTCATCGATCCTCAACTGGACTCTCTCTTCCCAATGCCAGAAGAGCCCTCGATTGTATCCAATATGGCCCGACGAAGCTGTGAGCAGGGTGAAAGCGATGAAGACGATGTGGACGAAAGTGATGACGAGGCTGGTAATGCCAATGACTGCATCGGAGCATCAATGAATATTGATTTGACTTTCGATAATGAATCTCTCACCTTCGAGATGCCAAACAACACTCGTGGCGACATCTTAATGCACAACAATGCATTTCTTTGGCGAGATTTGCTTCATTACTGGGAGCTCAAGAGTAGCGTGAAGGAAGGAGATGTAGGACAGACGTTTGAAGTGATTAAGGTGAGAATAGTTGGAATTTGGGATTAAACAGTGCCAACTAACCAAGCAACAGTGGCTACGCATGTGGTTCTTCGGCGTTGGGGCGAGCAATTATGGCCACGAACTTTTACATCAAGCGATTGATTTATGGTTCAATTTCACGGCGGCGACGAAGAAGGCAGTCTTTGACTGGTACATTTTGAATGTATCAGGGTTAGTTGGGGGGCGAAAGGAGAGAGATCTCCTTCAGGAGCACCACAACCTTGCAATCAAGCGGGTGCATAATGGACGCTTGGCAAGGTTTGATTCGAGGTTCATTCGGGAGGCCGTCTCCTTGAATGTCGTGCCACTGGGTCAACTTGCAAACACGATCAAGGATCGGCTTGGTCTTCACAAAACCGTATCGAACTGAACCGATGCCGAATTGACAGCGGACATCAACTTACTGGGTCACTCGTACTTAGTTCAGCGACATCATCTCTATCATCCAAACCGATCACAATCCTACTTGGCAATTGATGCACTCTCACATGGTTATGCAAAACTTCGCAATGGGGCATTGAGCAACTTCTTGGACAAGTACATGACTTGATAGGTGAGTATTCTATTTATGAATCAGCGCCCAGCTGTCTATGCCTGCTTTTCTAATTGCAGGGTTTCTGTTAGAATGCGCGGATTCGGACGACTCCGGAATGGAATCGGAGACTTAGCATGGAAGGACCTTGGCCTCAGCGACTCAGGCGGAGCGCTGTGCCATTGCTGGTTGTCCTAGGGGTCCCTAATTTCGGATCTAGCAGAGGGAAAGTCTCTTGGGGGAATTCAAGTTGATTTCGGACTGAGGTTACAAGTTACTAGGTACATTGTATATAAGGAGGGGTCCGGAATCAAAAGGGACAAGGGTAGGACAAAAGGAGACAAAGGGAGATGGAAAGAGGAGCAACACCGAGGGTCAAGTGTTTGACTCAATGGTGTTTCCCAAAGGAGGAATGAAGGGCCAAGGCCCAAGAAGGAAGGAAGGAGGATGGGAGTCGGGAATGGCTAGCTGACTGAATAGAAAGGAAGCAGCAGCCCAAATAGGAATGAGGGAGAATAGCGGAATTGAAATGGACAATGCAATAGTTGCAAGGTCCGGAGTAAGTCCGGAAAGTCCGAACTCGGAGGTTAAACTCCGGAATATTGGCAAAGATAATTAAATGGAATGAGCTAACCAATACAATGGGTATAAGCGGAGGTGGGGTCAAAGTCCGAGGTCGGAGCTAAGACCGGAGGTTCCGGAGACAGAGACGCCAACGGGATTCCGGAGCGGAGGTCCGGAGTCGGGGACATAGGTGTTGTGTACTCATCTGGAAGGTGTCGAGGTTGGGGTCGGACCCGGAATGTTCCGGAGTCGGACCGAAGGTGGTGTCCGAGCCGGAGGTGGGATAACCTTTTGGGAGTCGGCAAGGAGAAGGTGACGGAAGGGAAGTAGGGCTCCGGAAGTCAGGTTCGGAGTTCCGGGAGCCCGGAGCGGAGGTCGGGATTGTATGGATATGACAGTTTCGTCCATTAACAGGCCACGTGCCGATCGCACTCTCTTTCGCTTTGACTTCCCCCCATCTTCCATCTCACCATTATCCCCTGTTGGCTCCTTGGACCCTGTGGCACGCCCTGCCCCTCCATCACCATCTATCGCTTCGGCACCATCACTTGCATGCGATGTTGAGGGCTTCTCGCGTGTAGCCTTCTTTCTTGTCAACCTCTTTTTCTGTGCCTCCGTTGCCTTGACACGTTTAATGATAATCTCTTGCAATTCCGCGTTAAGTGCTTGAACTTTCTCCCACAGTCCATCTATCTCGGCTTCCGACAGAGGCCTGACTGATAACCAGGTTCTGACCACAAAGTCTAAACGCTCGCGCGTGGAGATCGTGTATAGCCGCTCTGCAAGGCCACGAATATCACCATCACCGACGATAACTTCAGGTGAGATATCATCAGGAGAATCAAAGCTGAATGGTCGCTTTCTCCAGACGCTGTGCCTCCAACTCAGCAGATCATTTATTGCATGCTCGCGAAGGTCTTTTGATGGCTTACGAAAGTTCTCCCCAGGCAAGCGGCTAACCTGCTTGCTCTTTTTCGGCTTTTTCCCAGAAAGAACGGCCATGTAGTCTTTTACCATGGCGAGGTGGGATTCCATTGGTCCGGGTTCACACCGTTCACAGCAGTTTGCCACTTCCTTGAACTCGTCACCAAAGTATCGGCATAGTACCATGCGGGGGCAGTCACTGGGGTGAGGATTGAAGAACTCGACCAGCGCAGGCTGTACCATCGCTTGTACTTTATCACGACGCTCGATCTTCGCCACTGTGAGGCCCTTAGCATTCGATGGCACATATGTCTTCAAATCTCGATGCTCAGCAGGTACGACCTGGAGATCTTCGTTTGCGTACACAACTAACATCCCACCACTGCCATCCCGACTTGCTCGTCCTGCCCACTGTGTCAACTCTTCGACCGAGTTGGGAAGATCGATACAGATGACATTGGTAACACTCATGTCAATTCCGACATTAGCACTAACGGTAGCGACAATGTACCGGATGGAACCTGCGCAAAGGCCGGCAAGCACTTCTCGACGGTCGCTGTCATCCATTTCCGCGTGAAAGGGCGATACCATCTTTGATGCCACTCCACGGCACTTGATCACATCCGTCCAAGGCAACCCTTCTGCTAGTTCCATCACAAGCCACTGACAAAGCACCATTACTTTGTTAATAGTACGGCATGCAAAGAGGGTCGGGGTAAGATCAAGCGATGAATTGATGATTGGGGGAATGACCCAGGCAAGGTCGGGGAATGTCGTCCCTTCGGTGGAATTGAGAAGGAAGCGTGGACAATATTTCAGGTCAGGGCGGTCAATGGGTAGTTTGATATCATGGAACTGATTCTTCTTGAATCCCAGGATTCCCTGGACTTTGGTACGGGCATCATCATGAAGGGAGGTGGACATTGCAAGGAAGGTGATCCGTGTTGGTAAACGCGCGCGCAGTTCACATAATTTCAGGTAATCTTTCCGGAATGTTAATCCCCATTGAAGTACTAGGTGGACTTCATCTATGAAGATGAACCCAAGCTTCCGCATAAAATTCTCATTCCGGAATAGCCGAGCCACTGGTGGGCTTTGCAGCATCTCCGGGCCCATTCCAATCACATCCCATATACCGTCACTAATTTCTTTCCACAGATCGCGACCTTCCTTGGCTGCCATGGAGGCAAGGATGTTGGCGCTCACTCCGATAAACCGGACGCCTTTCTGACGTGCCTTGGCTTCCTGGATGCCAATTTGGTTTGTAAGTGTATAGCATTGTTGAAAGCAGGTACTGACTTGGTCAATTATTAGTGATTCTGTTGGGTAGATAACCACCGCAATGTAATCTTTTTGAGCAATCTTTCGAGCAATCACCGGCGCTAAGGTGAGGACGGACTTCCCACTTCCCGTCTTGGCTGTTAGAAATACTTCCTGTCCTTTGAACAGGTCGAGTGAGTGTGAAATCTGCCATGGTCGGGGTGCTGCAATTGTCAGCCATTCCTTAAATATTGTACACATCCATTCTTCGGATCGAGTCTCGAAATGTGCCAAACTCCTACGAAATTGATCAAGCTTGTTGTCGTATTCATTCCGCTTGAGGGATGATGCGCCCTCGATAAGTGCACTCATATGGCAAGTTTTTTAGGATAGATACAATATATTCGGCCACCCCCGCCATCACGCTGCTAAGGCATGACTAGATGAGAACCCGAGATTTCCCGGCACGTGATTCATTGTATTGATTAACAAATTGGGACATAGATACAAGGACCCTTTATGAGACCTTAGCAACAATTTAAAAAAAATCCGCATTCAGAACCGCACTGATGAGTCCCAGACTATGGTCGGAGTACAAATTGTTCAGCGGCCGTGCGAGTTTTCGTACAGCCACATTCCCACGGCCGAGCGAGCCACATCTATTTATTCATTCCTTTGTATTCATTTCGGACTTATCCCGCTCCCAAACTACATGGGAATTACCGCTCATTGAATCACTTTTTCCCTCAGTTCTCTTTCGCATTATTTGCTTGAGACTGAGGTTAGTGATCGCAGCACAAGCGCAGAATATTTCTGAAAACCCCACATACTTTGACAGAGGATAGCACAGTGATAGCACAGACCAGATTTAGTGGGGCAACAGCCATGTCTGGTAGTAACCGTGACTGAACACTTCTCTGAATATTACAGACTCGGAATAAGAGTCCGAAACAAGCCTGACACGATTATTGATTATTCAAATATTATTATTCCTGTGCCTCCTGTTGTACATACAGGAAAACTGAGCGATAAATACATCAAACAGCAGTACTAGGAGCCCATCCACCTCACCCTTGCTACAGCTTGATCTGTACAGACACTGTACATGTAACCAATACAAGCACACACCGCACTTTCCTCATCTCCATCGCTGCTTCCATGGACAGGATCAGGTTATTATGGACTAAACATCGGTGAGTGTTAACAGATAAAAAGACCGTGAAAATTCCTTAGTGCATGCATCTTATAGTTTGAGACGCTAATTTTTGACAACTCAATTTGCTTCCGGCAAACTTTCCTTTCAGCACTTGTAGACCAAAGCATTATACCATTTTAAATAGCTCAAATGGATAGTTTCTGGATGCTCTTTGATTGTATCAGAGCAGATTTATGTGAAACTGAGTTTTAAAAAATTTCAGTCCAGATGATTGTCCACCTATCTTCCTAATTAGGAAATGTGAAAATACTAGCGTAGTTTAACTCAGTCTCAAGCTGAATAGCGTGGAGAACTAGTTAACATTACCTAGCGTAGTTTAACTAAAGATAATACACATTTAGATATGAAGGGAAATCAGAAAGAACGAAAGTAGTACTGACCTCAGTCTCAAGCTGAATAGCGTGGAGAACTGAGGAAAAGGGAAATGAATAGAAAGAGCGGGTATGTCCGTATAGTCGGTAGCGGATAATTCCGCGATAATAGAAAAGGGAAAAGTATTCATTTACAGGTCAGGTGAAAGTCACCTGGTCAGAAACCTCCGGAACGTGCGCTGCACTCCAACACGCCCACTCAGCGTGCGCCCACTGAAACCAACCCCAATGCATCCCTAAACTTCACAAATTTCTCGGCATTGAGTGGTTTGGTGAAGATGTCTGCAACTTGATCGGTTGTTGGTATGTACTCGATTGCCAATCTTCCATCCTCCAGCTTTTCTCTGATCCAATGGTGTCTAACCTCTATGTGTTTCGTCTGTGTGTGGAATATAGGGTTTTCAGCGATCTGGATCGCTGATTGGTTGTCTACCAGGAGATAGAGTGGAGTCTGGATAGGGATACCAACATCGCCATAGAGATGTTGGAGGAAGACTGCTTCC